AAGAATGCCGATGGCGACTATCTGGTGTCGTCGCGCCACACCTGCGCCATCTATAAGATCTCCGGCAAGGACGGAAGTGTGATCTGGAGACTGCATGGTGCAAACCCATCGTTCAAGAACATCAACTTTAGTTTCTCGCAACAGCACGATGCCCGGTGGCTCTATGAGAATGCGACGCATTCCGTGATCTCGCTATACAATAACGGCTTCAATGGTTTCAACCAGACGCACACTTATTCGAGCGGCATGATCATTCTCATCGACCATATTGAGAATACCGCTACGCAGCTCCGGGACTACGGGCCGCCTAGCAATCGGATGCTTAGTTCGAGCCAGGGTAACCTCCAGATCATGCCGAACCGGAACGTGGTCATCGGGTGGGGCAATAACCCCTATGTCTCCGAACATACGGAGGACGGTGAACTAGTCATGTGGTTGAGGTTTGCGACGAATACGGTCATGAATTACCGCGCTCACAAGTTCGAATGGGACGCGGACCCCTCCGATTCCCCGGCTCTGTGGACGTATTCCCGCTCCGCCGATCCATTTTCGCCTACCACTTTCTATGTGAGCTGGAATGGTGCCACGCGCGTGAAGAAGTGGCGGTTCTACGGTGCGGCCAATATGACCGGTCCATATACGCTTCTGGACGAGGTTGCTAAGAACGGGTTTGAAACCGAATACACCAACACGAGCTTCTATACCTGGACCAAGGCAGAAGCTATCGATCGTAATGGCGAGGTCCTTGCATCTTCGGCGCGCAAATACACCTTTGTCCCATCGCCCGAGCTGCGCGAGTTCTGCAGGGACCAGACCTGTGAGGATGCATCGGCGTACGGCTTCCCTGGCGACGACCGCGCCACGTCGTCCATCCCACCGGCGGGCGTCAACACCGTGCCTTGGATCGATCCCGACAACCCAAAGATCTGGTCGCAGCCATCGAGCACCCCGCAGCACATCTACTCTCACCACAAGAACTGGACCATGGGCCGTAAGTTTCTCTTCCTGTCTACGCCGACGCCACCCGCTAACCTTGTTTTGTTATAGGCATGCTCGCCTGGGGCGCCATGATTCTCGTGCTCATTCCCCTCATCGGCATCGCCGTATACGCGCTCCGCTACTACCAGCGACGCCAGCGGGAAATGCAGCAACGGTTCGCCGTGGATCCAACCGACGAGTCCGTCGAGCCCTTGAACGGCATGGCCGAGGGGAAGCCCTTCCCAATGCGGACGGGGATGCCCTGGTGGAACTGGCGCCGGTGGATCGGGGAGGAGGACGAGCCACACTACTTTCCGCTGTCGGAGCGGAGTCCCCGGCGGGAGCGGATGGAATGATATATTCTACATACTGTACATATAGGTTGGCGATATACTGCATTGGGAGGAGGTCACACATAGTTTGCATCTGTCGGAAGTTATAGAGTTCTGTATTTGTTCCTTTATCTAGCGAGTCGTCCGGAGTCCGGCGCGAGAGAAACAAGAACGAGTAAGAGGCAATGAATACGATACGGAAAATACAAGGTACGATTGAAAATTACATACCGTACCGTACCTGACTGGGCCCACCGTCATCCCGGAGGCGGGTTGTCGCAGACTTTTCTTGCCTCTGGTGACTGGGCAGGCATGGTTCATACGACCGTAGAAGAAGACTCAAGGCGGCCGATCATTGTCGTGACAGTAGGCTGTGTTGCGGACCGTCGTTTCTTCAGCTGTGAGATAAAAAAAGACCAGTCACAGCCACCGATGACACCAAGGTGCCTGACGTAGGGGCCACGGGCCTCGTGTTTGAGAAGCTCCAAGGCTGTGTCGAGCGAGTCAAAAGGTACCGAAACGAATCCACCACGGTTCATCTCAATTTGCCAAGAGAGGGAGCCCTAGTGTCGATCGGTAAGAGTAAGAGTACGAAATACATTCCATGAGGATTATTAGTTAGGGATTCCCCCCTTTGTGGACCGCAATTAAATAGTAACTAGCCGACAGACAGGCAGATAATTGACAGCTAACGAATCATCGAACCATGCCCTAGGAGTAGACCAACCCATCTATCCCTCCCTTTGACTCTCCCACTCCCCTCATCGTCCGCCTTGTCTGATCTCGGGGGGCCAAAGTGGTTCTAATACCAAAATTACACCTGCCGTATCCCCCGTCCCCCATGCCGACCAGGAATAAAACCGATCAAGCCCGCCACGCGCGTACGACTTCCTGGTCGAGTGGCTATCAACACCTTCCCCAGCAGGACACATCAACCACTACTGACGACTCGGGTCCCTCCTCTCACCCTCCTCCTCCTGCCCGCCGCCGCCGTGAATCCAATCTCTCCCTCGCCAGTGTCACCGAGGGTCCGCCGTCCCCTGGTCTCGATGACCCCAATATGATGAGGAACACGTCGATGGATCTGGACGGCCGAAACAGCCTGCATGCGCGGAGCCGGTCGCAGAGCCAGGCGCAGATTCTGGCTCTGCAAGAGTCCGAGATGGGCGCCTCGCCCAGTGCACCTCCGCCCACCACCCGGGCTTCCGCCGTGACGTGGATGTCGCTGCCCCGGAAGGGCCAGCTGGCCGTGCTCGGGTTATGTCGAGTCTTTGATTTCTTACAGATCGCCTCCCTCCAGGCCTACATGTTCTACCAGCTCAAATCCTTTGATCATAAGCTCTCCGACTCGGATGTCGCGACCCAGGCCGGTATCCTCCAGGGCGCTTTCACCGCCGCCCAGTTCGCGACCGCGATCCCCTGGGGCCGGGTCGCTGATGCCGAATGGGGGGGCCGGAAGTTTGTGCTGCTGGTCGGTCTGCTCGGCACGGCCGTCTCGTGTCTAGGGGTTGCTTTCTCGACGTCGTTCGCGCAGGCCGTGTTCTGGCGTTCGTTCGGTGGTGCCATCAACGGCACCGTCGGTATCATCCGGACTAGCATTGCGGAGAATGTGAAGGAGAAGAAATACCATTCCCGTGCTTTCTTGATTCTCCCCATTGGTTTCAATATCGCCTCGCTGTTTGGTCCAGGTTGGTGGTCCCCGTCTCTTACAGCGAGTGAGTCTTTGCTAACACATTTGAAAGTGATGGGCGGTATGCTCTCTGACCCCGTAAGGGCCTACCCGCGCCTCTTCGGACCGAATTCGTCGTTCGGAGGCGAGCATGGCGTACAATGGCTGGAGACCTACCCCTATGCCCTGCCCATGTTGGCCAACTTTTTCTTCCTGACTTTCTGCGCCGGCTTGGTGGCGTACGGCTTCGAAGAGACCTTGGCGGCTTGCAAGGGCAAGCCTGGTCTCGGTGCAATGATCATGAGGCTCTTCGGCCGCGGCATGCGAACTGTCGTGCCCAGCACGTCGCCCCTGTACACGAGACTTCCCTTCCGTGATAATGAGGAGGACGGCCCGCTGCTGGATCGCGCGGAAAGCTACGAGCTCGAGGAGAAGGCCAAGCCCGTGCGGGTTCAGCGCGTGCTGCCCTTCCGCAGGATCTGGACCAAGAACGTGCTGTGTACCCTTCTCGCACAGGCCTTTTTCGATTTCCAGATGGGGTGAGTAGTAGACCCGACTCAAGAGACTGAATACATGCTAACCAACAACCACAGCGCCTTCAACAACCTCTGGCTACTTTTCCTGTCCACTCCCCGTTACGACCCCTCCGACCCGGCCAGTCCTGCTCAGAAACTCCCCTTCATCTTCACCGGCGGCCTGGGCATGTTGCCCCAAAGTGTCGGCTTCGCGACTGCCATCCTCGGCGTGATCGGCATGTTCCTCCAGTTCACCATCTACCCAACCATCAACGGCCGTCTCGGCACAGCCAAGAGCTACCAGTACTTCCTGTCTCTGTTCCCGCTCGCCTACGCCCTGGCACCATACATCTCGCTCGCCCCATCCACGACCCCGCCACCCGGCCAGGCCAACGGCCCCTGGGTCTGGTTCTGGATCATCATCGTGCTCTTTCTCCAGGTCACCGCCCGGACCTTCACCCTGCCCACCTCCATCATCCTGCTCAACAACTGCTCCCCGCACCCGTCCGTCCTCGGCACCATCCACGGCATCGGTCAGTCCGTCTCCTCGGCCTTCCGAACCATTGGGCCCATCTTCTCCGGTGCCTGGTACGGCTACGGTCTGGATGTGGGCATGGTCGGCTTTGCCTGGTGGGTTATTGCCATCGTGTCCGTATTTGGCTGCGCAGCTGCCGTTTTCGTGTACGAGGGCTCGGGACATGAAATCACGCTTCCCGGCGAGGAGGAAGATTACCATGACTGAGACGCTGCTGTGATGCTGATGTGATAATGTGTGCGCATGCGCCCTGTGTGTGGCTTCATTTTTTGGGTTGTACAATTTTTTTTTGTTCATTTCTTGCATGTTATTCGGTGTCGGGTTGGGTTCTTTTTTTGTCTCTCGATCTCACTCCAAGGGCGATCGGAATGCCGCGCCCACTCTCAGTTTGTTCCCTGCTGAGTCCCATCTTGGATACCATTTGTTCTGTCTGCATTCTTACGCGCTGCTCTCGGCATTTTTACCTTGTTGATATGCTTTTTGCTTGTTTGTTTTGAGAGCCGTCCTGCTCTCTTTACTTTTCACACTCATGTCGCCATGGCAGTGAGGTGAGATGATGGGATGGAGCAGCTGCGTGCGATCATTAGAATATAGAGTTCTGGTCCGGGCGGTCTTTGGTTGTCTGATTTGATAACATACCCTGATGATCCGCTGCGACAAGATAGGCGGGATTGGTATGTGTTGATTGTACCTATCTATGTTGGGGGAGGATTCTGGTCGGTTCTTCACGTCGGACGGATCCTGCCTCGTGTGCTATACCTATATCTCGTCCATAATAGACCTTTTCAGTTCATTTAAAGCTTTTGGTAGATCAATAGTTAATTGAGTGGCCAGCCAATGGCCGTCATTGATTGCAATTGCATCTGCATCAGGTCTAGTCTCGTTTCCAACAGGTCAAGACAACAAGCAAGATATCTGACACAAAACGAACGCTAAGGTAACTGTCTCACGACATCCCAGCTCCTCTACTCTCAAGGTTGCCTCTTCAGTTCTGCAAACCGTCGAGTCAGTTCATCCAGCTCGGGAACCCCATTCCCTTTGCTGCTCTTCGCAGCTCCCTCGTTCTTCGCAACAGAGCCAGAGTCCTTCGTCTCCTCTTCACTCCCGGGGACTTTTACCCTCGGATTGAGATTGTCACTCCTCGGACCCGGCGGCGCAACGCTAACAGGACTCCTCCCCGCCATCGATCCCCGCGGCGGCGTCGCCTTGTTTAGCTCGCTTGTTTCAGACGCACGCCGTGCCTCGGATAGGGTTGGTCGGGACTGGGACTCTTTGCCGGGTGTTGAGGGCACATCACCACCACCTTCATTCCCGTCGTCATCCTGATCTCCCTTGGCATTGGAAGTGGCAGTCCCCTCATCCACAAACTCCAGCGGCGCACTCCCCAACTCAGCCTGTTCCGCGTCTTCTCCTACCGGCCAGGAAACACCATACGCCTTTGCAATCTCCCGCAAATAACTTTCCACCAGTTCCTGTGTCGGCGGACGCAAGCGCAGACCCTTGAGCAGTCGCTCGGGCACCGTGACGCCCTCCACTTTGTTATCTTGTGCCATGGTCATAAACTCCTTCCCGTATCGCTCGCCGAGCATCGTGCGCAGCATCGTCAGCTCGCGCAGTTCATGCGGGAACCGGTGCCACGCGTAGAAGATTGCCACGGCTGCTTCGTCGAGCGCGGTGTCCATGTAGGTGTTTTCTTCGTCGGAGAGCGCGGCACCGGAGTCTTCTGGAGCAGTAGGCGGCGTGCCTTCTCTCTTCTGCCCGCCCCCTCCCCCTGACCCTCCAAGCCAGGAGAACCCAAACCGGGACCCCGTAGACTCTCCCCCACCAGCACCAGCGGCAGCCGACCCCGCCGCGCCCCCCGCCTGCGCCAGGTTCTGTTTCTTGAGGAGCTCCTTCGCGCGCATCCGCGCACGAGTCCCCTTCTCGTTGAACGCAAGCTGGTCGAGAACATTCGCCCGCGCAAGAAGCAGTTCGCAGTACAGCTCCACCATCTCCATCACCTCCACGGCGATGTCGGTGGCGATCACATTCTCCACGCGGATTCGCGCGGACGCCTCGCGCCCTTCGCCGAGGAGTTGGGCGAGCTCGCGCCGTTGCACGACTGAGAAGGCGGTGTCTTTCTTTTGGAGGAGGCGGAGGCGAGGGATTAATAGGCGGAGTGTGGAGACGAGTCTCGTCTTTGGGGGTGGGTTGTTAGTTTAGATGCTGCGACGGTGGGATGGGGGTGATGATGCGGGGTAGGTAGCGGGCAGGTTAAGGAGGGAGGGAGCGAGATAGATGGTGGTCTGGGGGGTGGAAGAAGATATGTGTAACGGAGACTTACTGTCTGCGCTGAGGGTGGCATGGTGAGTTAGTGAGGTAGGTCGAGTGTGAGTGAGAGAGGTGAAACAGTGTGCTTGGAAGAAGATAAGAGGGAGGCGGGGAAGAAGGAGATAACCAACAACAATACATTTATTTCTACTTCTTCAACTCCTAAGGCAGCCACATTTATGGTTATGAGCTATACAAAATATAAAATCGGTCTGAGAACGCACTTGAACGAGGCCGGATCATCTCGCGATGCATCAATCAGACAGCCTAAGGGGCTCGGAAGCCAAGTCATCTGGGAATTCCCAGTGTGGCCGAGTGTGTTTCGAGAACAGGTCTCTCATCGATAAGACCGCGCACTTGATATACCTGTGACAGTGTGCTGAGGTTGATTTGCTCCTGCGGTGGAGATACATATTGTTAGAGAACGCTGTTGTTAGAGGACGCTGTTGTTAGAGGGTAGATTCCCAGACATCAAATCTCTGGATGTGGTCAATAATAGTGTTGGTGCTGTGTATATGAGAGAGCACAGCGGCATAATATAGCCTTGTAACGCTGCCTCTGACAACAGAAAGATGTTGTATCATAGGAGATTCCAAGAAATGGAGGAAGGCTGCAAGTACCATTGTTATTGTGGTTGCATTCCAGACCTGAAGACAAAACTCAACTGCCCATCCCTTTAGGTTGGCAAATAATGCATTTTATGGGGCTAGAAAGGAGTCCTGCTCACACGATTAAGTGCAGTTGGTACTGTGATTCTCCTGGAATCCCTCTAGACCATTTGGACAGCTAGAGCACTGGCCTCTTGTGGCATCCGTTGCCGCATTGTGTTGGTCCTCATAGGAGTTAGATAAAAAGAGCAAGGTACATATTGCGGGGAGGTTTATGCCAGTGTGCCTGCCAGTGTTTTAAGACACTGGCGGGAAATAGAATGGCGAATAGCTAGTCCTTACAGTACTAGTTTAGTTGTAGGGAGAGAAAAGGCACTATTGTCAACAAACGGCCTGCTAGCAGAGAAATGGAAAAGTGGAGAATAAGCAAGTCGCTACTAGCTGAGAAAATTAGGCACCTCAAGGCACATTAGCGCAATTTCACCGGCATTCTACAAGCTGGAGGGGCTCTTCTTAAATCCATGGATTGATGGCAATGGGCTCCGAACCCCATGACTAAGCAGCCAAGCAGCCCTTCAACAGCGATGGTGATTGGCCGGCTCGGTTTATGATGTCATTGGCGCTCGGTTTTTAGGGCGCCATTCCTTTTTGGGTAAGATGCGGTATAGAAATGTTTCATTCAAGGCTCCTCTGGTCCTATCTTTGGATCACATACTCCGGAGATAGCCCTAAGCTATGGAACGAAACAACGAATTTTGCCCTGCTGCCGGGAGCCCCCTATATGTAGGGCTCTCGCACCGATTTTTCAACAATCGTAAGCGACACGCAAAATCTCCTACTCAAGACCGACACTTTATCGAGTGAAAGAAGTTTCCTCGCTAGCAGTGTATGTATACGATCAAATACGTCTTCAATTGTAATAACCGCTTACCCTAATTCTGGCGAAACAGGGGAATTGAATCAACTCCTCTCCAAAAACAACAATGGAGTTCGCTCTTTACGTCTTCCTCATTATTGTCGGCTGCGTCGTCTTTGTTCTCCTCGGATTCGGTATATGGACAATGTACCATGGCATCGAAGACAACTCGCTCCCCGACATGTCGCGAGAACAGAAGTCTTACATGCGTCAATTACGGCAGCGCAACCTCAATGTGATGGCTGTCCAAGCACGGAGGCCTGATTTGATTATACCAATTGATGATGAATAGCGGAAGGAATAAGTTCATGTTATTGGCGTTTTATACGGAAGAGAACATATATATTGGGAACATGATGAGGGAACAAGTGCCCTCGTCTTTTGGAATTGGGTTGCATATCAGGTTCATCATAAAGAGAAGACCGGTACGGGATTCTCGTCTGCATATTTTTTACAATAAATTCGACTTCATTGGGTGAATAAACTACCGGCTGTTGCATATGCCTGGCATCTGTGCACATTCCATTGACTATCTTTTCACTTCTTAAGAGTGCTGGCTGGCAGCTGTTTAGCGTCATTGCCCAGATATAAAATCAGTTGTGAGGCTCAAGTAGAGAGCTCCGCCGCCTTGTTCATAAGCTTATAGTATTACTTGACGGAGTGGTCCTAATCAAACGCCAATATCTACAATGATTAATGAAATTACAAGACCGGGTCGAAACCGCCGTAGAAGTACATAGATCCAAAAAGCTTATTTTATTTATAACAACCCCTGTTTTCCCCATGCCCAAGAAAGAGACCCAATGCATATAGGAAGGAAAAGTGAAAAAAGGGGATATCATATCAAGAAAAGGTAAAATAGGATAGAAAAAGCAGTGCCGAATAGAATAGCCAGGGGATATATAAAAAGAACAAGTCATCAAGCTGGGAAGCTGGCAGCGTTGAAAGTCGTCAAGAAGAAGAATGTAAACATCCACGTGTGGATGCGTATAAAAAGAATAGGACAGAAAGAGGTGGTATCGAGAAGTGAAGTGGTAAAAGAATTGTTGCTGAAGGGTTGAAGACGTTTACCAGACATAACCCGTGCTCAGCGAGCATGCAGGCCCCGTTAGGGAGTTTGGATGGATTTAAAGGTTCACAAACACACCGGCGACCACGGCTCCGAGTCCCAGGCTCAGCCCGGAGATAGTGGCGCTCGTGGCGCTGTTGTTGGTGGCCGAGGGTGAGGCAGCGGTGGAGCTCGAGCTCGAGCTCGATCCGACAGGAGTGATCTGGGCGGGGCCAGTCGGCTGCAGCACATGGGGCTTGTACTCCAAGGTCTTAGACTGGCTGGGCATGGGCGCGCCAATGGTTGAGGTGTTGCCGGATTTCGAGGTAGTAGTCGAGGTCGAGGTATCAGTGGAGGAGGAGGATGAGGAGGCGGTGGTGGTGGAAGTCTCCGTGGGAGTCTCGGCGGGGGTGGGAGTAGGAGTAGGAGTCTCCTCGGGGGATGAGCTGCTGGAAGGAAGCGGACCAGCATCGTCGCCCTTCCGGTGGACAATGAAGTTGGCCTTCGAGCCAGGAGGAACGTACACCGTGCAGCCCGTCGCACCGCCAGCACCAGTGACAACGTCACCAAGCATATCGTTGACGGTGGTGATGACCGACGGATCAATGGAGCATGGAATACCATTGCAACCTTCACCGTCACACTCAATGGAAATACCCCAATCAGGCATCACGTTGCGGAACGGCGTGGTGGGCTCCAGGTAGATAGGGTTCCAGCCGAGCTTGACATAGGTGCTTCCGTCGGCGACGGTGTTGGCGCCGACAGTGTACGGGGACCAGTTACCGATGGGGTTGGAAGATGTACCCCAAACACAGCCGATCTCGGCAGGAACACCTGGCGCGTTGACGTAGTACTGCGCAGCGGTTGAGCACCAGTACGATTCACCGGGCACAGCGAGAGTGGCCACATCCTCAACTAGAGTCGGGATCAACATGGCCTCGTTTCCAGGAAGCACAGTCTGGCAGAAGGACACGGGGGCGCCAGCCTTGTTGATGACTGACACCGCACCGGTGCCGTCCTCACAGTATGGTCGACTAGGGAAGGGCTTCTCGATCTCTCCATCCTCATTACAGTAGAGACCACCGTTCTATAATTTCAGTCAGATATCATCTTTCGTAGGATTTGAGGTCTGGATAACTTACCATCGAAAGAGGGTAGGTATACGAAGTCGCCTTCGGATCCCATTGCATCGACACTTGGCCAGCGGGGCAAGCGTACGGGCAGTAGCTGCCCGGCGTGCAGGGCTGGTTAGGGCTCATGGCCCATCCGGCATTCGCCTCGGTGGGGGTGATGGCAATCAGACCAGCATCCGTGGGGAACTGACATTGGCCGCTCTTCTTGACCAGTGTTGTGCCCACCTCAGGTACCGAGCGGATCTCATGGTGATGTTGGTGGTGGTGATGACCGTGTTGGGCAGCCTCGGCACCAGCAATGAGTGCAACCAGCGCAGCCGCCCGGGATGATGTGATCTCAAACTTCATTGTGCGAACGTATCGGTTTGGTGCTGTGGATTTTGGTAGAAACGCGACCCTAGGGTTACGACCCGGGAGTATATCGCCAATGAAAGGAGTAACAGAATTGAAGAATAACAGGTTTAAACGAGTGACAGGCCGTAGGCCGGGTTAGAAGATGAAAGCTCACAGAGATGGAGAGAAGAGAGAAAGTAGTGAACTGGGAGATGAGACCCATGAAAACAGCCCTGTGTAAAGTCCTGCAGGGTCCGTGGTGACCGGACCCTACCGAGGGACGGACTTCCATCGAAAAGGGAAGGATGTTCGCTAAGCTAACGGTGCCCCGACAAAGGGTCCAGGTGGTTCCCATCACAACCAACGCCGGGGCCAGAGCCCCTGACCTACGCGTAGCGCGGCCACATGGACCCATCCAGGCGTTAGCGTCAGGAACAGAACATCCCCGACCAATGATGGGCTAGGGTACCCCGGCGGTTCTTTCTTGGCACGCTAGCTTGATCTTCGTATTTATTTCCTTTCGTTTTTTAGGCCCGAAGCAGAGATTTCAGAGATTGACTCACTGGCGTTGCCTATCACACCATCGCTCTATGTAACTATATCGGCGGTCGAGCATAGCTATAAGGCCGGGCAGATCAGTTAATTATTTCTCGTGGAATATGCATACAGCGTTCAGAGTTCGTGTGGCACATCCTTTGACCCCTCTTTGGCCCCGGCAGGAACACGTGAATTAATTAAAGCAGACTCCGCAGCGGAGAAGCATTATTATTCGATGGTTCCTCGTGATGGTCCAATTTCCTGTCACGGATTTTTTCATCTCGGAATCCCGCTCCCGCCACAATCCTGTAAAGACCAGCTCGTCGGTAGCTGGGTCGTCTGTCAATCCTAATCAAACTGCAGAACATCTGCCAGTGTTCTAGACTTGTTGATCAGCATAGGTTTCTTGGCAATTATTATGGGAGTCCGAGAGCCAATCTCCGCGTAGCCCAATCCGAAAACGCGGTCATTCTATGCCTTAACTATCAGGCCTGTCGCAGTCATTTCCCTTGGAGAAGCTATGTTATTGGAATAGAATCGCGATTGAGGTAGGGCAAATTTATTTAACAAACGAGTGTACTGCATATATTTCTCGCTTGTAACACTGGGGGTTTACTTGGACTGGATAACTTATGCCCAAGAATGCACAAGAAATCTTGGGTTCATGATTGATGCTTGGTATTGAGCTTGGTGGGTAACGTGTGCACAAGATGTTGTTGACTACCTCTGGCACCTGCAATCTCGGACTGGAGCTTTGATCGATGCTCCGAGAAGGCAAATTTCACGTTTACAGCTAAGTGATTGATGGAAATCGATAAAGTGATGATATAATCGGGTTATAATCTCATTATTCATGGACTGGAAACATCCCTGCGCCCTCGGTCTCCTTTGTCCGGCTCAAAGGAGAAAAGGGAGGTACTGTAAGGGTGTGGTGACCTGAGCGGGTTATCAAGCACGCTACATATTCAGTGAGAAGTATGTAGTATATTTGACGAACATTGTACGGGATCGCTCTGACCTCATCTTGTGCGAAAGCCGACAAGCCCACGAGCGACTTTTTCCACACAAGCAATCTTTGCTCATGCAGAGCGCGCTGTTGCTTTAGACCACTCGCCTTCCAGAATGTAGACCCATGACCGCGAACCCTTCTCCACATCGTTGAGCAGTTGCCTCCAGGGAAATAAGGAAATAACGAACAGTTGGCCGTGTTAACCCACCATAAGCAGCGACATTGACCATGAAGCCCGCTACAAACCCCTGAGGTTGGCACTGGTGAAGTTATTTCTTGACGGGGCTGAGCCAGTCTTCCGCCTTGCAGGTCATTGCGTCAGACAACGAGTAGTTTCGTAATCAATGTCATCCGGAGTCCGCTTGTGAGAAGAAGAAATATGGAAAGCCTCATGAAGTGATGCTTTAAATCTTGCAGTAGCAAGATCACACTCTTCAGTTATGGCTGCGAGGTTGGTATGGTCACCGTCGGCAACTGCAGATTGATGGCATACCAAATGCTCAATATAAGCACGGGAAGGTGTCCGGATGCGCGTGGAGCGGCGTAGGTCAGAGGTGTCAGGAATCCAGCAGTACTGTGATCATCTGGTAGAAGCATACTGCGCAGCTTCGCGCCCAGGTGGTGGGAACGATCTTCATTGCGCTTGTGCATTGATATCGACGCCAACATGGTCTGTAGCTCCCAGGCGTGACATGATGGAGGTCAACAAATATATATATAGTGCAGGACGGCCTCAAGAAGTGGACAATGCGCTGAGCGTCCCAAGGGCTCATATGGTAGCATGTGCTGGAGCGTGAGGGCAAGCCGGAGAGCAAACAGGTGGATGACGTCGTTGTTTGCTATGCTCTTCTGCTTCTGTCTGGATCTACTGTTGTATGCTTCATCATTACAATTGATTGGAAATTTCTTCCCTAGCTCCGTCATTATTTATTCACTTCTCACGGTGTCTCCGATTATTAGAGGCGTAATCGTGTTGTGGTGGTGCCTGATTAGTCCGTCCGTTGCCAAGGTTGCGGGTGTTTATCGTTCCCAAACAAAACTTCGCTCCTCCGCCATCCCGCTTTTCCCTTCCACGCTATCACCTCTTCATCTGTCGCATATCCTTGGTGGACGCTGCAAAGATGGACAAGCGGTCCGCAGAGAGTCCCATGGACTTTGAATGGCAGACACGAGCCCCCGGGGACGTGACCTCGCCCTTTTACCAGCTCGGCATGCAGCATGACAACAAGAAGCGTGAGTGACCTGACACCACTCCAGATGGACCGGGGACACCGAAGTAGCTCTCTAACACTCATCCATGGCCACAGGGACACACAGTGTATTTGATTCTCCAGAGAAGAAACCGTTGCCCGCCCTGCGCGAGCCGAACTCACAGCCCTTCCTGTTCTCGCAACCCCGGGCCCAGCGCGCGCCTGAATCCCCCCGAGCAGTCTTCGGCCAACCGGCATTCACGACCCCTCGAAAATTCGACGTGGATCTCTCCTCAGGTGCCGAAAACATGTCGTCTCCCGAGAATGCGGACAATGAGGATACCCCCGAGCAGCCAACGAAGTCAGGGAAACGGAATTCGCTCTTCAACCTCTACGGTCGATTTGCGCCAGGCCGAGGCGAAATCCCGCGAATGAATCACTATTCAAATGCACTTGCGCGCCGAGTACAGAAAAGAAGACGACGAGATCGCGAACTCGACCGGAAGATTCGGACAGACAGCGACTACGAGAGCGATCGGCCCAGCAGCAGCGAAGGGAAAAAGAGAAGCCTGTGAAACAATCACAGGGCCAAGGCGCAGGGTCATCGCGCATGTCCTCTTTTTCAGAGTTCTTCGCTCTCCTTGAGGCACACCCCAACGTCCCCAGCATCCTGTCATGGTGGGCTCAGTTGGTAGTGAACCTGTCACTGTTCTCCCTCGCCGTGTATGTGGTCTTCGGCTTTGTATCGGCGATTCGCTCCGAGTTTGAGCAGGCGGCAGAGGAGGTGTCGGATACAATCCTGGCGGAGATGGCAACTTGCGCCAAGAGTTATGTGGACAACAAATGTGGAGGAGGTGACCGGTTACCCGCACTGGAAACTGTGTGTGAGAACTGGGAGCGATGCATGAATCGCGATCCCGCTAAAGTCGGACGAGCCAAGGTGTCGGCGCATACTATGGCTATCATCATCAACAGTTTCATCGATCCAATCAGTTGGAAAGCAATTGTACGTGGAGCCACCTCAACTAAGCCATTGGTTCGAATCTCACTAACTCTTTCTGCAGCTGTTCTTTCTTGCGACCATTTCGACTGTCACTGTCGTCAGCAATTGGTCCTTCCGCTCATTTCGAAGCCGCTTCAACCAACAAAATTACTCGCAACCCGCGCCTAACTACACCCAACAACATCCTCATCAAAATCAGGCTATGCATAGCCAGCCACTACATCTCCAGAATAACCCTACCTTTGGTTACTTCAGCCAACAGGACCCACGACAAGCCCCGACAACACCGTACGGAGAGAAGCAAGACGCCCCCTTGATGCTTGAGAACTCGCAGTCAATGGATTTTGTCACTGAACGCAGTCGCGAACGGGAGGCTCACCTGCGAACCCCGAGCCCAGCAAAGCGTGGCCGCAGGTTTGCTTAGCTTGCAGCAAGCTTTTGGGTTTGGCGTCTTCATAATTTTGGAATTGGGATTTCTGGCAGCATAACTGATGGGCTTTTCGGACTTGGTCTGGGGTTGGAATTTAGTGTAGCATTTCTCGTATACCACAGCCATGGTGTTTCTTATTCTTGTATCTAGTTATTATTTGTTTTGGACAACTTTGTTATGAAGCCCATGAAAGCCCTGGTCTTTTCTTATCCTCTCAGCCTTGATCGGACTGCATTTACCCTTTTCCGTCCACGGCTTGTGATTGACTGGGCACATCGTGCATGACCAGTTTGTTTTCCGTGAAGAAAGACAGATTCTAATAGACTTGTCCGCGGATAAGACGTTTCTTCTAAGGCATGAAAAGAAGAGTGGCGTCGGCCTCCCGTTGCCGAGCGGCCACCGGCGAACCAGTCGCCGAAGCAGGTCGGCGAAAAACCTGAGAACCACAACAACAGCAACAACTGAACCAAAGGTACTGCAAGAAAAAAGAATAAATTTTTTGGCCGAAGCTCCACGGTGCTCTGTGGGCAGGTGCTAATTGTAAACATAATGGTATATGAAGCCATGATTTCCAATCTCCGGGCTTTTCTCTTCACGTAGACACCAATTATACATACTCCCAAAGCGATAACACACCGCGAAAAGACAATGCACTACGAACAAAAGCTTGACAATCCAAAGGAATACCCAGAAGGTGGCATCTTGGCCAATCTAGTCGTACTGGGCAGTTTCAGCGCCATAATGGGCGGACTAGGGCTCATGAACAGTATTGGCATTTACCAATCATGGATCTCGACACACCAACTCGCCTCCATCAGCGAAGGACAAATCGGCTGGATATTCGGACTCTACAACTTCTTCGTCTTTTTCTGTGGTATCCAAATCGGTCCTATCTTCGACGCCAAGGGCCCGCGTCTGCTTATGTGGTTTGGCTCGACGCTACTCATCCTCACTTTTATACTGCTGGGCTTTTGTCGTGTGTACTGGCACTTCTTAATCGTGATTGGGATTTTGGGTGGCATGGGGACATCGTTCATATTCATTGTTCCCGTCGCGAGTATCGGCCATTTCTTCTGTCGTCGCCGAGGCGCCGCTACGGGGCTGGCCATGTCCGGAGGCAGTATCGGCGGCATCCTGTTCCCTCTGGTCCTGGAGACTCTATCTCCCCGTGTGGGATTCGCTTGGGCGACTCGTGTTGTGGGCCTCATCATGCTGGTGCTTCTCATCCCTGGATGCCTTCTCATCAGATCCAATTTCCCGCCCAAACCTCCCTCGCCTCCCTCGGCCAAGGTGTTTCTGCCCGATTTTATCATCCTCAAAGACCCCGTCCTCGCTCTGACTACGATGGGCGTGTTCTTTATTGAATGGGGATTCTTCATCCCGCTCGAATACATCGCCTCCTACGCTCTCACGCATGGCGTGTCGCGCCGTCTCGCGTACCTGATGGTTGTTTTCCTGAATGCTGGCTCTTTCTTCGGGCGCTGGCTACCGGGGATTCTGGCGGATAAAATTGGCCGTTTCAATGCATTGATTCTGACAAATTGTCTGTGCCTAATTTCTGTGCTTGGTGTGTGGATGCCTGCTAAGGGAAACCTGATCGCGCTGGTGATCTTCTCTGTAGTTTTTGGTTTCGCGAGCGGCAGCAATATCAGTCTGGTCCCTGTTTGTGTGGGCGAGTTGTGTCCCTTGGAGAATTATGGGAGATACTATACCACTGTGTATACAATTGTGAGCCTCGGGTATGTTTGTTTCTTTTCCTGTGAGTAAATGTCGGCTAAAATTTTGACTAGGGCTTTAACTGGCGTTCCTATTGCTGGCGAGATTATCCACCAGTGCCGGGGAGAGTACTGGGGGTTAATTGCGTTTGCAGGATGCGCTTATGCTGCAGGGCTGGCTTGCTTTATTGGGGCGAAGGTATTGCAAGGTCGGAAAGGAAAGTGAGTCCATAGACAGCTGGCTCTGATATGATGATGACAAAATTCCCAGGTTCTCAGACGAAGTTGAGGAGATCAAGGGCTGGGCCAAAAAGGGATTAGATATTATCCAAATATAATTGTATAGATTTGAGTAGAGTGATATTTTTAGACTATGTTGTTGCTGTTTTCATATAGGCCTCGCGTTTTGCCTAAATTCGTTTGTTATCAGTGACCTTTTGTTGTTTGCCCGCGACTTTTAAGCTTATCTCATGCCGGTCCACGTGGTTAGAGGATGAGGCGCACGGCCACCACTTAAATCGGAATATGAATTCAACTCTAGTATACAGAGTAGATCTGCAAGGTTGATTCAGCCGACACCAGTGTTGCCATCCGTTACCTTTTGACGTGCGACTGCAACATCCACCAGATCAGCAACGGCCCCGCCGAGTGCTTAACAGTGGAGACCCCTTGCGGATGAGATCTAGCTTCCGAGTTCAGTGATTTACGATATCTGCTACATCGATCTCGAGTGAATCGAAACGTCAAACAGCTAGCATATCTCTCATTTCTGCGGGGAAGCAGTTTTCCGGACCTTTAACAGCTCAGGCACGTCGCTGAGGCACCAAAGCTGGGTTTGAAAGATCTTCGCTGACGTTCCGCTCCGGGCTTATCACGACATCGCCAGCAAATGACGGGCCGTGGAACCCGAAGTTGCTTACGAGCTTCTAGGTGTCCTTGCTATTGTCCCCGCGCCACAATGATGTTCGTGAGGAGAGTCAATTTTTGATTTATCTTAGCCCCTCCGAGTCCAATTGAGCTTCGTGAATCAATCCTTCCTCTCCTCAATTGTCTCCGAACTTAACTGCGGCTGTCAATGACGAGCAAAACCGATTACAGTGCAGAGGAATACGGGGCGCCTGTCAACAATGACGGGGATACGAAAAGCTTCCGGTCGCGTGACGAGTCGAGTCACTCCGACGAGGAGATGGCCGTCGACCCTATGCATGCGCCGTTGAAGCGGCAATTACAATCCCGACACTTGCAGATGATTGCGATTGGAGGTTTGTATTCTGTCGTCTGAGACCAGCGAGGAAAGGAAACTGATTATGCTCTTACTCCAGGAATTATTGGTCCTGGATTGCTGGTCGGCTCAGGTACTGCTCTAAATGAGGGCGGCCCAGGAGGTGTTCTGATCAGTTTTTCTCTGGTTGGTATTATCGTGTTTTTCGTCATGTAATTGATCGCATTAACTCTGCAGTTTGATCTCATGTTAATGCTTGAATAGGCAAGCCCTGGGTGAGATGGCGACCATCATCCCCGTGTCTGGATCGTTCGTCGAGTACGCGCAGCGCTTTGTCGATGATGCGCTTGCATTCGCTCTGGGATGGGCATATTGGTATTTGTGGGTGACGGTAAGGGATTCGGTGAGGATGGGTTTGATCTATGCTAATGGAGAACGTGTCTAGGTTCTTGCCAACGAATATAATTCGATATCGCTTGTCATTGGATACTGGACCGAAGTTGTCCCTCAATGGGGCTGGATACTTATTTTCTGGGTGCTTTTTCTGTTTCTGTCCAATTTGGGCGTTTTGGCATATGGGGAGATGGAGTTCTGGCTTTCTCTGTATGTGCCTCGGTCATTGTCAATTTGAGAACTGTACTGAAAAATCCTAGCATCAAGGTGTTGTCTCTGATTGCCTTTTTTATTTTGGCAATTTGCATCAGCGCTGGTGCGATCGGCCCGCGCAAAATTGGATTTGCATACTGGCACGACCCAGGGGCATTTGCGGATTCGATCAATGGCGTTGCCAAAACTTTTGTGGTTGCCGGCACCCTCTATGCTGGCACAGAGATGTATGCTTTCCGCTATCTCCAAGGCGCAAATGTGGATCGCTAATGGCATACAGGGTGGGAATTACTGCTGGAGAGTCATCTAATCCCCGAAAAGCTGTGCCAATCGCAATTCGGCAGGTGTTCTGGCGGATTATGATCTTCTATATTGGTAAGTGAAGGCATGATTCAAATGACCAGGGGTTGACTTCTGTCTAACTAGGAACCATGTTCTTCATTGGCATCCTTATTCCCTACAATGACAAACATCTACTGGGCTCGAACTCGAAAACGGCCAGTTCTCCATTAACAATCGCCCTCACTGAAGCTGGAATCCTGCCTGCTGCTAATCTCATCAATGCGCTGATCGTGGTCAGCGTCATTTCTGCAGGCAACAGCTCTTTATATGTTGCGTCTAGAACCCTGCTCTTTATGTCTCGGAATGGCAAAGCCCCCCGATTCATCGGTCGTACGAATCGCAGAGGAGTACCATGGGTAGCGTTGATTTTCTCCAACCTCTTTTCGTGCATTGTGTTTTTATCACAGGGTTCCAGCGCGGGCAAGGTTTATTCTGCATTAATTACACTTTCAGGAGGTAAATCGCCCGTATTCTGACGTAACTGCGCTACCATATTTGATGCTAATTTTGTGAATAGTGGCTACCTTCATCGTCTGGTCCGTGATTTGTGTTGCCCATATTCGCTTCCGCCGCGCCCTGGTTGCTCAAGGACAGGATCCCTCGACACTCCCATACCAGGCTTCGCTCTATCCGTGGGGGACTTACTTCTCACTCGCTGCCAATGTCTTCCTTATCTTCTTCCAGGGCTATACCTGCTTCTTGGATCCATTCAGCGCGACAGACTTTGTCATCAGCTATATCTTGCTGCCGGTATTTGTGTTGTTCGTGGTTGTGTACAAATTCTGGAACAAAACGAAGGTGGTCAAACTGGAAGAAATGGATATCTGGACAGGAAGAAGACAGTTTGTGGATTCAGAGGATGAGTCTCTGGTCAAGAAGCGTCCTGAGTGGTGGTCTCGCTTTGTTAATGTGGTGGTGGGATGATTGGGTCTTTTCTGTTTCATGTGAAGTATGATATCCCACGAGCGAAATCCCCTATGTATATTTATTCGAAGTGAGATGCAATTGATGCGGAATCCGTCGGAGAGCCGGCGTTCACTTTCGGAGGTGTGATCGGCGCAGACCAAAGCTTTAGCAGCTAACCATCTTTTAAGATGACAACTAACTCGTAGATTTGTTTTCAGTGGTCATCTGCGCCGGAATAGCCTTGCATGATATTTTCTCAAATGCCAATTGCTATTTCTCGCCAACTCCTTCCAAACTACCCCTATGTTCGAAGTCAGCAACGTGCTCCTTAATGTTCACTATTATTGGCCCGATAACTTATGCACATTCGGTCGGCCTCTATACCCGAATCTGCATAAGCTCTGGATCTCTTCGAATGATAGAATGCGCACGTAAGATGTCGATCATCGCGGAAGTCTTGATCCCCGCTTTCTAACAATACGACGTGAACCAGTCAATCCTTCACACCGACTGGGCGCGTCCAATCAACGACCCTGTGTACCTCGTTCATGTCTCTATCGGTCTGCCGTGCAGATCGGCGGAAGACCCTGATTCGGGATGGCCAGTCAATTCTACTAGACTTGCAGCCAATAATGGCCAATAGAATCATGTATGTTCCGGTGACGCGAAGCAAGGACGCAGATGTAACATCGCATCAACAAACGATGCGGGCGTTTCGGAGAGCTCACCACCTGACACAGATGTCCACGACGGCACGGGCGAGGTTACAAGTGCCGGACCTTCTATATAAAGTGGATGAATTCCACTCTGTAGGGTCAAGCAGTACAGAAAGCGGTTCAGTCCCATAGACGTTTCATCTGGAACTGCTGCTCTCCGGATTTACCATCGATAAACTCTAGTCCGTCCTCTGTCGACATGCAGTACACCAAGGTACCGCCAGGACCCAGATTCAGGGAATAAAATCAATCTAATTGCTTACGCTATCCAGTTCCTCGCCGTTGTTGCCCTCCTGGCTCAGGCGGCCCTCTCCTTCCCGACCTTCAAAACCACTCGCGCATGCGCCTATACCTGTGGCAGCAACTGCTACACAAGCAGCGCCGTCGCCGCTGCCCAGGCGGAAGGCTACAAGTTGTACAAGTCGGGCGACACCAACGACGACTACCCGCACCAGTATCACGACTACGAGGGATTCAATTTCCCCGTCTCGGGCGAGTACTATGAGTATCCCATCATGAGCTCCGGCGATGTCTTTACGAGCGGCTCGCCTGGTGCGGACCGGGTTGTTTTCAACGGGCAGGATGAGTTGGCTGGTTTAATTACGCATACTGGTGCTAGCGGTGACGACTTTAAGGAGTGCACCTCCTAAGCTAGAAAGAGACTAAGCAATGTGGCCTGTTTTGGCTGACGGTGATCGCAATGAATGTAGATGACAATGAATATTTTGATCTCTAAATAGAATGTGGGAGACCGACTTTCATATAGACACATGGGATGTAGTGTCGACATGCTGTTTGGTCTTCGCAATTGATTTGGGTACGTAGAGGCAAACAGCAATCGACACCCGCACGTTCGCGAAAACGTCGGTCCTTGTCGTTGCCGGGGTTTCGTACCCTCTAAGCGACGATGGCATAATAAAGCCAGTGCAGTTCCAGCTAGAGTCGTAGCTAAGCTAATGACAGGGAACGAACGCATTCGACCAAGCTGCTTTGTTCCTTCACAACTCTTCGAGTCCTAGTGGTGTCGTAGCTAAGCTAATGACAGGGAACGAACGCATTCGACCAAGCTGCTTTGTTCCTTCACAACTCTTCGAGTCCTAGTGGTGTCGTAGCTAACCATTCAACTAATCGCATCGATTGCAAGAGTACATCAACTCTGCATCTTCGGACGAGACACCTTTTTGTAAGGACCCGCCTCGAAAGACGGCGGGACGTACGGTAGGGCAATGTTGTTCGAGTTAAATCGGGCTATTATGATATAGTCTGAGAACTAGACCATTCAAGCTTGATAGCTAGTGGCCTCTCCGTTGTGCTGTTGAGGCTATGTCTCATCATGGCAGGGGTATTAAGTAGAGAGAATTATGAAAGGAAGTGACAGGGGAACAAGGGTATTTGTACCCCTTGTGGCGGAAAGGATCTTGTGCCCTGGTCTAATGCGGGGTTGCCGTGCCCCTAGGCCTAAAATAGTCACAGGTAGGGCTTCTGTGCATAAGGTATGATGAGTCACGCGGTATTGCCTGTAAATCGGATTCTCACACGAAGACCAGCATTTAGTCTTGGGCCAGTAAGAAAGTTCCAGAATTATCAGCATCATTGCCTTCTCTAGCTCTCTCTACCTCTCAGTCCCCTACCTTTTGTTAAGACCACCACGCAATGACATCTACAAATCCAAAGCAATGTCATGCCTCCACTTCACCTTACGAAGAAATAATTGGATATTATCGAGCTGTTCGCCGCCTGAATCACATTTTCGTCTCGGGCACCACTGCCGTCGATCCTCAATCGCCAGCCAGCTCACCACAGATCCTTTTCCCAGGTGACGCAAAGCAACAGACCCGTGTAGCCATCGAAGAGTGCATCAAGGCTATCAAAGCTGTGGGCGGCAAGGGTGTTCAAGATATTGTTCGAGTGAGGATGTTCGTCAGTCGTCACGAGGACTGTGAAGCAGTGGGAGAAGGGTTTAGAGATATACTGGGGAAGCATCACCCCTGCGAAAATGGTCAGATTGGCGCCGCAGCTACGATGATCGTTGTTCAGAATGGATTTATTAATAAGGATATGCTTGTTGAGATCGAGGTTGATGCTATCGCTGACGATATTTGAAAAAGGAAAAATCTATGGTGAGCAGCTGCTGGGAGGCTGCTCCTATGACAGTCGGTTGCTGAGTTTTGCACCGTAGTGTATGGTAGCAAAAAGGCCGAAAATATTGATGCCGATTGAAGTCGCATGAAGTTTCCAAAACCGTTTGTTGAGTGCTGTCATCTCCGGCGAATGCGGAGGAAGGTCGTTACTCTTTTTATTGTCTCGGATTTCTGTTAGGTATGTGAACTTAGCTACTGCTGTACATCTTATGCCTCATTAAATACCAGGCGTCTTCGTACCTTGAATTTTCTTCGCTCTCACCACATTCCGCGTTAGGGGTCTAAAGATTGTCAAGTTGATGAGACCCGACATAGAGACAGCCACCATTGGCCACCAGGCACTGTTGCGGCTGGGCTCAGAGAGAATGCCAGAGAGATGATTTTCCCTGTAGGAGGTCAAGAAAACGATGATAGGAGTAGATGCTTGTAGCGAGAAATAGACTGGAAATATAGCAGCCTGGTGGATGCTGAAATAAGGTCGGTGGAGTGCTTTGAATGCGACAATACCATTGATGCATGTCTAGTTGTTTGTCAGCAAAGAGGTTTCGAATATGCGCTTTTCCGTCATGAGTTTTACTTACCTGAAAAGCTTGGGAGCCCAGCAGTATGCCATAGCTAGCCCACGTTAGAATTGCGTTCAACGGCCGACCGGGGTGGGCCGCATATAGAGTTTGACAGGTCAATGCATACCTGACCAAATGCCAGAACTGCAGTGCTATCATTTTTCTTTCCGATTTATTACATCAAATCTCAGTTGAGAGGGGTTGCGATAAATTTGATCGAGCTTTTCGTTTGTGTGGGAGAAAACAGGATTCAGCCGGCCGAGCCGCCGATAAGTTCCCAGGTCTGGATGCAAACGATTTAGGTTGCCCCACCGTACTGCTGGATCGAATGTTAGCTACGAAAAGTACCTGGAGACAATTTAAGCTCAAAAGCCATATTATACAAAGGCGTTATGTAAGGGTTGCTTAGCAAAATTTGTAAATATCATCATGTAGCAATCAACACCCCCATCGCCAGTCCGTCTGTGGATGCAACCAGCAGTGCACACTTGAAACAACACATTCCTCCCTCACGCTTCCATATCACTGCATTGGTTCCTGTATGACAGCACCATGCCCGTGCAAATACCTCGCTGGCTGGGCCACCGGTAGCATTGATGACCAGAATGGCCACTTTTGCAGAGCTACCACCTTTCCTTGCAATCTGTGCCAACTCCTCTATCCCTCGTACTGCGAAAGTGTATTTCTCGGAGGCATGTGGGTCCACTCTGTGTGTGCCCTGACACGGAGGCGCAGCAATGAACACGCTGTTTGTATAGAGTGTGAATGTGACGTAGGTCCGACTGCGGGTTAGGCAGAAATCAAGCCGCGCACTGAAGCTTTCTGCATCCCTTGCTATTCTCTCGGGGCTTGGTGGTGCCTTTGAGAGGCGAACAGCTTGGAGTACAGCTGTGTAGGGGGACAACTCGGGCGGTGTTGGTAGTGTCCATGCAACACCATCTCCCTGCACATTCTTGTGTTTTGTTGTTTCTTTGTCTTGACTATCCACAGATGGAGGCGCGTGGCCTGACAGCATGACCAATCTTCCAAAGGCACAATCAGGAAGAGAGACCGAAGGACATGGTCCGACCCACCCACCCAGACACCGGACCTGAGAGTGACCAGATTCTGAATCAAGGGCAAGTGGTGCCAAAACCTTGCCCAATACTGAGCGAACATTCCAGTAGGAGGCATGTGGAAAAATTATGCCAAAGCAGCCCGAATTGAGCCGAATAGCTCCGATAGGCAAGTGGCCTCGTAGTGTTGACGAGAGGTTGTATAACACCGCAACAAGTGTCATAGAGAATGTTCCTCCGGGGAGCACCCAGCCGCATATCCAGTCAGCAACTCGCAAATCAATGTCCATTTCATCGAGCACCATGTTTTGGAGTTTTATTGCTGCTTGCCGAATCTCGTCTGCATATGGCCATCGCATCTCGTCCGCAAATTTGATAACGCCATCAAGCTGCTGCTTAACTACACCGGGGGAGGGCGTATAGCCTTGTTCAGGGCCATCTTTGGGCTCCATATGTCTTGCAAATAAGTCAGCTGCCACCATGTCGTAGATGGCACGGCTGGTGATTCCGCCGTACCACCTTCGCTTGGCTCGCTGGATGCGGAGGTTTGCTTCTCGCGCTAGAAGAAGTTGGCGCATGAAATCCACGAAGCGGTAATGTGAGTCTGGGTCAAGCTTTTCATGGAATGCCACAAGACTCATACTACCCTTCTCTTCAAGGTTGGGCAGTATGGAGCTGGTTATCTCTCCGAGAAGGTCTGTGATCTGATGCCGTAGCTCGATGTTTTCATCCGGGTCGAGCCATGTGTGTCTAAGAGATATTAGAACATACGTCAGCATGGTTTTAATTGGAGCCCAATAACATACTCGGCGGGACCAATAAGTTCCCGCAGTCTTTCGTATCCTTTTTTGTCTGTGAAGTCCTCGCCAAGGCCATCCTTGACTATCTCCCTCCATCTCTGGTCCACAAATTGTGTGAGAAGTGGCTTCGTCTTTGTTCGGGACCACCTCAGTTCATCCTTTTTACGAATACTATGGGCCGTCTGCCACAACGATATCTCCCTAGCGAAACCAGTTAAGGAGGTAGATCCAGGTGACCATCCAGCATATTTCTTGTCTCCCGCAACATCAGCCTCCAGCAAATCGTCTGCAATGCTCAAAACAACCTCCGGGAAAAATTGAAACTCTTCTTACAGTATTAGCAGTTGAATATCATCAAATCCATATAGCGGGAAGTGTCATACCAAAAATGGGGTGAAATACTGGTTGCACTTGTGATCGCATCTCTGGGCTTTCACCCGAACCAACAACCCACGAGAAGCACCTGAAGCATTCCTGTTTGTAGTACGCTATGTGGATAATGAGTGCCCCGGAATCATCATATGAATCATCTAATGATCTTGGGACCGCGGAGATAGAGCTCGGGGTAGCTTCGAGAGATGCAGTAATCAAGCTTTCCACCACGGACTTGGGCTGGGGAGCTGGTGGGAGTGTAGGAACGGTGGCCGCAGTTGCCTTCGGCGTAACGGTCTTTGCCCGTAGAGGCTCTAGAGCCTGATACCTGGTCTGGCGTCGGTCGGATGTAGACAGTATCTCCAATCTCAAGCTAGCTGTCTCCGCAATGAGACCCGTAATGTCATCCGCGGCGTTTACAATTTTTGGAGCTGGCCAATGTCTTTGTTCTTCATGATTTCAGAGCGCATCTGAACCCTCACCTTCTCTCCAATAGCCGGCAGCAGTGATACCAAAGAATCGTTGATGGCCTTGATCTCGGCAAGGAGAGCTCTGAATTTGCGTTCATCTGTCACAGCCCACACAGCTTTCTTCAACGCTGATGTCTTTTTCTGGGCCTCCGATGTCCGCTCTTGGAATCGCAAGTATGTTTCCTGGAACTTAGATAGCAGCGTTCCCCTTGTTGGTGTCTTACCCCGAGCGGGGCTTTTGCTTCGGCCTTCATGTCGGGGAGCAAGGCCATAGCGTTTCTGTAGCTCTTCTATGTCCTCAAAATAGTGCGCAAAGCAAGTCAATAATCCAGCCACAGCTGGGCGCAACGTATTGCTCCGAATCGACTCGTCCAAAATGGCGAGATCATTTTCAGTAATCTCACTCGCTTTGCTCTCGGGGTTAATCTCAGCGAGCCCGACAGACTCTCCCCAAACTATAAGTCTCAGTCGCTCGACTTCTATCCTTGTTTGTAGGATCTCTCGATTGATGCCATATCTTGCTGCGGATGAAAGTGTGTTAAGTGTTTCGATGCAAGTGCTGAAGAGAGACGCCAATCCAATCACGCTGATTGCCGTGCTTGCGATCTCCATTGGGACAGCTGATAACGGAGAAATTTCCTTGGAGCAGTCCGCATTTTCATAAAAGCAAAAGTATCTCCAAGCCAAGTCCTAAGGCTTGACTATTATGTCTCGCGGAATAACCCCGGGTGCCCGTTCTTAGGCCAAGCTCTTGAAACTGTAAATTGTGGCGAAGCAGAAAGCCCGAGGAGTGGCCTAAACGAGTAATCGAGGTCCGTGCAGATGTAGCCCACGTATGTAAAATCAACGCTAGAGCTCATTCAGTAAGCGTCACTCGTATTAGCATGGGATGATCAACATGCACGCACGACAGCATAGCCGAAGCTGAATTCGGCCTGGGAGCACACATGTACATGTAGGAAAATACCCTATCTAACTCTTACCTGTTTGTCTATCATAGTACACCCCAGGACGTCATATAACTTAGGTTTCTCTACTTATCAAAAGGTCCTGTTATGGTTTAGATATTCTATAAATCTGCTCCAATAAAATCTCCGCTACGAATATTGATCATCTTTACATTACACGTTAACCTGTCCAAATTAGACATCCGACGGCGAGAGCGCCTTGACTAGCAGTCCTGATCGCACATCCAAAGCAAGTCCCGTTGCCTCTCGCCAGTACTGCATGTTGTCCATTCTCAGAGCACCACGCTCGTGCGGCCAGCTCACACTCTCCTTGTCCAGTCGCGTCAATGATGAGTACCCTCCTGTCATTATGAGCATGTCCTGGTAGCTGACTGACGCTCAAGATATTTTGCATCTTCGGTAGGTCATCTTCATGCGCAGCGTGTGGTCCGTCAATACACTTTGGTACAGTAACAAAGACCGGATTACTGTAGAGCGTGAATTCGACAGATTGTTCGTTGATCAACAACTCCAAGATTGCTCTTTGCTGTGGCTCTTTCTCCTCTCCATCAGATTTCCCGTCGATTGGCATTGTTTTCAACTTTATAGCACGAAAATCAACTTTATCGGGCGATTTAGAAGGCCCAACGGGAACAACCCATTTCGAACGATCTGCAAGCCCCGGAAGCCAAGATGACGCGCTTGATTCTTCGCGATGCCCGAACGCGAGAAATCGTTCACTATTGTCAGACTGATCTTCGGAAAAGAGATGGTTGTTGAAGCTCACGTCTCTTGCATGAACGTGCGACCAACCGTCTGCAATGTCCTCTGCTTTTAGCCCCACTGGCCTCGGAAACGGCCCGACCCAGCCATTAGCTGCTCTAGTCTCCTTCATCGCTCCAAGGACGCGGCCCAGAACGGATTTCGTTCGCCAATATGATCTATCTCCGACCACTAGGCCTGAAATATAGTATCTAGCATGGTCAAGATGAGCTAGAGATGGAGTCGCCGCCACTAGGGATGCCATAATGGTATTGACAAATTTCCGTCCAGGCAGCGTCAAACCAAAGAGCCAATCGTATAAAAAAAGATTCGTAGATCCGCCCGACCTGATATCAGAATAGACCTCTTCTGTAAATCTTCGCATCTCCCCGAGCGCGGGCCATGCCATGGTCTCAGCGAATCGGACAAGCCCCTCAACCTGCCGCTCATGTACACGGCTGTGTAGCTCGAGATAGGTAGGTTGTCCTTTAGGATCGGGGTATCTTAAATCCATGCCATTAATCCATCTCTCGGATGCCTGGCAGGCTGCGACGATTCTGCGACTCACGTTGCCGAACACAACACCCGGTAAATGAAGCATGCGCATGCGAAGCTCGTGCGCCAGAATAACTTGAAGCACAAAATTGGGAATGCTGTTGTTGGCAAGCGCTATTTCGGTGAGCGAGGGTCCGTCTTCAACATCTGGAAATACGCGGCGACGGTTGAGATTGTTTAGTATGTCGGTTATTTGGCCATGTATTCCAGACCCGCGGGGCGGACCAAGGAGTTCACTAAGATCTTGGTCTGGGGAGCGGCCGTCGGAGTTCCAGAACTGATCCCCTTGGTCTCTTATACGGCGCACCCGGTCGACCAAGACATCGAGCGGAGTACCTGGGAGCAAGCCATTGGTGTTGGAAAACTCCTGAAGTGTCGCGTTGCTATTGCGTAACCACATGTTGAATTCAGCGACATAGCCGTCCATGGTGTGGGTCCCTGGATATCTTCCATGGGACTTGCGGTCACTCTATTTTATCTGAGTTGAGACGGTGATATAATGATTACGGGAATCTTCTGTGCTTACCTCAACGTCTTGCCGGCTGAAATCAAGTTCTAAGGGTCTTTCTTTGTTTGACATATACATCAAAGCTGTTTCATGATCAGAAAACGAACCCGGGGGAAACATTAAACCATTGAAGGATCACCTACACCATGCTTGATGAGGAGGGAGGACATATTCCATCTCTTTTTGTGTCTCCGCGACAGAATCGTCACGAGGGATTCCAAAGAAATCATACCGAAGAAAGACATGATTTCCAAGATTCCAAAGCCGAAAATGCAGTGATCCACGTAGCTCCACTCGCTTGCTCATGGTAACTACCATCTTCTGCAGCTGCCGGCTTATACGTTCCACATTGACATCAGCGATGCTGTCATCCGTGATATCAATCGCTTCTGTCTCTGCCACACTTGTTGAATATTTTGATATCTCCGTAATGCGTGTGCTCGCCGCCTCGACAAGCTCCTCACCCCCGGCCAGGTCAGAAACTGCATTCTCGACGAGCTGAAGACTGTCAAGATCCGTTGACTCTTTGATCTCAGTTATCATGGTTGTACGTGTATTTTCCTCCACGTCCGGAAAAAGCAGTGTCAGGCTGTCGTTAAAGCCACGCAAATCGTTAACAAAGCGCCCAAACTTCTTCTTGTCTTTAACCGCCCATCGTGCTGCTGCAACCAGTGGCGTCTGCTTTTGAATCCGCGATGCCGACGCCTGTAGACAGGCATAGGTCTTCTTAAATGTCATTTTGACTGGGTTCTCAATGGTAAGAACCGCAACTTCATCCGAAGCTAGTTCTTGTAGCCCGTATTTCCTCACCAGGGATCCACTATCTTCAAAGAGGCGCCGCATGCAATTCAGAATATCTGCAACTGCACTGGCAACGCGCGGATCGTCAAATCGGGAATCTAGCACATCGTAATGTTCGGTGACGCCATCCCCCCGAGAGTCTTCATCTTTTGGCAAGTCATAAAGCCCCACCAAGCTTCCCCAGAGTGCCAAGCGAACCCGTTCAACCCCAACCTTCGTGACAAGTATCTTGTAGTCTGTGCCGAGATTTCTACCGGATTCGATAGCATCATACAAATCCAAGCAAGTTTTGAAAAGAGTGGCGAGGGACGCGGCCCCGAGAACAAGTCCTGCTGGGTTCATGGTGTCGCACGTGTGCCTGAAGTTATGGATAAACAAGCCAAAACCACGTCGGGGAGGACTTAATCGTGTTCAGTCGCCCCCATGTCGCCAGACTTTATCCACACTTTTATTTTATTTGGCTTTGGAGGCAACTCGTATTCAACAGAGCTAGTCTCCAATAGGATACAAGCAAAACAAGATGATTGGTTTGATAATCGCCATCCCGCTCTCGAGGAAGCACTGCCCCCTCCAGCCCCCGTTGGATTAGAAATAAGCGGATTCGGATGCAAACAGACTGTGGAGCACCCTTGGAAATGACAGCTCGAATAAAATATCGGTTTTAACATATTGACAACAAGTCCTCATATATAGTGTTAGTGAAAAGCTCACAGCCATAACCAATCTCACAGGATCCCATTCAAATGAATGTCTCCCTTCCGTTGGCTCTGCACCTTCGCAGCCCCGTAACATTCGATTGGGACACGAAACAGCGGTTGAAGCCTGGCACGGTATATTCCACTTCTGACCGTACTCGTATCATTTGTCGTCCAGAAGCTTATATATGACAATAGCGATTCAAAGAAGGCTTCTCACTGGATGAGTTCTTCTTCATCAATAACCATTCCGCTCGGGATAAATCAACTGTCCTCTTTGCAGACATCCTGCGGCCCATCTTCGATCACCAAAATTGGTCACAGCTATATGTTTTCTTCACCAAACGCTATTCTGAGGAAGAGGGATCACTCGATGCTGAGATTCGTACCGTGAATTTACCCGACAAAGGCTCAACGTGGAACGAACCGGCCGTTATCTCCATCAAGACGGACCCTAGCTCCGTCGGCTTACCTAAGGACTTCATAGGCCTCCTTGGAACAGCAAACATCACTTGCCACTCAGGTATGGTGGGGACTGATACACAGCCTTGCGCTATCGGTCCGGCCATCAGTTTTGCCTGTGGCCCAGGGACGTACATGGACCTTACCTATGCCGGTCAGCCACCTGGAAAGTATCAGGAGTACCTATACCACGATGGCAAGCTGGAAAGACATATAAATTCCGAATACCAAGTCGTGGCTGAGCCCATCGAGACGACGGAGAAAGGTGGCCGAGGACGCTATTGGGCGGAATGGGCTCGTCTGTGGACTGCCATTGCGGAATGGGTGTGGGAGTACGACAGTGAGGTACGCGCATTAGATGATTGGCCTGAGCTCCGCTTTAAATGGGAACTCAGTGCCGAAGAAATTCGCTCTTTCGATATATGTGGTAAAGTCCCGCGCGAATACCTCAAAACCCATGCTATCCAAGCTGCTGATGCCATTCGTGATGTCTTTGTTCAACTAGCGCATGAACCTCGGCGCTTCCAGGGAATCGAATGGGACTTTCTCGATATAGGGGTGCTTCAAGAGGTGCAAAACGCATTCCATGCACGCTTCGGGATGAAAAACCCGGACCCCGCAGTTAATCGGGACGACTTGCTGCGCCAGGTTGTGCGCAGTGGCTCTGTAGCGTATGATGGATACTCGGAAGCATATGATGAGGTGAGCCCAATGGTGATCAATCGTTGCCCCGAGGGTTTTTCAGGAAAGAGCTGGGAGAGATGGCTATTAAAGATTCAGGGTGGGAATGTTGTCGTCGTGAAGAGGGTCTTCCAGGTGAGTGGATGGTCCGTTTCTTCGCCATTCTGTTCAGGCTGCCATGCTGACCGTTACTGCAAGGCGCTTTGGGCTGTTTTGCTGTTATCCCACATTCCGGTGCATATCAAGATTATCAAGCCCGGTGAAAAGTTTCCGAAGTATCGAGATTTGGAGACTGTTTATATTTAGTGCAATCACCTGATGTATGATTGAGAGAGAGAGAGAGAGGCATTGTCCTCGATGCTCTTTCCGAGTCCTCAGCCGCTGAAGGACATATTAGGATATTTCTGGAGGGTCGGGAGGTGGTGCTCAGGTACTTTCGATGGCTCTGTTCAGTAGAAGCGAATAGTGGTTTGAATTGTCTTGAAACCCCGCCTGCGATCCTTTCGAAAGAGAACTTCTTGATACATCTACTGGAAGTCCTCGGGAAGCGGGCATCAGCAGACGTTTTCCATGAAGGATCTCCCGTTCTCTCAGAAGCATGGTCCCATCTGAGTATTTCGAATATCGCCGCAAATCGTTTTGCATGGAAGCAAACGTTTTCAGGCTATCATGTAGACCATTAACTTAAGGTGAAAGTGGGTGGGTTAGCTCGATAATAGATATATAGCGGATGATAAGGTATGTTTCCTACGGGCTTTGATGCGTTCAGACATTTAGGGCGGCGAAGAGATAGGTGGTTCTCCTCTATTTGACCATCTGACGGGTGACTGGATCAGAAAGTAGACGAAGAAGAATTTTAATGGAACTATGGATGCGTTGGATACTCCTATATAATACCATTTGTCAAACCGGGGAATGTGAGTCGTGGCTGATACTGCCTGGTGGACCCGAGATATGTACACTAGGCAACTAGAACCTAGAAATTGATCTTTAAATCCCAAATGTAGCTTAGTACATGCCGAAGTAGGGATGGTAGCTCTAAAATGGTAACTGTACCAACCAAATCATGAAACATAGTAATAGTACGGACTATGGTGCATGAGTAATAATCGGTTTAAAAATGAAGGCAAGTCCTTCTCGATGCTTTAAGTGACAGACGCCAAGTGAGCCATTCCCAAGGTAACTTAAGGTTTCTATTGGGTGGTAAAAGATCCCCGTTGCTGAAGGTTCTCGATGCGGCCAAGCAAAAATTCCAGATGGCGATAAGCAGCGCCCGGAACATACTGTGGGATTTCTGTAGTCAAATGGGTTAGAATTCGGATTTCGAAATTGAATGCAACTGTGCTTACCGTGGCCAGAGCCATACACAGTGCTGAAAGTCAGCCCACGCTCCGTATGTGCCGTTCCCAGGAGTCCACCGCCGGCGTCCGCAGTGAATGGAGACGACTCAATACCATTGGCAATTGCGTTCAAAGCATCGGTGTACGGAACAAACAGGGGCTCAACAGGGGCATGCTGGAAGCCTTGTGCACCGTTCCACGTCATGTTCTGAATGGTGGCGAGCGAGCCGTTCATGAACAGCAGATAGTCATACCACCCGTGGCCGATGAGTACGTTGTTCGTTCGCTCAATCACACTAGGAAGAGGTCCAAGGGCACTAGGGACGGATCCATCTCCTCTGGGGAAGATATCCCCACCGCAGACGGCGTAGTTGGTAGGCGGGACGTGAAGAGCTCTCTGAACGGCAGACTCGTTGAAGTAGTTGTTCGGACCGCCAGCCAGGGAGGGGAAACCCATCTCATCCCATAGGAACGGACAGAAATCGGTCAGATGATACATGTTGAAGCAGGGGTTGATGTAGGTGGCTGCCTTGATAATATCGTCCCATGTATCACACCCAGGTCCAGCATTCGCAGGCGGGAAGTCCTTCGGTGGAGGGAAGGTCCAGGCCGCCTCCAGAAATTTGGTGTGTCCACATTTATCAGCGCGCTGGTTAATTTCAGTCATGAAGGTATCATTCAATGAGAAGACGCTAGAGAAGTGGTTCAATGCCGCGGTAGCGGGCGCTATTGAGTGTTAATAGCAAGGAAGTTCAAGTTTGTATATGAGAATTTACCATAGATCATGACGCTATCTTCATTGATAGACGGGTCGTTGATTTGGATACCCTTCAGGTTGAAATGGGTGGTATCATTTTGATCCAACATTCCGGCGGCGAGATATGGGATGTACTGTCCGGCATAGCTCTCGCCAGTGATATAAACCTTGTAGCCCTGCATGCCAAAGGTCTGGATAAACCGTCTCCAAAAATCATTGAATTGATTGGAGACATCGATCTCGTTCTGAACAGTGGCGGGACCTGGTGAAAAGCCAGTGCCAGCAGGCTGGTCAATATAGACCATGTTGGTCAGGTTGGTCCACGAGTACGGGTTCTTCACCGGCTGGTAGACACCAGACTGCCAGAGGAATGGCCCGTTTTCTTGGAGCAAGCCATCAAGAGAACTGCATCCGGGACCTCCATTAAGCCAAATGGTAATCTGGGCACAGAAGTCAGCCTAACCTATCGTGGTGACGATCGCTTCGCATTGTCTTACCTCCTTCTTGGCATCTGGGTTAGTAGAGGGGAAAAACCAGAAGAACAAGCTAGAGTTGCCATGAGGAGTGTTAGGCAGGAGACCAGCATAGCTCTCGCCAATGTCAAAAGGGACCTGAGGGAAATTGGCGCCATCGACCATGAATTCTAGTAAGCGGAAGTCAGCATCTTGGTTCGTTCTAAATATACCGATCCTGTAACGCACTCTCCGTTGTCTTGGTCCGATACTGATGCTCCGTCTGCCCAGACGATGCAGTTTTGTGGCTTCGCGAAACAGCAGGCTTCTTGTGTTGCACAGCTTTGCGATGAGGATTCTGCAAGGCAGAGGCTGCAGCCACCAATAACGTAATTGAAGCCAAGACACGCATCATGAATTACTTGTGTCCGATTGCAGACGGGGTCTTGAATTGAAAAGCGGAGACAGTAGCAGGTCTGCCATTGCTTTATAATTTTAAGAAGATACGGCCTCGGATGGAGATAACAACCTTGAGCGGACCCAGTAGTAGTGGGGAAAACTGAGGTATTTGTTAATGGCGCTTGCAGATCTCCGACGGCCGTAACTTGAGCGGAGCAACCCGTCAATTACGCGTTGTAGAAGAGCTCACGATTCGTTGCCCGTGCTGCGGGGTTGACGAGGGTTGCACTGCAGCTCAGGGCGACCACGGAATAACCGACCGCGCAAAAGGTCCCGATAAAGAATCGACGCAGTGATTTTGCCTAAATAAGATAATTGGCCGGTCGATCGGATTGAGTCTTGCAAAGAAATTCCGCTGCTGCCTTCGCAGTGAGACATGATTGTTGGAGAATTTTGAAGATCAAAAGATCCCGGCTAGCCGTGTCATGACGACCTTCCTCATCCGGCCTATATTAGCCGTGACCCAAAGAATCAATCCATGCACGCGGAGTCCGTAGAAGCCCGGTAGCACAAACGAGGCTCTGTGAACTGAAAACCGGGTCTTCGATTGAGGCTGTGCCTTGAATAAATTCGGAGTCCGTGATAGGCTCCACATAAGGATCAGCACAGTGCAAAGCTATAGCGCTAACTATCAGCAGGCAGCAGAGGCTTAGTTAGACCCCTGAGTTTGGAAGGTTCTCCGCTCATAAGTCTCTCAGGGCAGAGAACATATCTCCTCGTTTTATGATATTTGGCCCCCGATGATCCTCGCACCTAAAGAGCTTAGTTCTAGATCTGCTACAGTAGTTTCACTCTATGCTACTTAAAGTTAAAAATCACATCTGGCCATCAATCTGAGACAAGGTCATCGATGATCTTTGTGATTGTGGTCTAGAAGGCTGCCAAAGTAGTCTAAAGGGTGTAAAAATTAAACATTCGCTTGCAACAATTTGGCACATAATGTTGAAAAGGACTTAATTATAGACATTACGCTTCTTCCACTTGTTCTCTCCATTTCCCATGGTCTCTCTCATGCCTTCACTTCCCTCCAATGATGTCCAATGAGCTCTGCCACCTCGACAGCAGCTGATCGTCCCATGCGGAGTGCAACAAAATGCAATGCTCCGTCTATGCCATTGGTAACCGCACCAGTAGTAATGATCCTGACCCCAGACTCGTTGATCCCGGCGTCGCAATATGGAACGGCATCACATGGATCCTCAGGAATTATCCGCGTGCCTTTGGCATTATGTGTTTTGGTAATGTACTCTTCGCACGCGGTTCGTAGAGCCTTCGTCGCAAGGCGATGTGTTGTCGCTGTCAGCCCGTCCAGTACGCCGGCAACCCCGAGCAATAAGCCGCCCACGCAGACAGAGAGAATAGTCCTCTGTTTCTGGTCAGTTTGTATATGGGATTGTGGTTTTGCAAAGGCTATGATGAAGTCGACGAGTTCCAGTAATTGCCCGTTCTCGGGTTGAACATAGGGCAAGATATTCCTTGATCGTGAGCCGGGTACTATGAGGATATCGTAATCTGATAAGTGCTTCTTGGCCTCCGAGAATGAAATGGTTCTCTTGACAACGATATTTTCCTGCGATGTGGTGAATTCGTCTTTTGCGGCGATTGTGATGAAGAAATTAGAGTTGGAGAGAATAGATATTGGACCTGTGATGTCGAGGGTGTTGAACGCTTGGAAGATAACCACGAGCGCTGATCCGACCATCTTGAAAATTGAGTCCCCACGCTGTAAAGGATGCAAGAAGATGCAAAAGTACAAAAACTTGAAATTCAGGGAACGGTTTTCAAGAGACCCTATTGTTCATGACGTCACAAAGGGTCTTGATGGCAGGGTCGCATTGGCTATCGGATCACCAAACATTCCAACGGAGTAAATCACCAGCTGGACTCGGACAATTAATTAAGCTTGCATTGTTAATTGAGCCGGCACGTTTGAGCTAACTAACTACTTTCCACCTGTCTTATCAGTATCCTCCCAATGGTACTCTCAGTGTGAATATATTAGTTACAGTTGCAGTGCTAAAGTCCGGACCCCTCCAAAGTACCTTTCTTTACCGCCTCCTTATAAGGGACATCCCACCCATCAATAGTAGTTTTTGAGTGGTTAGACGCCACTTCCCAGGCAGGATATTAGCGCAGTACTTCGAAGGGTTCAGACTTTAGCAAGGCCGCGTGCCTTACTCTCAGTTGTGAACCCTATAATATTTCCTTATATCTCCCAGAGTAAGAACGCCTAGCTCAGGTCGAGTAATAAACGACTACGCTTTTCTTCCTTGTTGATAATATTATTATTTTATACAAATTAACTGGATGAGCTTTCGTCTTTGGTATGGTATGACGGACTGTCATTTCCGAGGTACTAGCGGCTCCTTGCTCGACTGCTTTCTTTGGCCTACTTCTGCCGAAAGGAAAAAGGACACTAGGCTCTGCTGTAAATCCTGGGACTTCAGTGGCGGTTGGAAGCCGTTGCTTTGGCTTTGACATTGATAATGTCGAGTTTTGGGGGCCGTTTTGCCGTCGGTGTTGTGAGTGGCAGTGATCATGAAGGCGTATGAGGGGCAACTGTCAGCTCTAAATGCCATACCCGTCCACTCATCCAACTCTACACCTTCAACCTCTTCCAAGCGAACCGCTCAAGCGCAGCACATAAAAAATAAATAAAAAAATGGCCAAAGTCTACACAACGGATCACTCGAGCTCCGTCATGCGCACACACGGCTGGCGCACGGCCTCCAACTCTGCCCCCTACCTGCTCCAGCACCTAAAGCCCAACATGCGCATCCTCGACGTGGGCTGCGGACCGGGGACCATCAGCACGGATCTCGCCAAGTATGTCCCAGACGGACAGGTCGTGGGCGTAGAATACGTCCCCGACCCACTAGAGGGCGCGCGGCAGTTCGCCGCTGCTGCGGGGGTGACCAACATCAGCTTTGAAGTGGGCGACATCCACGCCCTGAAATTCCCAGATGACAGTTTCGACGTCGTGCACGCGCATCAGGTCCTGCAGCACATCGCGGACCCCGTGCAGGCCCTACGAGAGATGCGGCGCGTTGTCAAGCCCGGCGGTATTGTTGCCGCGCGGGACTCTGCCGCGTTTGAGTGGTATCCCGAGAACGAAGGGATTGCCGCGTGGAAAGACGTTGTCGATAAGATGCAGCGTGCTAAAGGCGGTAATCCGCATCCCGGGAGGATGATCCATGCCTGGGCGGCGAAGGCGGGCTTTGCGAGGCAGAATATTGAGAAAAGCGTTGGGACTTGGTGCTTTAGTAGCGATGAGGAGAGGGCGTATTGGGGCGGGTCGATGGCGGAGAGGGCGCAGTCTTCTGGATTTACAACTATGTCTATTCAAGAAGGTTATGCGAGCCGCCAGGACTTGGAGGACATCGCATCGGGATGGCGGACTTGGGCGGAGGATCCAGACGGTTGGTTTGCGATGCTGCATGGGCAGATTCTGTGTTGGAAAGAGGAATAATCTACGTAGGCCTCTGCGTAGAGAGTATATAGTACCTGAGTAGGATCTTTGAAAGAATTGTGTTCATGATAAGGTCCTATTCCACAAGTATAAAGAGCGAACGAAGGACTGCTGAAAGTGCTCAGCGGAAAGATAAATCATGGCTTCAGAGCTGAAAGAGTATCTCAGAAAATAAACAACAGTGCAATCGAGCAAAGCACACACAAAATAAAGCCGTAGGATTTCAAGCACCGCATTTACCAGCCATCATCTTCACGGTAGTCCTGATAGGACTGATCCTCACGGCCCTCTTCATAGGCATCATCTCGCTCCTCGACCAGCTCCTCCTCATTCTCTCTTTCCTCATGCTCATCTACATATAAAATTAGCATGGCCTCCTTAACAAATAAAGCAAGGATGCAAAACTAACCATATTCATGTTCCAGAAAAGCTCCAGCAAGACCACCAACTGCCAAACCCGCAACACCGCCCGCCAAATACTTCCCAGCATCGCTGTGCTTCTTCTCTTCGACGTATTCGGTACGCTCCTCATACACCACGGGCGGGGGTCCAGGTGCCGCAGCATAATACTCCCCCGGAGGACCTCGGTTCTCATACCCATACGCACGCTCAACATAGGGCGGCTCCCATTGCGAGCGGCCGGTGGCCTCTTCCACCCAGAATGCGCGGCGTACATTGGGCTCCCACTCTTGCCTCCAGCCGGCGGGCAGTGGCGGCGGGGGGATAGCGGGAGGTCGGATGAGCGGTGGTGGTGCGCCGTACTGAGCGCTCTCGTAGGGAGGGCGAGCGTAGGGGTCGCCGTATGGTGGAGCATATGCCATTTTGATTTCGTAGGAAGTCGGTATTCAGAGAGGAATGGTGGAAGAGAAGAGGGAGAGAGAAGAGGGAGAGAGAAGAGGGAGAGAGAAGAGGGAGAGAGAAGAGGGAGAGAGAAGAGTGAGAGAAAAGAAGGAGAAGGAGAGTAGAAGGATGAGTGTGTGGTGGAGTAAGAGGAGGGGCAGCTTTTTTATAAGCAAATAAACAAAAAAAGAAAAAGGACAACAATGCCAGTAAGATCAGTGGAACTCTGACGTTGCGGGAAAGAAGGATGCAGCTTGCATCTTAATAGGGTAAGTTACTTGGTCATTGTCCATTACATATCAGTCTTGTCGAACCGAGAAGCTTAAAAATTGACTAGAAGTAACTAAACGGTGCTGAGGGGGGGCGGGTCCAATGCCTGTCATCATTTTAGTCTGTCTTGAGGGATTTTAGTTAGCAGTGTAGGCCGTTATGAAAGGAGGGGCACAGTGAACGCTCGCGCCGTTCCCTTCCGGTTAGGCAGATGCAAAAATAACCCCTGACGGACAACTGATAGTCAGATTGATAACCACATTGCAGCTTTAGTTGTGGGAGCATGAGACGCACGCCAGTGTGTGACAGTAAGACGGGCATTTCGTTAGTTAGGGTGTTACATTCTCCCCAGTGCACCTTGGACAAGCATCGGTACAGCTGATCAACCCCTGAGCGGCTAGTCTCCACACCGGCCGTTGCTTGATTGTTTCGAGTGGCGGTCTGTGCTGAATTGTCGTTATTATTCCCTAACTGGGATTCAATTCCAATTATGCTATGGCTGAGTGTAAGTCAGTAATCACATCAGACAGAAGTTCACAACAGTCCGTGGCATTTCCGAGCTTCTGCTGCTTTGTTAGGTGCATTAGTTACTACTGACGATTTGCGTACCAACAAGTGGCGCAGCAGGGCTGACACACAGCCACTCGCTGGAACACACGTGGCGCAGCACAAGTTAGTTTCTCTCCGTAGTTTCGGGACGGATTGATAGACTGCTTGCTACAATCAGGGCATTATCGTCCAGCACCGGGTCAGAGGGGCTGAGGCGAGGACGCTGGTTGTCAGCAAGAGAGATGCCAACCAAGTATCTCAAATATGCGATTACTTTCCCGTTCAAAAGTCCCGGTGAATCAGGGTGATATTGGCTTCTTAAGAGTTCGGCAGCCTTCTTACGAAAGTCGTCTCCGGGGCCCGTCTGGTATAGCTACTAGGGAGTCATGTCAGAAGTTATTAGGTACTTACTTTCTAAGTAGGCACGCTGTACTGGTGTGGTGTTGGGATGGAGTTGGTGCCCATCCCCATATCGACAAGAGTGTGTATTCAACAAGATACAGAAGTGAAAGACAAAAGGACTAAGCTAATTCCTATCCCACAAGACATGATATAAACCCTAAGCCACTCAAGCAGAGGCGGATGTACTGTCCCGCTGGTGCATGCGCGGTGCAGAGGAGCTGCATCGATCGGCATGGCCGTCCTGACTAATTGGGCCCCGAGCCGGCGAGCGTGCTGGTCTGGTTGGTGTTGGGGTAAAAGAAGGCCGCCAGGGCGATAATCACGTATGCGGCGATCAATAGCGCACCTTCCAGGTAGTTGCTTCGGCCGTCCAAAACGAGGAAGTTGACCACGAATGCGGTAACGAAGAGACAAATCGTCTCGAAAAGGGTGAAGTAAAGGGACATGTCCTTCTCCATGCACCAGCCAATTATTACCACCAGGGGAGTGACGAAGATTGCTATAAGATAAGAGTTAGGACTGGATGTTGAGGAAGGCAAATACGGAACACCTACCAATTTGAATGCTGCTGCCCACTGAAACACCAATGGCCAGGTCCATCTTGTTTTTCGTGGCCACGCTGACGGCCGTGACATGCTCAGCCGCGTTGCCCACAATGGGGAGGATGATAAGACCAATGAATGCCTCGCTGACCGGTGACCCGCTGGCAATCATGTTAGGAATGGCATCGACCAGGAACTCGGCACAGATAGCCACAAGGACAGTGGACATCAGAAGCAGGACGACGGCCGCGGTGCGAGACATTTGTGGCTCTGGCTCCTCGATGACTGGGTTCACCACGATATCATCGGTCGCAGCCGGTTGTCGAGCAGCACCGCGGGCAAACTGAACGGCATTGCCAGCTGGTGGAGGCCGTGGGCTCATATGAGCCGGTAATGAGTTACTCCGGGCAAGAGACGGGCGCGATGTACTGGTCCCAATGTGAGGGGAATTACCCGGCGACTGAGAGCTGAAGACGGTATTGGACAACAGCGACGGAATAGGTCCGAAGGGGGACTTTCTCTTGGGTACGCCCGCAGCGCCATTCTCCCCGTCGAGCTCAGTCTGGATCTGATTCAAGTTGGGAGCCGTGGCAAATCCCGTCATGCCAGAACGCTCGGTTCCAGCCTGAGCAGTCGCAGCCTTGGCCTGCTTCGCCGCCTGTTTCTCTGCTTGTCGCCGCTCAGCCCGGCGCTTCTTCCTCTCACGCCTCTTGGCCTTCTCGTCGCTTTTAGAGCTTGCAATGCGACTCAGCGCCAGTCCAAAGTCACGCGCGCGGACCTCAGAGCCCTTACGACCGTCCTCATCGCCATCATAGGGTCCATCATCGGCGAAATCAATTGCAAAAGACTGGTTATCATCCTTGGGATCGGCAATGGAGTTGCCAATAGAGGAGCTCTGGTTTTCAGTCGACAATGTTCTTTCGCCCATTGTCTTTCTTCGGGTCGACTGGCCGGAGCTCGTGCTTGATTTGCGATGTTTGCGGTACTTCATTGCCCTCTTAATTCGTTTAGCCGTCGTCCACGAGGTGGTGGTATCGACGGATTCATCACTAGAGCTCGTCGACGAATCGGAAGAGCTGTTCATGAATTCCGCCAGCACACCGGGGTGCGACTCTTCGTCGATGATTTGCTGAGGGATACTCGCGTACAGGTACGAGTGCGACTTCAGCTGGAACACGATGTACAGGACGTACATCACCAGAAGAACCACGCTTGTCCCGCGGCTGACCTTGAGCGTCTCTGTGTCGGCCTCGGTGCTGTTCGACCACGATGCGTGGAAAGCAGTCGGGAGCAGTAGACTGCACACACTCAGACTGAGAAGACAGGCGCTCATCTGGGTGACGGTGCTGTTGTAGATCTGCTCCTGGAAGCGGAGCCCTCCCAGCAGAAAAGCCATGCCTAAAATCAGGAGCAGGTTGGCCAAAATAGAGCCTAGTAGCGACGCCTGGACGATACGGATCTCGTTCTTGACCAGCGCAATGATGAAGATGATCAATTCCACGGCGTTGCCGAAGGTGACGTTGATGAGCGCACCAATGGTATCACCCAGACGACTGGCGACGCTCTCGGTCGCGTGGCTCAGCAGACCAGCCAACGGAATAATGGCCACTGCGTTCATCGCAAAGACGACGCCGGAGTTCAGGCCGGCCGCCTTGACCGCGATACCCACGGGCACAAAGAGCAGCAGGACATTGACCCAGCTGTGGAAGAGGGCGTCCTTGGTATGATTGCCGAACCGGATGCAGCCATTGCGCATGCGCAGGCCCAGGCCCGGTTTGGGGGTGTTGTTGGACTCATCGAGGGCTGCGGGAGCGCCCTCAGTGGGCGGATTCACTTGTCCATCCTGACAAGAGGTTTTCTCGGGGATCTGACTCGCCCGTTTGGAGGAATCTGGGTTGGAGGGAACACGAGCCGTTGCGTGAGCTTTCGCCCACGAGTTAATCCGGTCTGTCAGGGGAAAGCACAGTCAGTCAGCGATACGAGATAAGAGCCGATCGCAGCGAGATGGCAAGATGACGCCACGGAGTTACTCACGCATGTATTAGGAAAACCAAGCGTGGAGTGCAAGAAGGCGAAAAGCCTGGGGGGGATGAGGAAGAAGAAAAAGGGAAAAACGTGGAAGAAAGCAAAACGAACAAAGGAAGGAAGGCTGAGCGATCGGACCGAAACTGGATTGATTGATTACGGAGCTTGGCAGCTTGGCGTGACCCAATATTTAAAAGTGAAAGGATGGCCCTACGATACCCTCAGAGTGGAATGCATGACGACTTCCCTGACAGTCCGACACATTCTCGGACTCGCGTTCGCTGCGTCAGCTGCATCCCTGGATTTATTTTCATGATGTCACTGTCGAGACACATAACTACATTCGCAGATGAGGAGACGGGTGCCGATCGTGGTAAATGGTGCGAGGTGGCGTCCTTGGCCAGGTTGTAAGTAACCGGATCGGACTCGGTCCTTGGCCAGTCCCTTTGGGAGGTCATTATTATGATTCGTGACAATTAGTCCACCAGTAATGGCTATAATATCCATTCAGAGTCATTGTAGTATCTCGCACTGCCTCGAATCCCAATCGAGCCACGGATGTGAGCCCCACTGCCTCTCCGCAACCGCAGCGATGTGGCTGAGTCCATTGCCACATTTCCAGCAGGACTAGGTGATTGTGATTTTGTTGGGACTGAGTCTTAGGCCTTCTTGGAATAATGCGAACAAGATGAGGTAAGATGGCAATGGGGGACAGTCATATTTGGTCGCCTCTTGTTACTCCAGTTTGTATGGCCAAAATTATAAGGTTTGTTGTAGCTGCCAGGTATCTCTCTCACTGCGGTGATATATATCTTCAACTCGGATAGGGTCCATACCAACATATTCTGCAGCGACGGACCAGACAATGCAGAAAACATAGAAATTTTCCAGGAAAAACAATCTAAAACCCTTTACTGATTTAGCAATGTCATGGAGACAAGCAAAGTCGTAGATCAGATTCTCCTGCTGTTGTACAAGGGAGTTTGACGGGCGGCTAATCGATCAGACGTCATGTGACCACCCGCCATCGACATCATTGCTCTCAATCTCTGGAACGCCGATGGGCGATGCCGTTATCTCGGAGGATCTCCAAGACTAAATCTTTTTTCTTGGTCGAGTGAAGTGCAAAAAGTCAGTCCGCTTCATGCGCCCCTCAGCTCGGCATTGGTCTCGGCACGGCATCCCGATCGAACCCGATCCGCATGCAGCCAACGATAATCAGATCGAACCGCCTGTTCAAAATTTCCCCTGCCCACGCCATGGCAATTGTTTCCCTTTGATTGACTGTCATATAACCTTCGATACAGTGCAGTCTATTTGGATGAACAGCCACAGCTAGGACGATGGCTCAAAAGGCGTCCGGGCCGTCTCGGTCTGGGTTGCTCGAGTGAGTACCTACATCCCGTGGTTTCTCGAAGAGAAGCTAACAAGAGAAATCAGATATCTAAATCCAATGACCTGGTGGTCCAGGCTGGAATTGGATTCGCGGACTGTGCTTATGATGCTAAAGGGCGCATTGATTCCGACCCTTGTGATTGCCATGTACCGAGCCATACCAACCATATATTGGTGTCCCATGCTGAAAATTACTATAGATATCAAACTGATGCCATCTCTAATATCACCACTACTATTGGCTACCTATCCGCCTTGATGTCAATTGTTGCTCAAGGTCTGATGCCGCGAGCCAAATTCATGAAGATCATGTTCTTCGATCTGGTCTCCACCTGTGTATCTGCTTCTCTTTGCTGTCTTACTGTGTTCTGCTCTGTCAAAGCCAGAGAGCACAACACGCCCGCCAATGCCAGCGAGAGTGTCCGAAACGGGTACAACAGCGATGCCTGTGCCGTGGCCGCAGTGTGGCTGATTTTCATGATATGGTATGTATGCTCACCCCAAGTCTTCTGAATACACCACTGATCATATACCCAGGGCTGCAAATTCACTTCGTGCCTTGCGACCTATGGAGCTCCAGGACCCTATGGTTGCTTTCTCCATTTTTGCCTCGGTCACCATCACCCGCGCGGGCATGTTTACCACACTCGCCGAAGGACTCGATTTCATATCTCGACTGCTCAAGGGGTTTATGATTGGGTTCGCGGTTGCAACAGGTGTGTCGTTGCTCATCTTACCAATCACTAGTCGAGGCAACGTCTTCCACGACATCAAGGGCTACGTGACATCCGTCGAAGGGGTGCTGCAGTCCCAAGTATCATTTGTGGAAGACAGCTCCACCACTGGACTGTTGATGGGAAGGGGCCTGCTTCGTCGAGCACGGACTGCGATGAGTACGAGGGACATGCAGATCGAGGGCGAGCCAGAGGTGGTGGAATCCAAACAAAAGCACTTGCAGGCATCCATGGCGAAGCTCAACGGGCTGCATAGTAAGCTCCATGCTGATCTGTTCTACTCCAAGGATGAACTCGCATGGGGGAAATTGTCAGCCGAAGATCTCAACGCTATTGCCTCGCTCTTTAGGAGTCTGCTGCTTCCGCTCTCTGGAATGTCCATGCTGCCGGAAATCCTGGAGATGATTGTCAAGAATGAAGGTCCACACGATTTATGTGATGACGACGACGAGGACAACGGTGTGGATGACGAAAGGGGCCTCAAACATTCGGAGATCCAAAAAGTGGCGCAAACCCTGCATGAACGCTTGCTCAGCTCCTCTGATCTTGTCAAGCTGGGGCTCCACTATTTTCTCTTGTCCCTGGAGCTTATCAAGCCTAAGCATTTGGACAAGCAAAAGAAGAATAGCAAGGGTGGAGTACAGGCCAAAGATGAGGAAGCAAGGGGTGAGACACTCAGCCCACTGGAGCCCGATTTTGTGGAGAGGTACGAGTATGAGCTGCGCAACTATTACTCGCGTTGGAAACACCTGCCTGAGGCGCTCGCGTCTCTTGAGGCATTTTCAGCCTCTGAGAAACCCATCCCTAAGGAGTCCGGCTCGCGGGTTATTGCCGCGGATCGCGATGTGCGCCAGGAATTCTTCCTCATTCTGTACATGGACCATCTGCAGGATGATCTGCTTAACGCGACGCTGCAGCTTGTGCAGTTTGCAGCTAGCAAAATTGCCGATGGGACGATGAAACATGGCCGATTGATCTTCCCCAAGCAGAAATCCATTCGCGAGTGGTTCTCTCTTAGCACTGACAAGAAAGCTGCCGATGCGGAACCGGATCGTCGTCAACCTTCGCATGTGGATCCCTCGATGATCCAGCGTTCACAGCATGACGCTGCCTTTCCGGACCCCGAACACCTGCCGCCCGCGAACGTCTTCGAAAAATTGAGCGTGGGACTGCGAGCTGTCTCTCATATGATCAAATCCGACCAGAGTAGCTTTGGTTTGCGGGTGGCAGCCGCATCATTCTCGGTTGGGATTCTGGCATTTCTTCACCAAACCCAAGACTTTTTTATACGGCAACGATGTATCTGGGCCATGATTGTCATTGTGATCGGCATGAACCCGACCAGCGGACAGACCATGTTTGGCTTCGTGGCGCGCATAGTGGCGACGGCGATATCGCTCGTTCTCAGCTTGATCGTTTGGTATATAGTTGATGGCAAGACGGCTGGAGTGATTATTTTCCTGTATCTTGCCAATGTGTTCGAGGTACGTACTCTGACACAACTGTATAACATGCATTTACTGACTACCTCCCTCTAGTATTACTTTTATGTCAAGGTGCCGCAATACTTTGGCCCATCTGTCATTTCCATCGTCACCTTGAATGTGATTGTTGGTTATGAGCTGCAGGTATGTGTATATCCTCGTTTTGCTCCTATCTAACTAACCACCACAAAGGTTCGCAAACTCGGCTTCGATGAGGCCACCTCCAACGGCCAGCCGTACTACCCAATCTACCTATTCGGCCCTTACAAACTGGCAGCGGTGGCAGCAGGCTGCGCTATCTCATTTTTCTGGGTGATCTTCCCGTATCCCATTACTGCAAAATCTCAATTACGGAAGCTACTCGGCCGGAGTCTGTTTGTACTCGCCAAGTTCTACAGCTGCATGCACGCGACGATCGAGTGCTGGCTCAGTGACGAGCTAGGCGACCTCCAAGACACTCACTCGCCCGCACACAAACTCCAAGCTTCGCGGCACAAGATCTTCAAGGAGGAAATGATGCTCTTGACTGCTCTGCGCATGCACAGCCATTTCAGCACCTACGAACCTCCGATCGGCGGCAAGTTCCCCAAGCAGGTTTATGACAATATCATTGCGGAGATCCAGCGCATTCTGACAAGCATGTCCCTGATGGCGCATACAACGCAGAAGCTCGATGCCTTATCGGTGGACTCGGAGCCCTCGGAGCACGAGAGTGACAGTCAGTGGATGGCGCAGCTTGCAGAGATTGCCTTGAAATCGGCAGACTTCAACTCCCACCGGATTACTTCGTTGCTGTGCCACTTATCCGCCGCGATCATGAATGCCCAACCCCTGCCGCCGTACTTGACTACTCCAGACTCCTTTCCTCTTGCGCGCCAGATGCAGAGGATTGATGGTGAGCTGTTGAATATTCGACATGTGGAGGATCCGGCGTTCTCGGCGTTCGTATCGCTGGAGGTGCTTCGGTCGGTTGTTAGCTTCAGCTTGCAGGAGCTGCTTGAGTATGTTGTTCTGCTACACCTCTCGAGTGTGCTCTATGTTTGAAACGGAAAATGTACTAACGCGTCTATAGTAACGTAAGGAAGCTGGTCGGTGAGCTGAACTTTGACTTCTCTTTCCGACAGACACAGCAGTATGCCGAGTCGGCGCGACTGATGTCGGGCTCACATGGGGAGGCGGAAGAGGAGAGATAGATCTGTATAGATTTGTATACTTCGGTACAGGTAATCCTAGGGAAGAGTCATTATTGAAGTGATTATCTCATTACACATCATTCATCCGAAGAGTAAGCCCGCAGTCCCAGCTGATACTCCCATAGACTCCGTCGCAATGCATGTAGGTTGTCTCGAGAACCTGGAATACACAATTGGCATTCAGTCCACCACACTTATTCTCTTCATACTTACTTTCGCATCAACTCCTCATCTCGACTTGCTTCGACTTAGAGTGCTCCCCGTACTCCCGATCCACGGCGTAGGACCAGTGCAGTTGCGGGTAGTAGAACGCGAAGAAGACAATAACCGCTACGAGGACGAGCAGAGTCGGTAGGAACATGAAGATGAAGAGGACCAGGCTCAGCCCAATGGCCGCATGTTGGCCGCTGAGGAAGTGCTGGGCCATGAGGTCGAGGATGATGGAGGAGGAGGGCATCGACAGTGTCTTTGTGTGTGCGTGTGTCGGTAGTTGCAGGTGGTCGGTTGGAAAGTCAATTGAGAATGAGCTATATAGGAAGCTGCGGAATACAGAGGACCCTGCACCGCCTCGGCGTGGCTTGGCCGTGTGGCTGAAATGCTGGTGCCTGCGTGGTGGTCGTCATTATTAGATTATCAAGAGAAGGCAGCCGGATTTCCAGAATAATACATAGTTTCTTGCCTAAATAACCCTGTCACTGACTCCATTGTTTGGCTACGAGGCAATCATAGTGATGCTCCATAGTCCCCTCTTGGCGAAGGCAGGCAGCAGCATTTTCCCCAAGTCCGCCAGTAATCCCTTAATTCCATAGCGAATCATCACTTTTTCTCTCCACTCATGCCTAGTTGGAATGAATAGATCACATAACCTAAAAATTATAGACAATCCTCCATTCTTGCCTATTCCTCTCAGTTCCCATCCACTGTATCCTCTTATAGTTCGTGGCCGGCTTACCACCTAGACGCATGGTGGGGCCCTTGACTAGCTTAGGTTACACAGAAAAAACCCCCCAGTGCCGTCAGCATGCTTCTGCCAGCCATTGGAGAACTTCCTTCTGACCGGGATCACTGTACGTAGCAAATAATGGACAGAACCAACCAAGGCAACATCCTGCGACGATCGCCAACTCCATTGGTGGCGAGCAAAACATCCCGCCCCGATCCCCCGTAGGGCTGAAGCTTAAACGTGGGTCCAGGGGAGCTCCGATTGATTCTGCAACAGACCGGGGGAGGGGGAGTCCGTGTATTAGGATTGCATGAGATGTAATAATTAAACAGAGATCTCCGACCGACTGCAGGGAATAAGTTCGAGTCAATTGGACGGACAAATATGGTCAATGATGGATGATTCTATGGTGGGACCCTGCCGCTTATTTCCCCCACACCCTTGCCGGCTTTTGTTTTTCCTTCCTTCCTTCCTTTCTTTCGTCCCTCTTCCCTGTCTCACCGTCTTCCCCCCTGCCATTCCCCGACCCAAGATGTCTTGGCTCGCAGGGTATGGCAAGGACGCCGAGGAGGAGAACGACAACCTCGGCGTCGACTGGGTGCTGCAGTATGAGTTTGGTGATATTGGTACATCATTATTCACAATAATCGGCATATACTGGTACTGACGGACCCCTCAGACCAATCACAGGCCATTGCAGAATACCGCACCCTCATCCATGACCTGACCGAAGCTGGTCTTCGCGTCCAGGTCCGCCACGGCTATGGTGCATCTCTTCTGGTCTGCATCCGCGTCCCGCGCGATCAGTTAGGCCACATGATCCATAAATCCAGACTAAATGACTGGCTGTGTGGAATCACCCATACCTTGCCCGTGGGTGACGAACACACTACCGCCGCCGCAGACACGCCCGCTGAGGAGCTTCGCTCGGTCTACCATACAATCACCTGGCAAAAGGAACTCGGCGGGGCCGGCGTCACACCCAAATTCGGAAAGTGGAAGAATGTCACGGCTTCGTTCCCATTACACGACCAGGACGCCTGTGGGGAACTTCTCAGGAAATGGAGCAAAACCACGGTGCTGACCGCCAAGGATCTGGATATCATTCGAGAATTGTTTGGTGAAAAGGTTGTTGCTTATTGCCTTCGGCGTCTGCCGCCCTTGCATCTATCCCACTAACATTGCTGGACGATCCGTCCTTGCAGGTTGCATTCTACTACGCTTTCATTCAATGTTATTCGCTATTCCTCATTGTGCCCACGGTGCTGGGCGTCATTGGCTGGATGTATCTGGGCCCGTACTCGATTGTCTATGGCGCCGTTCTGTGTCTCTGGTGTATTGTGTTCGTCGAGTACTGGAAGATCCGCGAGGCCGATCTCAGCCTCCGATGGGGCGTTAAGGGCGTCGCACGGCTCAAGGTCAACCGCATCCAGTACCAATGGGAGAAGGAGATCCGCGATCCAATCACGGGTCAGCTCGAACAGACCTTTCCGGCGTGGAAGCAGCTCTTGCGCCAGTTACTCCTGATCCCCTTTGCGTCTGTCGCGACTCTGGCTCTCGGCACGTTGATTGTGGTCACTTTTGCCTCGGAAGTGTTCATTTCGGAAGTTTACGAAGGGCCACTGAAGGGGTACCTGGAATTCGTGCCCACGGTGCTCTTCTCACTCACCCTTCCAGTCATTAACCCGTTTCTCACCAACATGGCGACGTGCTTGACCGACTACGAAAACTACCGTACGCAGGACCAGTACGATTTGGCCCAAACGCAAAAGACCTTTGTCATGCATTTCATTACGGCCTTTCTCCCTACCATACTGACGGCATATGTCTATGTCCCATTCGGAGCATTGATTGTGCCGCGTTTAGACCTCCTGCGGCGAACCGGCCTCGAGACCAAGTCGATCCACTCGTACACCGACTTTCAGGTGGACACCAACCGGTTTCAGCAGGAAGTGATTTACTTGTCGATGACGGCACAGGTCCTTAATTTCGGGCAAGAGGTGGTGCTGCCCTATGTCAAGCAGACATTATGGCAGAAATGGCGCAGCTACAGTGACCGCAAAGCAGAAATGGGCCGTAAGCGCAGCTTATCCAGGGCTGCCAGTCTCTCCAATTTCCTATTTATCGACCCGCCAGATGAAGCATCTTTCCTGGCGCGCGTGCGCGCGGAGGCCGATGCCGACGAATACAAGGTCGAGGAGGATATCCTGGAAATGTGCGTGCAGTTCGGATACTTGGCCTTGTTCGGCGTGGCGTGGCCACTAGTGCCCCTGGGGTTTCTGCTCAACAACTGGCTCGAAGTGCGTGGCGATTTCTTCAAGTTGACTCTCGAGTGCCAGCGCCCGCCACCCATCCGGTCGGACTCCATCGGTCCCTCGCTGCTAGGGCTCGAGTTCCTGGCCTGGCTGGGCACGCTCTCCACCGCAGCCATTGTGCATCTCTACCGCGGACCTATCTCCGAAGTTCGCCTGTCGTATCTCCTACTAACGGTCTTCATCGCGGAGCAAGCCTACCTGGTCACCCGCTTCGCGGTCGCAACCGCCCTGCGAAAGATCTTCTCAGATACCATATCCCGCGAGGAGGCCCGGCGGTACGCAGTACGCAAAGGTGTCCTCGCAGCACGCACCGCAGCAGCAGAATCAGGAGTCCCCAGCTCCCCGGTGTCGTTGACCACCAAACCTCGGCACCGCGTGCGCTTCAACGAAAAAGTCAATGTCTACTGCTCCACGACAGCTACAGAACCCTCGCCAGACGGCACTCCATCACCAACAGGTGAACTCTCGCACGACGAAGACCTGTGTGGGTCCGACCGCGAGGCCCAGTTCTGGAACGGGCCTAAGCACACTCACATTTCGACCACGACCGACATGACGGACGCGGGGGTCAAGCTGATCCGCGCGCTGAATACGAATAAAACTTCAGGGCATGCGCTGAAAATGTCCAAATCTGCATAGATTAGTTTTAGATATTTACTATTGTAGATTTATGTCGGTTGAAATGTTGTTGCCTTATGTACTGTATGTGTTCATCGTGCTCAGCCCTACAGGGCTGCCAAGCCGGCTGATGCCGATCCTTTGCGGCCTTATTTGTAGTACGGGCTTCCAGTTTCTTCCGCCGTCTGTTGTTTCTTTCTTTCCTCTTTTTTACTTCCTCTCACCTTCTTCTTCCTTAATAACCCTCACTTCCTCCCTACTTGGACATCACCTACCCAAAATTCTTCCCTCCTTCCTCCAATTCTACCTCCCTCCTTCGTGCCACTCAAACAATGCCTCCCGGAGTGTGAAACCCTCCCACACCAAGCACATGCCCTCCCCTTCTCACCATGGCGACGACGACACCCGCCGCCGCCGCCGCCTCCTCCTGTGACACCCTTATAACCCCACCGTCACAAGCCCGCATCACCATCCCCTGCTCAAAAACCATGGACGACTCCGACTTGGAACTCTCAGCCCTCAAACCCACACCACCACAGCCTATAGTCGCCAATCTTCTCCGCGAAGCAAGTGATCTTACCTGGAGTGAATCGTTCAAGTCAACAAAAGATACCGTCATCCTGGTCCGCCGCGGCGGCCGCTTCCGGCTCTGGCGACAGCAGCAGTTCAAAAATAGCCTGCTCGCCGGCGTGGGATACCTCGAGCTAGCGAACGCCGGCGACTTCGCTGCTAATGTATGGAACCAGATCCCTGTGCCGCGCTTTGCAGCTGTGCTGATGGGCATTGGGGGCGCGTTTGCGCTGGGGATGGCGCTCGTCGCGGTGAGGGATTTTCGGCTCTCGTGGCAGAATGTGAAGTTGTTGCGCACGGAGAGGGGCTATCTCCAGCGACTGCGGGTTTATCATGATCGTAATCCTGATTTGGTGAGCCTGCTGGATTGCCGGTTGGGTGTTGGGGTTCGTGAACTCGGCACGGAGGCCGTGGACCGCCTCGTCATGGATATGCTCATGGGCGCGGGCTCGGTGCTTGTTGGTATCGGGACGCTGATGGCGATCGGTGGTGCGAACCATAGAGTTTACAAAGCGAGCAATCTTTTGTCTGGGTATATTGGCAACGCGCTGGCCGCGATATTTGGTCTTGTCAACGCCATCTGGTCCGCGTACCTTCTGCACCGATTCCGCGTCCACGACGCAGCTGTCCTCGCCCAGAAACCGAGCGACACTATTCGCCGCAGACTGCAGGTCCGGTCTAGTCGCTTTAAATGGCATGCCTTTGTGAGTGGGCTTAATGGACTGGTCGCCGGCGCCGCATCGATGGTTACGGCTGAGCGCTGGTGGGGATATATCGTCCTGATCCCATGCATTGTCTCATTAATCTTGTGCAATTTCTTCTGGAGAAAGAAATTGGGCTACGATAGACCTGTGCTGGGGGATTCGTCCCCTGCGAGTATGCAGCTTACGCCCCTGTTCGAGGATCTGGAGTACACTATCGCCTTGCAGCGGGCTCTCGCAGACGCGGAGATCTCTTCACCACAGAATATTGTCCAGACTGACTCGCTAGAGTCGATCCTGCAATTCATTGCGAGAAACGGAATGTTGGAGCAGTACGGCGAGTCACTTGCTCTTGACAAGAACACCTGTGGAATATTGTCAGAGTGCACTCGACGCGGTCCCTTCGGTGACAAGATTCTCATGTCGCCTACTCTCCTTCTCGCCCTCTCCACATCTCCCACTCGATCCCAGATTCTATTGGATCACGCGAAAAGATTCCTTGTTACAGACGGTTACATTACATTTGTGCATCGTGAACGACACCTTCTAGAGCTTTTGGGGTACGCCGCCTGGCGGGACCAGACGACGTCCACATCTACTCCGCATCAACATCAACATTCAAATCCACATGAGCGACCTCAATAGATGATGTATGATGTTTAGATTAAAGTTAGTTTTTGGGCCTTACATAGCCTTTAGACCTTGATTTTACTGGCCTTTTTGAGCGACATCGTGGCTGTTCCTAGGGGACTTTCTTCAACGTGCATAGCGTTGCGTTGTATAGCTGTGGTTGTATAGATAGGGCATGTGTTTATTCTGTCACGTCAGATTACTATCTGTGGGGCTCAGCAGGTCTGTAATCAACTTGGAATCCCTTTGTAGGGCACTCAAGGCACTTTAAAGCCAGTGAAAGGTGTGCCGTTAAAGGTTGGGAAGTCTAATTCAGATATATATCCCATCCTTCGTGATTCCAAAGAAATCCAGTCTAATTCTTATGAACTTCCCAACGTATATACAACCAATTCCAGTTCCAGCAAGCACTCGACTGGGGGGTAGCACACCAACATCAACTTAAAAACTGAACAGTCCACTCCTCCGCTTGCCATACGGATAAACAATCAATGCAGACAAAAACAGCCCCACCGTAATCCCAATAGCAACCTGAATCATGCCAAAACCTAGGCTAAATACCGAACTACTATTCAGTCCAGCCCCAGGCGAAGAGTTAGGAGCGGTCTTCGATGAAACATTCTGCCGAATTTGGTCTGCAGATTCCACGCCCGTGATCAAAGACCCCGACGCCGCGAGACCTGATGGCACCAGGACAAAGATTCCAGGTAGAATAGCGGTTGCAGCGTGTCCGTGCCAGAGACGACTGTACAGGTTTCCCATGATGCCGATCGTGAACGCGCCAACGGTGTTCGCGACTTGCGAGTTCGAGCCCAGCTTCTTCGTACTGAAATAGTTGCTGATATACCCCGACAGCGCGATGATGGTCATCGGCGGGCCTTGTTTCCATTTCCCTTGGTTGATGATCAGAAGCCAGACGGACATGATGGCTACGAAGGGAAACCGCTGCACATAGGGATTCTTGAACGCGCCTTCTGGCGGGCAGGAGATGGACGATGTCGCCTGGTCGTCCATGAGTCCGTAGAGGGTTGTTCCGACAGTGATGCCATAGCCAAGAAACAAGGAGAAGATAATCGCGTACACCATTCGGATTGAACCTGCGATAATTTGGTGGGACTGTAGTTCGAGACTGCTGCAGAGCACCAAGAACCCAGGGAGGATTAATGCAATTGAGGCTTGCGCAATGGCTGAGAAGCAGAATAGATTTCCCTGTCGTTTTCCGTCTACGACCGTGCGTGGGATGCTGCCAAAGGCTCGAGCGAGAAAGGATGTCAAGACTGAGGCTGTCACTTCGAAGACGTTTGCATAGAGCACCGAGTGTGGTGCAGCGACGTTCTGCATCGCGCCAACGAGACACCCGTTGAGGAAGATGATGGGCATGTCGATTGGTCGTGCGTTGAAGGCGAACGGGCCAACGGTGGCAGTAGCCAAACCGTACACCAAGACGACAATGAACTTGTTGAATCGAGGCTTTCTGTTCTGGACATCCTCTAGCTCCTGGATCGCCTCTTCAATACCGACCACGTCGTGGATGACGTTTTTATAGATCAGATGTGTATCCGCGAGTTTAGCGAGGTCGACGCTCTGAGCAATACGGACTAGTTTGACTTCTGTTGTGCGCGTCGAGGGATCATCAAACGACATGACCATGCAGCCGGGCAGGTAGAGAAACTGGCTATCCACCTCCAGCACCTTGGCGGTCATCTGCATGTATTCTTCCAGTCGATGTGTCGGCGCCCCGAAGGCCATGAGGCCCTTACAGAGTTGCATGATATACCGTTGTCGGGCAATGATCTCGGCAATGTGTACCGTCACTCGGATCTCGTCCTCCAGTCTCATATTACTGTTTGACAGTTTCCCTTGTCGTTTGGACGCTGCCGACATAACCTCACTGGACACAGGGGTTGCTGCTCCGCTGGCGTTTCCTGATCCGGCTCCTATCAGTGTTGCCGTCGAAGCATTCGGTGGTTTCTTATACCACTTGGGCTTATCCCGCTTGCTGGGCGTCGCCGCGGTCGAGGTAGCGCCAGAAGCTGGACCGCGCGATATAGAATTATCGACAGAAGACGGACTTGATGTTCGAGACATACCGGTGTTGTCCCCCCCACTCTGGCCCTGGCTGGGGTTATTGAGCTTGATCAACTGCGACAAAATCCCCCCACCACCTGAGCGATATCGAAGCCCTGATTCGAGCCCGGACTCATTCTCTCCTCCGCTGAATTCGGTACCCCTCTGGGGGTACGGTCTACCGCGACGTTTGCGACGTTTGGCCGAGTGATCTTGCGTCAGATCTCGCACCAGACGATGGGCTTCGGAGCTGGTTGCTGCCTGGTGCTGCCGCTTCTCTTCATCTGTCTTGTGCTTGTTGTCTGTGACGTCTGACAGAGGAACTTCACCCCCAGACGCCCATTCTGGTCGGTACAGACCGGGTCTCAGGTCATCTCCATCAGCGGCAGGACGTCCCAGCAAGTTGCTGATGCTTGTAATTCTAATTTTGATGGATTTGGTTGCTGAATAAAGTCGATCTTTAACGCTGGAAGGCGTCCATCGCTCAGGATTGTAGATTGGTTTCTTGCCCTCTTCCGGTACTTTCTCATCAGCAGGCTTTTCTTCTTTGGTTGTTGCCCGATCTGCCTGGTCGGCTCGCTCCCGCAGCGGCGTGTCTGTAATATCCGCAGACTCGTGCGAGTAAGGCATGGTTGGCCGATGTGATAGTCCTTCGCGCAGCGACCTATCCCATTCGGCACGCACATCTTCGGATGGAGGATTTCGAGGCGCCTCTTTCCAGAAATTGGCATTTGATCCAAATCGGACGCGCGGCATGCGAGGCGCTTCGACTCGCTCGTTGTTTTCCGAGTCGCCATGTTCTTGTCTTTCCGGTGAGTGTTCCAATCTTTCGCGGTCTCCGTCTCTCAGTCTCTCGCCGCTGTTGTGGATAGATGAATCCTCGCTGCTGCTTTCCTGCTCGGACATGGAGGCGACAAGATATGCCGTAGCCTCACTGGCCCAACATCGGGGGACTTCACTACAAAGAACAGTCTGAGGAAAGCCGAGATATTTCGCGCCACCGTCTCGCTTGCCGTCAATGACCCTGTTCGGAAGGCCCAGTTTCTATCACCACCCGCCGTTGCCAAGTGAATGGTCGATGTGAGGGATGATACTCGCTTTTTTCTCGAACTTCACGCAAGTCCTCTCTGTAAGTAAGAGATCCTAATGAGTATATGTACTTGCTTTGCTTTTATGAGCTCATCGAGGCAATATGTGCACGAGTACTATACTAGCTTAAGCTTTGTTGCCGCGCACGACCCACGGCTCTCGATGCTAACGTCACTATATCGGAACGACAGCCCGGAAGTAAGATAGGTAGTTTACTGGAGAAAATTATTGCCCACAAGTTTTTAAGATCTAAGCGCAATGTAAATTTCAAGTTGGTTGTGTTTCGCAGCATCTCCAGTTCAAAGGGACCCGGGGCGGACACGGAACAAGCCCACTTCTTTGCTTCTTGTGGATTGCGAGAGGAGCTAGGTATATGCGCATATTTGGCTAGTGCGTTCTTCTCTACGGCATGCTATTTTAGCTTATCCTGTTACTGGGCCAAAACATAGCTACTGACGCAAGGAGTTGCTCCGGTCGATGCGGCATCCCGAACTTTAGCCGCAGCCATGTGGCTTTTCTGAGATTCGCCATGGCTAAATCTCAAGATTGATCATTATTGTCGACTAAGAAGCTACATCTTGTGTGTAATCCTAATGGAGTCGTTATTTTGAATCAGTGCCGATGAAGGATTCAATCGCCCAGCCACGATATTCCTAATCGGGAATATGGATAAGCCAAGACCACCCCCTTGATGGTATGAGGTTGCACACTATATAGATCTAATACATAAATGAAAATCTGTGCTGGAGTTCAACTATTTGAAATCCTCAGCTCTGCACACGCCTCTTCCCGGCACGTTTACAAATCCCGGGTCTCGCAAGGGGCGACGATCAGCCCAACTTGCATTCCAGATCCAAGATAATCACCACCTTGACGGGCCCATAGCTACCAGTGATAGTCAAGTTCCGTGATTCTCTGTCGCAAGGTTGTCATTCTTTTTTTCATTTCTTGTCATTCGTTCTTTCTCCAAACTTCTTGTTTCTCGTTCTTGTGGCGTATTTGGGATCGGGATTGATGCGAGGACGAGGATTGATTGAGGACTGTTAAGGATGCGGAACACATTTTCTTTGACTGGGTTGCTAGCGGTTTTTGCTACTGCTTCGAGTGCAGTTGTTCCTATTTGGCCGATCAACGAGCCCATCCCGACTATTCCTGACCCTATTCGATCTATCCATGCGCCCATTCGATTAATCCCCTCGCCGCCGGACTGGCTCAATCCTTACGTTCATGCAACTCTAACTCCGACATCTTCGTATGTGACATATATTGTCTGCAGTGAAAATGAAGCATTCATTTGCTAATTTCTAAAATCTACAGATCGAGCAGTCCCAGTTTCGCGGCCGCCACGAAAGCATGCCCCGGTCCGGCAGCTTCGCCGGGTACATACTGGCTCGACGACCAGGATCATAATGGAGATGGCGCGGGATACGCACCTTACGCCAAGACGACCAACAGATACCCAGTCTATCGCAATGTCATGGACTACTCGGTTGTCAATGACGGATCGGGCGACCAGACAAGTAATCTGCAGAAGGCGATCGACGACGACGGCAACGGTGGGACCCGCAAAGGAAAAGGAGTAACGCGATTTCCTGCTGAAGTGTTCTTGCCTGGTGGTACGTATCAGCTGGAAAGCACACTGAACTTGACGGTGGGGACCATCATCGTTGGAGACCCTCTGAACCCGCCTATCCTCGCCGCCGCTGCGAACTTTCGTGGTCAATATCTCGTCATGGGATATGACGAAGAAAATGGACCCCCGGAGACCAGCTTTATGACGCTCGTGAAGAATGTCATCTTGGATACCACAGCCATCAACGCCAACAGTACCATTACTGCCTTGCAGTGGGGAGTCGCGCAGGGGTCTGGCTTGACAAATGTGCAAATCCGCATGCCGATACCCTCGACTGGGCATACAGGAATTGATATTGACGCCGGATCGACTATTGCTGTGACGGATGTGGTGAGTTGAATGCGCTATCTTTGGGTTACTAGTTTAACGAAAGACAGTACATAACCGGTGGCGCGATTGGCATTAAAAATTCGAACCAGCAAGTCAACTTCAAGGATATCTATTTCAAGTCCTGTGGCACTGCTTTCGACGCGGCGGGAGGATGGACGGTGCTGCTCGAGGGCGCTATCTTCAATGACTGCGGGACTGGGATCAACATGACCGAGAACTCGCTGGGAAGTTTGGTGCTTCTCGATTCGACATCGATGAACTCCGGTCCAGTCATCCGGTTTTATGACTCGTCCAACGATCCAGGAGGCCGAAATAGCCAGTTCACCATTCAAAATCTGGCACATTATACGGACGCTCCTATTGCGGTTGATGCTGAGGGCAATGTCCGGCTGCCCGCCACTCGCCATGTCGACACTTGGAACTGGGGCACTATCGCCCCCGGTAGATACCAGACTGGGGGAAGTTGGTCGACCACGCGTTCAGAGAAACTTCTTGTGGACGGAAAATACTTCACCAAAAGTCAGCCCACCTATGGTGACTTCAACAGCGACCAAATTGTCAATGTCAAGACTGTTCCCGGCCACACGGTTTCGGGCGATGGCATAGCAGATGATACTGCATCCTTGAACGCCATCTTGGCGCAGAATGCCGCCGACTGCAAGATCAGCTATATCCCCTTTGGGATTTACAGAGTCACGGATACCATACTCATTCCGGTGGGATCTCGTATCGTGGGTGAAGCGTGGTCCGTTATTTCTGGGTACGGCGAGGCTTTCGGTGATGCCAGTAATCCTAAGCCCGTCGTCAGGGTCGGGAACCCCGGCGATGTGGGCCTCATTGAGATTCAAGACATGCGGTTCGCGGTAGGCGAGATTCTCCCCGGGGCCAAAATCGTCGAGGTTAACGCCGCCGGTGAATCTCCTGGGGACGTTGGACTATGGAACACGATGGTGACAGTAGGCGGCACGGTCGACACGAACATTTCCCGCTCCTGCACATCCCAGGACCCAAAGAACTGCATGGCCGCGTTCATGGTGATGCATCTGACGCAGAGTTCGTCGGCATACATCGAGAACTTCTGGGGATGGACTGCAGACCATAACCTGGACAGCGACTTGACCACCATCGTCTCCACCGGCCGTGGAGTGCTCGTGGAGTCGACCAAGGGCACTTGGCTGACCGGCACAGGCTCGGAACATCACTGGCTCTACAACTACAACTTCCACAAAGCGCAGAACGTCTACGCCGGGATGCTGCAATCGGAGACCCCCTACATGCAGGGCTCTGGAGAGCTCCAGGCAGCACCAGAGCCTTGGACTGCCAACGCGCGGTACGGCGATCCAGATTTTTCATGGTGCGCAACGGATGACCGGAAATGCCGCACTGCGTTGGCCACCAATATCGACGGTGGATCCAACATCGCGCTGTACAATTCGGCAGCCTGGGCTTTCTTTGATGGACCATGGAATGGGGCATACAATGAACCTTGCAAGGGCAAATGCCAGGCAAACATGTTGCGCGTGGTTGATACGCCGCAGAATTTGGTCTGGTACTCGATCAGCACGCGCATGACGGAGGTCATGGTGTTGGATGGAAAGACGAATCCGCGCGAGAGGAGCCATCCCGGTGGATGGGAGGCCATAATTCAGGCATATCGGCAGTTTGCCACGCGGTGAGTAATACTAATCATGATCTATACATAGTTGGCTGCACATATGATAGACCAATTAGAGAATAACCGGTCTTGGTTTTTGTTTCTTTTTTTAGACCGGCACGTGATCTTATGCCTCAGGCGCTGTCTTTCATGGATTCAATTACTATTCTCTTCTGCATTATTCTTGTTTCACACCGAGCAGGTCAATAATATAATAAAGTAATTAGCTACTATGCCAACGTCATCAATGTGCAACGGCGCTTGGCTTCCACCATCGTCATGAAACCACGCTAAACATGCTATTTCAGGGTCAAGCTCGGCCCAAGTGGCTTGTTTACCGACCAAGCCACTGGTCCACCGGCATTCGGGAAAACTCGCAAGGAGACCCATCCGCATCCACCCCAACGCCCATTGAGACAGCCTCCCGACAGTTGATCTGTGGGGTGAGGGGCCTACGCCGTGACGGTGACTGCCGGGGCTTCCGACGCTTCCAGAAGGCAGCAGCGTTAACGGCCTTGCATACTACGTTTCTAAAATGGGAGCCGATAATTACAAAGGTGGCTGTGCTGACATACTGCTTGCTGGAACTCCTTCGCGCATATCATCACCAATAGCTTGGTTTCTTTCCCCGAGAACATGGACGCGTGAGAACCACACAACTGGACTGTCGGCCGTGGTGCTTGGTGGATCCTGGTGGATTGACGATTGGCTTTCCAGGATTATGGAACGGACCTGACGGGGCGAAGCCTGGCATCCCCTTCCGGCACCAAGTCGCTGATCTCCATTTTCGCAACACTTTGACAAGGCTGATGATGTCGCCACAGCCACTAGATGCCCTTTTGCTTGGCATCCTGTGAGAAGTTAACTAAGACCCGTTACTATGAATACTCAGGGGGAAATTGCCTTTCTACCGGACCCGCGCCACACATACATAAGAGGGCCATCTCTCCCCCGGACTTTGTGAATTCCATATCGATCGATTAATTCTACCTGAAACTACTCTTGTCCACCTCCAAAAGTCTGCCTTATTCTACCGACTCACCAGCAAAATGAAGTTCACCCTGGTCTCCTCTGCCCTTCTCCTGGCCACCTCGGCCATGGCCAACCCTAACCCCGAGGTTCCTGACGTCAACTCGATCCTCTCCGACGCCGGCGTCGGTATCTCGAAGGGCATCAACGGCATAAACGATCTTCCCGCTGAGGCTACCTCGATCTGGGAGGAGGTCAAGACCGGCGGCGAGAACGCCGTCAAGACCCTGACCGGCGAAGGTGCCCAGATTGCTTCCGCCGCTGAGAGCGCCTACAGCGCCGGCGTCACAAACCTCCAGTCCGCCGGCTCGGAGATCGCCCACAAGTGGTCCACTGCCACCAGCGAGACCACCACGACTAACTCCGACGGTCAGGCCACCGCTACCGAGGCCACCAAGATGACCATGAATCCCTCCGCCTCCGCAACTGGCAGCCCATCTGGAACCACCAACGGTGCCGTTGCCCGCCCTACTGCCGTCGGTGCCGCTGTTGCTGGTATGGCTGGTATGCTCGGTATCATGGCTGCTCTGTAAAGGGTGTCTGTTTTTTTCTCCCTGAACAGTTCCGAGATTCCTAATGCCTTCGATCTCGGACCCTTGATATCATTATTATACCTTCACGACTTTCCTCGCCAGTGTGTTCATAGGCTTCTTATCATGGTTCCCCCTAAGAGAGGGGATGGTGTTTATATGTTACCTACGGGATTTTTAAAGCTGTATATATATAGTTTGGTTGTACAATTGAACAATTTGTCCATGCACAAATCCATCAACTTTTGAAATATTTGTTCAAGCCACAATAGTTTATCTCTAACCAGAGAATCCGACTATATTCCGTGCGGGATATATAGCAAGCATGATGCACATCCACCCGAGAGATGCAAAATGCAAAATCAGTCCGTCTTGATAGGCTCTCCTTCAGACGTAGACCCATAAACATGCTGAAGGGGCATACTGGCACGAATATTGTTATCCGGGTTGGTAGAGCAGTTCACATCGACCGTCATTTGGGGACCAGAATACCAGCGGTGCGCGAAGAAGAAGGAGTAGGCCATGCAACCAGCCCAGACAAAGCCGTTGATAACCACGGTGTAGTTCATGTTGGATGCTGTGGTCCACGATCAATTAGTACTTTCCACAGCCCCAAAAATGAACGAAAAGAGACATACGCGATGGATTCGGTCCCATTGAAGGGAACATAGACAAAACGACGCCAAAGACAAGATACACGACTGCAACGCATGCAGTTGGTTTGCTCAGCCGTCCCGTGTAGAACTCCCCTGATCGAAACCTCTCTGAGCCCCACACCAAGCGGCAAAAGACAGGCGTACCCCATGACAAATAGTTGCTGGCCACAAACAGAGAGAACAAGGCGTTGGCTGCCGCGGAGTTGATGAGGCACAACAGACCTAAGGCCAGACATACGACGGCTAAGCCGCAGACCATGCGCACTGGCTGATATTGAATGCGTTTGCTGACGTGCCTGAAGAAAGTAGAAAAAGGGAGAGCACTGTCACGGGAGAAGGCCCATGCTTGGCGGGAGGCGGCGACGATCTAGGAAATGATTAAGTTATAGTGATGGAGTGGCTGGAGAAATAACTCAACGTACAAGGCTGAGGCCTATTAGGAATTGAATAACGCACATCACGGCCATGAAGGTAAGTGCACCGTTCTTGCCTAGCGCATCGTAGTATATCTGATCATGAAGTCAGCTATGAGCTAGACAAGGTAACTATGGTGGGTATACCTGAGCCATCGGTTGCCCGAACTTGCTCTTAATTGTCTTGGTCACATCCCGGTTCATAATAGCAGCCATTACCTCTAGAACTAAAAACCCCGGTACGAACGTCGATCCAGCAGACCAGATGATCCCCAGAGGCACAGCTTTGGAGGCATGCATGGCCTCTTCGCTCATGTGCACGCACGAGTCGAACGAGCCGATAGACCAGATCGGGGCCAGCCATGCAAGCATGAAAGCCCAACCCGCTGGCCAGGTCGTGTTGTTGTCCACATGGGTGAAGACGAAGCTGCCAGAGTTAAGCGACTCCCCTGGAGCAACCTTACCGACCGGCAGTGCAACAACAGTCGCAATGGCAAGAGCAACATTGGCATATATACAAGCCGTCTGGACTTTAGGCTTCAGTCGGCCGGCAAGGGAGCCGCAGAGGCCATGAAGAATGATAAGGACTACGTAAACGGCATAAATTACTCCACGCGAGGGGGACCCGTTATCTTCGCGGCTGATGGAGACACAAGAGAGGATCATAAGAGCGAGGGTGTCTATAGATGTGCAAGTCAGCGTCGTGGCCATGTTTGTGCTGGATTACATTCACAGTCCACAGAGCATATGCCACCGATCAGACCGAGTGTATTGCTATACCTGATCAAGAAACTCAAAGGGCTCTTCCATTTCTCTCCGGCAAAGTAATAAGTCCACCAATACAGTCCTCCAGCAGTTGGCATCGCAGACGCAAGATCAGCCTAGATTTCGTTAGATTGCTTTCACCTGTAGCTAGAGAGATGGGAAATACCATTGATAACCCGACTAAAAATATGAAAGAGCTTGCCGTCAACCACCCCTATACCAAAAGAAGTCAGTGGATAGTGTTGTGTATATTTCCACCGTACAGTCGCTTACCCAGACCATGCCAACTGGTCCTGCCGGAAGCGAAAACAGGAGAGTTGAGGCGATTGAGGGCACCAAGCCCATGATGCTGAACGCAATCGCGAACACCTGCAGAGTGGAATACTGTCGACGGAGTTCTTGCTTGTATCCCATACTTGCTGTGGAATGTGTCAATCTGACGCTTCATTAACCCCAGATGTTGCACTTGTCTTACCTAGTAATTCCATATCGCCCTAATCCGCAAGCCCGGGCGCGCGGGCCTCCGACTCCGCTGGCGACCCCCTCTTCGATTCCATGGGAGCAAGCAGCTCAGAAGAGGTCTTCGTTAGATACTTTGCAGCTGCGCATGGAGGGTGCTACTTTTCAGAGGTGACGAGTGAAAAAAAGTTGGGAGTCCCTGTTCACGGGGTAAAACAGGGCCTTGCCTGATCGGGATGGCCAAGGGGTTGTGTACACTCAAGAGGGGAATGGCGGTGGGCAGATCACCTGAGATATCTCTCCTATTGAAGGACAAAGATAAGGGCTGACATGAATCTACCCATGCGTCGTCGCACCGTGTCCTTTTGGGAAGGGGTGATTTCCCCCTGCAGTCCCTGCGCATGCCAGGCCGGGATTGTTGCACAATCACTTCGGTGGCTTTTCTCGGCATCGAAAGTAGGCAGAATGTACAAATTAAACTTGCTTCCGAATTTCTCTCCGATTTGGATCCCGGACACACCGACTATTGGATGGGCCGTTTAGAGAGTAGAGATCGAGTGGGAGTCCAGCTGAACTTTCCACGCATTTGTTCCTTGTTGTTTTTGTCTTCGTGGTTGAGATGGCAGCCCTTGAATCACAGATCTCATTCCCACTGTACGCGACAGATAGGCTAGATCCCAATAATTGGTCCTCCCTGCATGTTCGATAGATTAAGCATAAACCAGGGAAGCAATTCCTACTTGTCCCAGTCTTGCACATTTTATGTACTCTGATGCGTATCCGGGTGTCAATTGTGTCTAAAAATCATCTTCGAGGGGTATAGTGAGGCATTGGCCACTATCTAAGTGTTGTGTTGGAGACCGTTCCTGTTTGGCCGTGAAATAAAACAAATAACATGGCTACAATGGCACATAAAGGGTAATTATATTGGAATTTGAAAATTCATAAACATAAAAAATAAACGAATATTGATGTTATATGGACAAATTATAAGTGCCCGGCCTGCATGAGCCGTTGTTCATAAATAATGTCCTAGTCAGTTACAACCTCGAGCTCCCCATGTACCTCCACTCTACCGTGTATGTAGAGTCATCCACTTTTTTCAACATTCAAGTCAACCCAAACATTGTCAGCTCTTCGCCCCAAAGACGGTGTCAATCATTCTCGGAAAGTAGGAGCTATACAGGTTTAAACCTGCTCATCGGGGGGCAACTCGCGACGGACTTCCGCGCCATTAACATAGTTGCCACCATTCGACTGGGGGACATCAGCGTAAAACCGGCGCTGGTCCTGACCATGACCTTGATCGGTGACAGTGTGTTCGGAAGGAACTGTTGACTCCTTCCTTGCCTTGGCTTCGGCTTCCCATTCGTCGTAGTCCTGACCAGGGTTGATGTTTTGCCAACGGACAAGTACAAGCAGTCCGTAGAATCCTGAGGCGAGAAGGGAGCCAAGTAGCGGACCGACCCAGTAGATCCAATGATATCCCGGGAATGAACGGTTGATAACGTCGGGGCCCAAGGATCGTGCCGGGTTCAGGGAGCCACCAGTGTAGAAGTCACCTGGAAAGTTGTCAATAAGTGTTTCACCACGCAATATACATGATAACTTACCGACCATCTCGCACACAAAGAAGGCAAGGCCAATTCCGACGGGAGCCAGATAGGTCGACTTGTGCTTGACCACAGCCAGCATGATGATGACCAAAACCAGCTGCGCAGTCAGGAACATCTCAATGAACAGCCCCTGCGAGATCGAGGCACCGCCACCAAGTCGAGTAGTGAAGTTGGCTGGTCCTGGAAACAGACAGCTCACTACACCTGCAGCAGCAATGCCACCGAGAAGTTGCGCTGGGAACACAAAGAGGCCGCGAAGGGGGGCATTCCGCCAGTCACACAGAGTGCGAGCGTGACCTGATATTATTAGCTTGAGGATTATAGATACTAAAATCTTTTTATTACATACCGCTGGGTTGAAGAGCCCGCCAGTGACACGGAAAAATGCCCAAACGTTGACCGCCAACGAGAAGCCAAAGACCAAGGAGCTGTACAGCAGATTCGATGTATTGGGTGGAGACCCATGGGGAGCCTTGGGCGTATTGGACACCTGGGTTCCAGCGAAGGAGAAGAACAGGAACATGAAAGTGCCCACGAACTCCCCGATGACACAGAGGAGGTTATAGCGCAGCTTGTCTGGGAACTGCAACATGGGGAGCTGGCCACGCCCGTTAGGACCGGGCGGTCCCCCAAGAGTCGACTGATCGGCCGACTGGCGCTTTTTGTTAAAACGCATCGTGATGATCTGGGGGAAGCAATGGGCAGAATGGGTTCGGTCGAGGACACGGATTTTTTTTCCAACTATAACAGCGCGGGCTGCTCCTAACAGCGCTACTTAATTTACAATAATTAGGAACATAATGTTGTCGCAGACGTCACTACCGGCTTGTAGAGGGACACCCCTCGATCCATGTATCATCGATCAGGGCTTGGCTCGGAACCTTGAGCGAACGAGGGTCGTTAGAATTTGGTCTCAAACAGTCTCTGGCTAGGAACACTCCAATCGAGGAGGTAACACATGAGGTCGAGATTCAGACGTTGCCGGAAGCGGCCATGTGGGTCTGTCTAGAACACCCACGCTGGCACGTCATTGGGATGCCACTGTACACACTCCACTTACTCCGTATATTGACAAACTGTTCTAATTGGCCAGTGAAGGGACGTGTGGGTGTTTATGCACGGTGAAAGGGTCATAGAGAGAAAGTCACTTCTTGAGCCCCATCTATTGATCTGCCAATAAACGCTCAGAAGCCGGAGAGTCTGGCAGCATTACATATGAATCCACACCATAATGGCATCCTATCGCCTTTGGAGCCATGGAATACGTTCGTGGCCTGGATTTCTTTTCAGGGAACGGACCATGACTTGCTCTGTTAATTGGTTCGCAGGAACACTCTGGGCGACTGGCAAGCCCAGGGATAGCGACAAGGTCATGGCTCAAATTCAACTCGTGAAACCACAGGGTCCAAAATTTACCAGCAGGATACACCTTGGACATACCATTGGGGTGAATATGTTGGGTTCATGCGATGTTCTGTCTGTCTTGTCGACTATATCGCTTAGTATCGGACCAATAGAGAGCCATACATGTGCCAGCCAAGTATGCCTGGAAGCTCTCCTAATGACAGTAATCGGAGGCCTGTGATTGGGAGACAACCGCGACCGGCATTTTTCAGGCGTTTGTTTGGCCTCGGCACTCATTTTTCAACATTCTCGCCCGTGTCCTGACCGAGCTAGGCTCAGCGCGCATTCTATCGGTCATGTCTGAACGAGCTTTTTATGACCACTGAGTGCTTTCATTAAGCAGACTCTCATATTAACAGCCTTTAACCGCATTCTGGCCATAGCGTGCTGATCTTCTGGGTTAAAGTGACTGCCATCTGCGGCCAGGATCTGCGCACTGTAAAGTTCTGTCCTATTGTTTAAGAAACTCCAGGGCATATTTAGCAATATCGTGCTCTCACTGAAAAATGAGGGCAATTTCGCACATTTGTGTTCACGGCATGAGGAACACGTAATGTGGAGCAGCAACCTTCTGTGGCTTTGCCGACGGAGTTAAAGCCCTTTTTTCGCGTCATCTTTCTTCAACGCCGAACTGAAGATTTATAAGCTGATCAACATACGCCAAGCCCGAAAGAAAGAAGCAGTACATAAGACATCTAGGAGCGGCATATCTAGCTGGTTTCACTCTTCTCCAACCCGACAATTTCAGCAAGGCACTCAACTCTCGATATTTGCATTCCCGACTTCAACTCCAACCCTACGTATTAAGACATACAGCATCATATCGCAACATGAGCGGCAAGATTGGCATATTCCCCGCATCTGGCGGATTGGGCACGAGCATCGTCAATCATCTATCGAAACTGGTCCCAGCTTCGCAGCTCATTCTCATCGCACGGCACACCGAGAAGCTGTTTGAATTTAGCCAAAATGGCGCCACCGTTCGGCAGGCGGATTACGATGAGCCATCCACTTTGGATAAGGCATTTGACGGGGTCGAAACGTTGATGCTCATCTCCTATGCGTCGTTTGAGATACAACATCGAATCAACGTACGTATGAATATACCAAAGCATTTCTCAAGCTCTAACAAAATCCCTAGGCGCACCGTTTGGCGATTGACGCTGCCATTAAAAGTGGAGTGAAGCATATTTTCTACTCCTCGCTTGCCTTTGCCGGCGTTTCAAAGGACCAGAGCCTCGCGCATGTGATGGGAGCACATATTGCGACCGAGAAGTATCTCTCTGAAAAGTCGGGCAGCTTTACATACACCGCTGTTCGTGAGGGACTGTACTCGGAGTCCTTTCCCATTTACACTGCCTGGTTTGATCTCAAGAATCCAGCTGATGAGATTACAATCCCGCACCCTGGTAGTGGGCCAGGTGTAGCTTGGGCCAAAAGAGACGAGCTGGGAGAGGCGACTGCCAAACTCGTCGTAAAATACACCCAGGACACGTCTGGATTTCCTTACCTGAATGGAGAGATACTTCTCTCTGGACCACGAGAACTTTCCCTGTCCGAGACTGTCGAGGTTCTAGGACGAGCAGTCGGGAAACCTCTCAAAATTCGCGAAATCTCTGTTGACGAGTATGCGTCGCTCCCGCAGGTCGGAAAGAAACATACGTATCATGGTGTGGATTTGTCGAAGGAGTGGGCCACAGCATGGGAGGCTATTAAGCAAGGAGAGACCGCTATCGTATCTCCAGCTCTTGCTGCCATTTTGGGAAGAGAGCCCGAGGACTTTGAGACAACCATTAAGGCACAATTAGAATAATTGAAATTTAACTTGCATTTAACGTGCGTTGATACTCGATATGTCCGAATTAATCTTGCTCTCTAGATTGACGGTCTAGTTTTGGCAAGAGGCGAGTAATTTCACTTGTAGAGACAGAAGTAAAAAGTTCCCGCATTTGAAGTTTTTGCATCCATCGCACCTGCAATCATTTCATCGTTGACATATCGGAAATAATCTATGATGGGAAAGTCATCATAAACCATAGCTGCCGAAAGAACACCACGCCACTCAATCTGTCGGAGCTATATGGGCGTCAGCCGTTGTTCTCAGGCTCTCTGGTTTTAACCTACCCCTATGTTAGAAGTTAGATGTAAATGTTAACTTACCCTAGCATGTCCCCAATTCGCATTCCACACCTTCGCGTCATGTTCGTTATGAATTATGATAGGATCAACATCCTCGGTGGAACGGAATGTCTTACCGGCCCAGCTCATGGATGTGAGTTTATTCTCGGTTGGGTGGCCGGTTTTAACACTCTTGCCATTCCAGAATCCAGTAATTTTGTCTGGCTTGATGGGTTTGAGTTGATCAAACACAGCAAGTACCTCACAACTTGAGGCATTAGAGGATTTGGTTAGTTCTTCGAACTGTTGCTCCGGGGTACTGGGTCATCAGTCAGAAATAAGGAAGATGTGACAACGGAATGTGGTAGAGTGACATACTGGGACATCTTGTTGGTTCAGTTCTGATGGTATATTAGGAAGAAGTGATGCTAGATGGAGGTGTGTCTTGTAGGCGCCTTTATGTGCGAGACCAGCAATTACATGGTGCGTCATTAGATCTACGAGGGCCATGGGGAATGAGTCGATCCATGATCATCATCCAAAAAATCAATTGGTTTCTCTTGGGATGGTGGTGGGTCCTCGACCATCTCGAGTCCTCACTGGGTAATAAAGCAGATGCTGAACATCCTAACTGGGGTTCATACAGCGAGTTCGCCATTAGGATGCATAGTGATCCCACATGCTCGATCTTGATTCTCATGTCATGGCGACTTATATTGCATTGAACATTTTTTCATAGCACAGATAAAGAGGCGATGGAGGGCATGGAAGGCAGGGAACACCCCTGCATCCCAGGAGAAGGTGCGCCCCACCGTATCGCCCCCACGAATCCGAATCGATCGTTCCTATCTACCTAGTTTTGCACACTTGGGTCTGCACTAAATTTCTCGGAGATGACGACTGACTTTTAGCTGGATCGACAAGGACACTAGCGAACTGGACATCTCTACGATGCCGAACCTTAGATTTTTTGAAGCTATCTTCCAGAAACGAGCGGCTCATTCACCGCTGGTCCGGAGATCTTGGACCATAAGCTCCGTCATGTTCCACAAGTGCGTCATTGGACTTGAAGATCCTGTTCCTATGATTTTGGGGAACCAGATCTTCTCCGATTGCCCCCAAATGGTAAAAGATTTGAGTGAATACATATCAACCTTGCGTGGGTGCTTTCAAATTGTCTACAGTACGCAGAGTCGTTGAGCTATCCCATTAATAAGTCCCAGTCGCCCGTCACAGATTACGTCACAGAAGGAAAGAGAGAAACAGTGAAAAAATGATAGTTTACAAGGCGGAGGCGTAACCATGGTTTTGGGGGTTTGGGGTTTGCAACGCAGAAATCCTCAGCGTAATCGAAGCTGCCTCCTCTCCAGAAGCAATGGTATCGTTATAGCCAAAGAAGGCATATCAATTATAATGGGCCTAGGATATACGGATCAAGATCATGAGATGACAAAGCTTGAACGTGCCTAGAGACCTCGAATCGTTGGGGAATGCAAATTAAAGCCAGATTCCAACAACGTTATTTGTCGAGTGGCAGAGGATTTGTAAAGCCCTATTATTCCAGATCGAACCATAGCTAGCAACATCCATAATATCCCCTATATGTCAATTGAAAACCCAGGGTAATGATAAGTCGGCAATTTATCACAGCTAGACAAGCGCTATTTTGGGAATCTACGCGGCCCTTTAGAAAACCTATAGTAAACCTATTTCGACCACGTACCTCGGAATAATCGCAGACATAGCAGGGGGCCCGGAAAACTCAGAAGTGAGCAGACATCGGGCTGAATAGGAGCGCAAGTTCGTGGCAAAGGAAACTCATGATCCGAATTACAACCGCTAAAAGGCGCAGACACCCGTTTGAGGATAATAAAATGAGAAGGCCTTTAGTGCGTCTGGGCCGGACAATGGTGCATTAGCTGATCAAACATATGTGTTCCACAATGCTCTACGGTGACCCTAATGAGAAACTTGACGGCCGGCCAAGTACGGCTTCCATATGCAAAGAAAATAGGTTCAAGGATAGATAATTTGTCACAATCTACGTCAGTCAAGAAATCGAAACATGATTTTAAGAAGGAACTCTGTTACATTAAATTCATATTGTGCGTGCTGGTCGTGGCATATTCTTACATTATAACAGGATATTCATTTTGCCACTAGGGATAGCGCGAGAGGATCATGATGGTTGTGATGCAAACAATAATGTACAAAAGTACTAGTACTTGTGTCAGTGGACATCATTGACTTAATGTCGGCTCCGAGTCTCGGCCGGCGGCTGCTGATCCAACGGCACCCCAGAGCCACTTGCCCACTTCTATCCAATCAATTCATTGCGGGTCCAGTGCTCAGTTGTTTTGGATCATGCTTGTGACATCTGATTGGGTCGACAGCTCTGGTGGCTGGCATCGGAGCCGGCTCACTGTTGTAGGATCCAGCCTGAGCTGACTTCGGAGAGCTCGCCGAGCATTGAAATGGACCTATCCAGAGCTTTTGCTGGGGAAACGGCAGTGCATTACATCACAAACCAACTCTCGGCTGTCACTTCAGCCAAGGAGCGGCAAGTATGAACCGCCATTGTAGCGGGTGGTATTCGGGAATGAAAGCTCCTTTCCTTTTCCTCGCAAGGTGGTGACTGTCCATATATGCTCTTGTTCTGGTGCGGCCGACGTAACTCCATTCTATTCCCTGGTAGCCTTGCTGTCTTTATTTTTGATCGTCGATATATTGCCACAGCACCTTTCGCTTTTTTTTGCAGCTGACCCTTGCCTTTGCTACAAATACTATTTTAGAGGACCCTCTGCCGCCCACTCCAATCTGCATAGAGCATCTTCAAGCACGGTCACAATGGATTTCTCTCGCCCAAGTTCTCTCTCTGGTCTCCCGGAGCAAGATGAGAAATATCTCACCAGTGAACCGATGAGTCCTCAGACTCGACCAGTTGACTTCTTCCCTGTCACCAAAGAAATTCTTGATCCTGTTTCCGACAATTGGACATGCGACAGCGCAATCGATCTTTCCACCTTGAATTCCACGGCCATGGATCCCCTTTCTTTTGGCGTGTCTAACAAGTTAGCCGGCATAGGGCCAAAGTATTTCTTTAATGACCCCTTTGCCATTCCGGCTGGGATAAATGGATTCACATTGCCCGTTGTCGAGGATAGCACTTCAGTATCATCGGTAAGTTCTGCAGCCCTGTCTCAATCGAACTATTGATTCTGATATCCGAGGAAGGAGTTTGATAGTGACGATCAAACAAGGTCATTCACGCGCCCATCCTTCGACTCAACCGCATCTGAGCCTGAGCCACCCGTCGATCAAGTGACGAAGACGGTTTCTACTCAATACAATGCTCAACCGCAACGTCGGACCTCCTCAGCGGACTCAACGAACCGGAGCACAGCAAATTGCAAATCTCGCAGTCCATCAGAGGATCCTTCTTATTGCCTGTCGACCGGCAATCAGGATCCACAGACGCGCAACGCCGCCAAGCGTGCCGCTCATAACGTCATCGAGAAACGATACCGTTCAAACATGAATGCGAAATTCATTGCGTTGGAGAAATACACCTCTCCCGCAAGCATTCAGAAAGGTAGCTCCAAGGGCGGGGCGGGTTCTTTGAAGAAATCCGAGATACTCACAAACGCCCTCGGCTATATCGAAAACATGCAGCAAGAAAACCAGACTTTGCGCAAGGAATTGAGCTTTCTGAAACAGAATCTGCTGCCGGGGAGGCCGTGGCAACCTTCCAATCAGTTTTGAAACCGACTCAGTGCGACTTTGTGCGCGATAGACTGTTTTTTGTTTCATGTCCTATGTTGTAATGTATAGGAGTCTTGGGAGTGTTTGGCGTTTCAAGGGGCATGGAAGCCGGATTTTAGGTGTATTAGACCTCTCCCATCTTCATTATTGACGATAGAAAAGTCTTCTGTTTTGTGTTGTTGTTAGATCTGTCAGCTCCATATTCCATAGTTAAATAATGATGCAATAGCTGAGACTGGGCTGACTCTGCCCGACCCTGCTCTGTGTTCTGCGGTTCAGCTGAATCAAGACCAAGGTATGACTCGCATCCTGATGTACCTATAGCATACTCAGCTATGGTGTGGAGCTCTGACATCGATAGCGCGACACATACCTAAAAGGGAAATATTGGCGCCCTTCTCTGCTTGTGCACCACGTCGTATATAAAGGTCCGTTTCGAAATTTGTCTTTCATATTTTTATCCCCGAAAAGGTACTGTCCAGAATACGGAGGCTTTTCTTGAGGCCATCCTGTGCTTGGGTTTCGATCGGTGTGTATACACCTCAAAACCATGTTATTGGTAAGAATAAAGTGAACCCACATCCCTTCAGGCAGTTTAACGTGAACTGATGTGTCCTCCCCGACATGCATAACCAAATACTAACACTACATGGTTGCAAAATGGGACGGATACTGTTGCGCATGACCCTCCGGCTTCGGATTGATGACACTTCGAAATGGTCATGTCTCGAAATCCCGAAAAAGCCGCAAAAAGTCAAACGGGAGCTATGGGCAGCTCGCGGAATAAACCCGTTTCCTGCACTAAAGGCTATTGGTCAATTGATGAGGGATGCAGAAACTAGTCGTCTTCCAGAATGTGCCCATCAGACCTTAAAAACGGGCGAGGCTCAAATTTCCCAACTGGTGGCGGGGTGCTGATCCGGTGCTTGAATATCCATATCTTTCCCCACGATTACTGATGCTCTGAGAAACCAATTGTCATAGAAATTCCCCGGTTTCAACAATCGCAAACCTAGCGTCTCAGTCTACTCTAATTGCAACAATTACCGACCCAAACCCACCTCCCGGCCCCGAGAAGGGAAGGAGAAGGAGACCTTTGGGCCGAGGCCCGGCGATACAGGCCAATGGCGATTCTACATCGGCGTTCACAGCTGGACAGAGAGATGTCTCATCCAAGCACATCCTTGTACGTAAACACCTTGTTCAGCTAAACTCCAACGACGCGACATCCGGTGTTCTCCATGTTCAAGCTGAACCCCGGAGCCCTTGTTCCCCAGCTGCTTCTAGCGGTACGGGGCTGCTGCCTGACCAGCTAGCGCCATCGTGTCGTGCTTCCCTTTTGTCTGATTATTCTGGGTCACTACTACGACACCACAGTAGTATGCGGGAGCCGAGGATTATCGCGATGCTCCAATTTTTCTGTCCACTCAAATGGCATTGCCCATTGGATTCCATTCGGGAGTGGGCATATAAAAAAATTCTCGGAAAATTGTGAAGCTCGCACATCACCACTATAGAGATAATCAGTTAGTATCTCGAGATTCGAGATATCGAAGCTTTCCGGCGGATTTGATGGCTATCACGTAGTGGCGGCTCTCGGGTGGCTTATCTCGTCGGATGTACTTGCCTAATCAGGACCAAATGGTCGCCACCGATCATCTCGAGGCTTTATGGAGATCGGAGGCTTACAGTAGCTTGTGGATGGCGCATGGAGTGCGCCGTGCCTGCATACCTGAGGCTTTGCTAGGCCTCTGGAACTGGTGGGAGAAAGAAAAGATGCACTTCGATGACTTGTCCATCTAGCAATGTCCATTGTCGGGAATTATAAAAGCCTTCCCTCCCGTTAGAAGCAGAAATCGCCGTCCGCCACACTCAATGAACTATTCTCTATGGACTGTGAAAACAGCCATTGATCGAGTCTCGCCTGGTCCTTTCTCCGGATCATACTAACTATAAACATCGCCCTTGTGGAGAAGACCATCCACAATCACAAGCGCGTGGCCCACTTCGAGGAAGTCCATCCGAGCAGCACAAAAAATCCCCGCAAAAAAATTCCCCCAAAATCGATTTCGCACTCATCGTTTCCATTATCAAGCGCACCCCAGCCTGTGACAAATTACCTTGATAGAACCCACAACTTCCGTTGTCTCCGTCGTGCCTGTCATTGGCCGCTCCATTTTCGACCCCAGCTTTATCTCTTTGCCCGGGTCTTTTTGGGCGAAATTAACTTTGCTTGACACGACGCCTCTGAGGGGGTGATCCTTGCTCGACTCGACACAGCGCGGAACGAAATCATGACCGCGAAGACTATATAGAATCCATCGTCTCGCTCCTCTGCCCCCTTTTTTCCCCAGGTTTATCTTCTGGCGGAAAATGGAAGTGAACCCCCTCCTGCTTGCCCGTTGAATTGCTCTTTAACGCTTCCGGCTGGAATAAAACTACAATGGATCTGGAGTCGAACCAACAGGCTGAGCCTATCAAGCCGGCGCTGTCGACTGACCAAGATGTGCAAGATGCGCTCGATCTTGCGGCGCTCGGCCACGACCAGGCCTTGACGCGGAAATTCGATATGTGGAGCATGTTGGCGCTCGCCTTCTGTGTGCTGGGTATGCTCCTGCTTGCCCGGAATAAATGGTCGTCGATTCCATACTAACCTGGTTTTCCTAGGCACCTATTCCACGTTCGCGCAGGATCTCAGCAGTGGCCTGACCAATGGTGCCTCTATCACGATTCTCTGGGGTCTGGTGCTGGTCACCGCCTGTAATCTCTGTGTCGCACTGTCGCTGGGCGAGTTGACCAGCAGTATGCCGACGGCTCTGGGTCAAGCCTACTGGGTATACCGGCTGTGGAGCACACCCCTTGGCCGATTTGCGTCATACATGTGTGCTTGGATCAACACCTTTGGCTGGTGGACGTTGTCGGCCTCCCAAATCGCCTTTATGTCTGAATTCATGTTGGGAATGAGAACCATGTTCGAGCCGGAATGGGACGGCGTCAACAAGGGGTGGCTCAATTTCGTGGTCTACATCGGTGTGACCCTGTTGTTGACTGTCATCAACGTTGTCGGATGTCGGAAAGACAAGGTGCTCCCGTGGATCAACAACTTTGTTGGCATCTGGTTCTCCGGTCTCTTCGTCGTCCTCTCTTTGGCGCTCCTGATCTCAGTTGGCGTGAAGCCTGACCTATCCTTCCAGCCTGCTAGTTTCGTGTTTGGAAACTGGATTAACAATACTGGCTGGAGCAACGGGGTCGTCTGGTTTACCGGCCTAGTACAGGCCGCGTACGGTCTGACCGCATTCGATTCGGTCATCCACATGGTCGAGGAGATCCCTGCTCCGCGTCGTAACGCCCCGCGCATCATCTGGATGGCGGTGCTCTTCGGTGCGGTGACTGGGTTCATCTTCATGGTAGTGTGCTTGTTCTGTATCCAGAACGTGAAGGCCGTCCTCAACGCAGACCTACCCTTCATCACGCTTATGCTCCAGACCATCGGTCTGAAGGGCGCCACTGTGCTGCTCTCCCTCTTCATCTGGAACGGAGTTGGTCAGGGTATCAGTATTCTGACAACCGGTTCTCGTTTGACCTGGGGATTTGCCCGTGACGGCGGCCTGCCCTGGAGCCGGTACTTCAGCCACGTCGACCCAGTCTGGCAAGTCCCTGCACGGTCATTGTGTCTACAGGGCTTCCTGATTGCCCTAGTCGGCGTCTTGTACCTCTTCGCCAACACTGTGCTCGAGGCCATTCTAAGTGTCAGCACCATCGCGCTGACTGTCTCCTACGGCATGCCCATTATGTCACTACTCATCGTTGGCCGTGACAAGCTCAAGCCAGGTCCATTCCACCTGGGCCGCTGGGGCCCGCTCTTGAACTGGGTCAGCATCATCTACTGCATCATCACGACCATCTTCTTCCTCTTCCCTGGCGCCCCTAACCCTTCACCGGCCGACATGAACTACGCAATTGCTGTGTTTGGAGTCATGCTCGTCATTGCCGTTGTCTTCTGGTTCATCCGGGGTAGTCGGACATACCTCCACACGGAGGACGCCATCGCCGATATTATCCAGGCGCAGCAGATGGAAGTTGCCACTGAGCCTGTGCAGCCACCTATTTCCAAGGAGTAGATGAGTGCGCTTGTGGTAGTGGAGATCATATTGGCACTGTATATCGATGTTGTACCTATGCGTGGGCTGCTCCCTGGCGTTGAATAATATTCTATAATTTCAAAACGGTGTAATGCCCGGGAAATGTGAATAGAATCGGAATTATTTTACAGTATATATTTTTCTGGGAACAGTAGTAGATGGGGACGTATACCTGTCAACCTACGGTCATGTAGTTTAATGCCTTAGTACTTTTCTTTGTCACTTGCAACGCTGTCTCCTGCCACGACCACACGACCTCTCTTGGTCACACCGTATCGGAATATTATGGAACTTCGGACTTGGCGTCCAACCGTGAAGAATGTATAATAATGCGGATGTCGTCACTATTCCGAAGCGAGGCTGGTGATGCCTGGCACCAATTCAATCCGACGACAGCTTAGGGTCGCGGATTCCGATCTGAGAACTTTGCGAAACGATGAATCTCTGGAATCTTATCGCGGACTCCGGGAATTCACCAAGTCCATGGTGGGGAAGACATTGGCTTATTGGCCGATAGATCTTCGCCAAGTTGATTGTCCGCTTGGCAAGGCACAGATGGTCGCATCCTGGATTCCATCGAATCCTTTCTCCCCGGGTGACTTTTGTTTCCTGAGTACTTGCAGCACAAACAGAACAAGCCGACTTCAGACTGCTGTGGAAGGTGTGGTTGTGCAGTTTGACTCTATGTTCTGCACGAGCTCCCGGCCCACGCTAACTGGTTGATTACTGATTCTATTTACGCGTCGCGCGGTTGCCAATCCCTTCCTGTCCCGGACTGCACGAGGGGAGTGTTCCCGCCGATCATCAGGGACGCTGCACCGTCATCTCCGGAGGACAGGGTAGCAATGTTTCAGCGCAGGCAGGGAGATGCTTCCATACCGATCACATCACAGGCTGCAACTCGGCGCCATCCCGTCCTGGTGCAACAATGCGCCCTCACGCGTTGTGTCTCCACGGCAGCCGACCAAACAAGGCATCCAATCCTTGTCCGAGAAGTTTGAGCTAGGGTTGGCCGACGGATATCCGCCCAATAGCCCAGCGGAGCAGTGCGACCGAGAGGAGACCCCTGGAGGTATACTCCAGTTTCCCAACGGGTGTTTGTTAGACTCTCTAGGCACCGCATTCCGTTGATGGTCCCTCATTCCCCTCTCCGATGCAACCATAAATAATAAATAATTCAAGTACCGGCTGTTGCCCCTCGTTCAGATGGTTTATTTCGTTCGTTATACTGTCTTTGTTTATCCCTCGCCGGTAATTCGATAGGAGTGTATTACCTACTCTCCTTGACCATGCTTGGATCTCTATTGAACCGTGGGGCCTTGTCCCTGACGGTTGTCTTGCTTCTGACATCCTCTGCCGTGGCGGATGTTTTTGAGAAGTTGACTCATGTGCCGCAGGGTGAGTTCGTGGAGAATTGTTCGAGTTGGGCCCGTACTGAGCAACTGATATTATATAGGATGGATTCACACCCGAAGCCCTCGCGGCAATCAACCCATTCGTCTGCAGATCGCCCTTGCGCAGAGCGATGTCGAGGGATTTGAGAAGGCCGTGATGGATATGTCGACCCCTGGCAACGCCAACTATGGCAACCACTTCCAGACCCACGAGGAGATGAAGCGCATGCTGCAGCCGAGTAGCGATGCTGTGGATTCAGTTCGTGCATGGTTAGAGGATGCCGGCATTACGCAGATCGAGCAGGACGCCGATTGGATCTCCTTTGAAACCACCGTAAACACAGCCAATGAGCTGCTGGATGCGAACTTCCAATACTATATGAACCGTGTGAAGCACGTTGAGCGTCTCCGCACTTTGGAATACTCGATTCCGGACTCTCTGACTTCCCATATCAATCTCGTGGCACCTACCACGCGTTTTGGTCAGCTGCATGCAGAGCGTTCTACTATGCACACCAAATCTAAGCGCCCGACGGAGTCGTTCCGGAAGGCTACTGCTGATGGAGACTGCAACAACTCTATTACTCCTCAGTGTCTTAAGCAGTTGTACAAAGTTGACGATTATGAGGCCGACACCGGCAGCGGCAGCAAAGTGGGCTTTGCCAGTTACCTTGAGCAGTACGCTCGTTTCTCAGACCTAGAGCTGTTCGAGAAGAACATTGCTCCCTATGCCAAGAATTCATTTTCGGTCGTTACTTATCATGGCGGCGAGAACAATCAGAGCTACCCCGGTGACGCTAGCGAGGCCAACCTGGACGCCCAGTATATCGTCGGCATGAGCTCTCCTATTCCAGTTACTGAGTTCAGCACTGGTGGCCGAGGGCCGCTTGTCCCAGACTCAGCGGAACCAAGCCAGAATAACGATCAGAATGAGCCGTACCTGGAATTCTTGCAGAATGTGCTTAAGATGGACAAGGATGATCTACCGCAGGTGATCTCCACCTCGTACGGGGAGGATGAACAAGTCAGAATCTCTTTGAAGCACTCTGTGGCAGTTACGGTCTGACAATCTTTCCAGAGCGTGCCCGAGAAGTACGCCCGCAGCGTGTGCAACCTGTTCACTCAGCTGGGCAGCCGTGGTGTCTCCGTCCTCTTCTCGTCTGGCGACTCGGGCGTTGGAGGAGATTGCGTAACCAACGACGGCTCCAACCGCACTCACTTCCTTCCCCAGTTCCCCGCGGCTTGTCCGTGGGTGACTTCGGTCGGTGCGACGACTCACATGTCGCCCGAAAGCGCCGTGTCTTTCTCGTCGGGTGGGTTCTCAGATGTGTGGGAGCGCCCTTCCTACCAGAACGACGCAGTCAGCGCCTACCTTGAGGTTCTGGGCGACCAGTATGCTGGTCTATTTAACCCCAAGGGCCGGGCCTTCCCCGACGTTGCTGCCCAGGGCGCAAACTTCGCCGTATATAGCGCTGGCTCTCTCGTCAGCCTGGAAGGTACCTCGTGCTCTTGTCCGACATTTGCTGGAGTTATTGCTCTGCTCAACGATGCCCGTCTGCGCGCGAACAAACCTGTTATGGGCTTCCTTAATCCCTGGATCTATGCCAACGGGGCCTCCGTTCTGAATGATATCACTACTGGCGGTAGCACTGGCTGCTCCCAAGGCCAGGGCATTAGTGCCAGCTGGAACGCTACTAAGGGCTGGGACCCTGTCACGGGTCTCGGCACTCCTAACTTTGCGGAAATGAAGAAGGTGGCTGTTGGCAACTAGATATTGCATTCTTGTTTATGTCGGTCTCCCATGAATTGGCAGGTTATTCCTGGAATAATAGGGTGTAGATGCTCTCAGGCAGGGTGCACATAGCTGCTACCAGAGTTTTTGCAAATGCATATAAATTGGTCAGTGATCGAGTTCTTTTTATACGCAATATGGACATGTTTGAGTTTATGTGTGCAGATAGGGGATATAAATCACAGGCAGAGAAGTCTTCCTCTCGCAAACGCGGATATTGTAAACATCCCAATTCTGAGAACCCTTTGATTAAATGGTCAGGAACTTAACTAGTTACACACATAAGTGCTGACCAAATGAGGCAGGTCACAGGGACATGAACTATAGAGATGAGTTACTCGAGCAAGCTGATTGAGAGTCATGGTATGGATGCTGTATGCTGTTTCCCAGCTAAATCAATCATACAAACGCAAGCCCACAAAATCGGCAGCCCAAGATGTAAACCCATCGATGATGCCCTCATTCCCAACAACCACTTCGTTATCCCCGTCCTTCCATCCATCAACCAAAAGACCCAGGGTTGCACTATCCCACCATCCCAGCCCAGGCCCAAAAAGTTCGCTGTGGCGTCCACTGAGAGGCACCTCAAGTCGAACAGGAGTTCCGTCATTGACAGACACAGTGATATTCCTCGAGTTCGAACCCCAACCCCATGAAGTGGAGAAGGCAATGTCATTGTTAATGTAATCCAGCTCAAGATACTTGGATGAAGTGCCAGAGTGCAGCACATTAGCTGGAATGATGGCTCGTGCGGTATTGGTGGCATTGATATAGCCGATCTTTGAGCCAACAGGGTGGCAGAATCCCGCGCCGCACTTTTCGAGCTCTGCAGAGCCGGAGAGAGAAAATGCAGTACAAGGATAGTACTTGCCCTGTGGGGAGGTTATTTGAATAGAATCGATGGGCTCGAGAGAATCGATTGAGATCTGGTTCGTAGATCCGGCTGTCAAGGAAATGGTTGACGAAACGCTGCGCTTGGACGCTGGCACATTAACCTGTTTCCTCTGCGAGCTTGAAGAGCTTTGCAGAATAACTTTGGTTGAAGTTCCAGTAGATTTGGATAAAGAAATAGTGATGGTATAGTTGCTGCTTGTGGTGTTTGCATACACATTCTTGAAAGTTGTAGTGTGGCTGGAGATAGTCAGCAAGAATCGCCGACTGTCAATAGGGATCATGGACTACTTACCCTTTTGAAGTGGCAAAGAGGCTGCTTGGATAAAGCCCTGCCTCTGTAGCATCTTCCAGCTCCAACAACATAACACCATGAGCATCCACAGTAGCCGAATAAGTTGTGCGGACATTACTCAACGTTTCGTTCGCCCATATATTCTTGACTATCTTTGCATGCTGCAGCCCAATATCGGGTAGATTCAATGACAATTCCCTAGGTTCATTGGCCCAGTTAATCAATGCAGCCACCGTCCGGCCCTCGGATAATGGTCCACTCCAAACCTCGTATCCAGCCTCGGACCAGCGTCGACGGAGGTTCGCACTCTGCGCCAGAGAATCCTGATTAAAGCTGATAACATCCTTGTTCGATAAGACCTCCAAGGAGGCATCGCTGATAGCAGTCAAATCATCTTTCAGAGCCGCACCGATAGTAAGCGGGCTCTTCAGAATAGCCCACATCGAGAAATGAGTCTGCTCTTCTGGAGTTGTAAAGACATCATTTCCAACCTCAAGCATGTCCAGGTCAGGCCATTGCCCTGGTCCTGCAAATGAAGTCGACGGGACGGCTTGATTAAGGATCCGGAAGATGGTCCTCCAGTCTGGAATGATGTCGTTACTGATACGCCATGTATTGCCCAGGGTTGGAGCCCAAAGTGCAGGGAAGTCGACACCCCAGTCACAAATTTGGAACAACATGGAGCGATTCTGAGCTGCCAGTGCTTTGGTCATGTTGGCATATCGGAATCTCGGCGATGTGCTAGGGGTGTAATCCGCATCGGGGTATCCAGCTGCGGCGTCGGAGTAGCAATTATCATCTGGTGGAGCATAAGTAAGATAAATAAAGGAACTGGATTGAAGGATAATCCTACACTTGAGGGAATCGACTTGCCAAGAAGCAAACGTCGCTGCATCATGTGGTTCATGGTCTGCAGCAGGTTTTATATTAGCAAGAACACTTTCTAATTTATTTCAAGCATATACAGCATCACTCACACAAACTTCCAGCCTGTGGAATAGTGGTCTGACAAGATCTAATTCCGGCATCCTCGTACACTCCGAAAAAAAGACCTAAACTGTGAATGAATTGCCCCAGTGCAGGAAATCCGCTAGGAAACAACGTATGGTTCCAAGTCAAAGAGCCATCAGATGTTCGGTCCAGTACTGTCCAGCCACAATCGGTAGTGACATAGCGATAGCCGAGTGGAGCAAGTCCCAGATCCACTAGTGCTTTCGCATTGGAGTGAACTATACTCTCGTTCGGGGAGCACGAGTAGTGGTTATATGTATTCCACCTAGAGAATTTAGCACGAACTCCAGGCTAAGAATAAATGTGTTTACCCCATGGGAGGTGTCTTTGCAACACCGTTGTCGATTCGAGGACTCAGCGTGGAAGCTGAGCTGATGGGCAGCTGCAGCCCAGCCAACAAAAGGAGGGAAATCAGTAGCATTGTGATGATTTGTACCCATTGTAGCAAGTAGACGTTATCTGGTGCTCAAAAGTATGTATTTATAGCTGGTTCTCTCCGCTGGAGCAAAGTCGCGGGGTCGAGCTTGAATGTGGAGATGACGGAAAATTTCCTAAAAGGGAATTGTCCAAACAGGATGATGTAATCCCTGACTTGCATCGCAAGCAAATAGTCATAAAATAAAGCACAACCGTATTACGTGTTTTCTCCAAAGCTACTAATACAGAACAAAAAACATCACCTCAGAAAAATGCAACTCCAGTAGATACTTTCATCCTCCATTCAAGAGATAAAACAGTGATAAGAAAATCAAAGCGCCGATACTCTCTCATCACAGTCCCGATCACGTTACTAGGTCATTAAAGTCCCACCTTGACATTTCTGACTTAGGCAACAAGACCCATCAGGGCAGAGCAGAAGACCAGCGCAACGACGCCCAGACCAGTCTTGGAAACAGGCTGGTTGACAAAAGCTGCATTCTTGGTATGAGACGTAGAGGAGCCACTATGGGTTTTGGTGGTACTGGTGGCAGAAGTATTGCTTACGCCGGCGCCGGTAGCGGTGGCAGTCGCATTGACAGTGTTGCAGAATATGTCGTGATAGTTGTCGCTCTTGGTCTGCAGGCAGGAGCGGAGCACGCCAATGTCTTGGCCCTCGGCGAGACAGTAGATTCCGCAGTCGTTGGCGTACTTGTGGGGCGTGGCTTGACCGCAGCAGTCGTTGAAGACGTATGTGATGTTGCCAGTGATGCGCGACGCACAGGCCGGATCGCTGCTAGGGAGATTCCAACCGTTTGCGACGCCGCAGTTGGCGGCGGTCGAAGATGGAGCATAGGCGATCGAAGTAGTAGGGGCGGCCATTTTGAACAGGGTGCTGTATGTAGTTAATGGTGGAGCTTGGAAGTATGCGGCAACATCAAAAGTTGGAGATGAAGGAGGTGACGAGGAATGAAGTGCGTATGACGGTGACGGAACGGTGACGATTGAAGTAGATGCAAAGAAAGGAGACAAGGCGACCAGGTTGAGTCCAATTCTTAATTATCTATCACCCCAGGCTCATCTCAGGTAAGGCAATGGCCTGTGACTGGTGCTCGGATCTCTCGCCCGATGAAATTTAACTAGTGCTCCACTGTTCAGCTATACAAGACAACCCCCACTACTATATCGCGCAATTTTACCTATATGTTTGATCAGAATCATGGTGGGGAATATGTGGTGGTATTCAATCATTCATTTTTGACCTAAACATAGAAAGAACAAACCAAGCACAGATTGTTACAAGTCCAGGCCCCAATGGGTAAGGCGAACACGATATAGTATCTAGAGGATATCGATTATATCGCAGCCAGAGTATCAAACACCCGCTGTGTCATGAGAAAGCTTCAAAGCTCGGTCTTGGGCTCCGTCACATCTTTATTGATCTCCTCCCTGTGGGCAGCGGTCTCGGCCTCAACGAGCTTTTCGTCGGAAGCGTGCTCGACACCCAGCAGAGAAAGCAGGCCAATCTCACTTTCGATGCGTGCCTTGCGGATTGCATCTTCCTGGGCAATACCAGTGCTTCCGAAAAGCTCGTCCATCTCCTCCAGGGTACGGCCCTTGGTTTCGGGAACCAGGAAATACACGTAGATGATGCCGATGGTGGTGATACAGCCGAAGAAAATAAACGCGCCAATCGGGCTCGTCTTGACAAACGGCGAAGTGGATAGGCCGACGGCGAAGTTGTTGAGCTGTATTAAAGTTTATGAGCAAAAATCCTTCGGTATGCAACATAGAGGATACTCACCCAGTTGCTGCTGCCACCAAGACTGACACCCTTAGCACGCATGGAGAGAGGGAAAACTTCGGAAACGACAATCCATGCCACGGGGCCTGAGAAAAATGGTCAGCGGTGTACAGTTACCTTGATTAGAATATGCCACTCACCCCATGAATAGGCAAAGTTGATCACGAAGATCCACACAAACACGATACCAGCCCAGCCGGCCGCACGGTGCTCGTCGAATTTGTGGTTAAAGCCACCCAGGATACCAGCAACAATAAAATGGCACGAGGCCATACCAATGGCTCCGGCAATCAGAATCTTCTTGCGGCCAATCCTATCGACCCACAGCACGGCTGGAAGGGTGAAAACGAACTCGAAAATACCGACAACACCAGTCGCCAACAGGGTAATAGTGTTGCCCGGCAGGTGCATGTTCTTGAAGATGAACGGCCTTTAAGTAATCAGTATATAATCCGGAGGTCTTGGTGTCCGTACTCACGCATAGTAGTTGATTGCGTTGATTCCATTCCACTGCTGGAAAGTCATAACCAGACACTGGGAGATGGTCAGCAAATGTCCAGTGCCTTAATCCTTTCAAGCAGACATACCGCAACGGCAGTTCTCTTGAACAGAGAAGGGTTGGTGATGAGTGAGAGATAATCGGAGGCGCCGATCTTGAATCGGCTGGAAAACGAGCCGTCCTGCCAATCAGGGTATTTCTTCGCGGAAGTTTCCTTCTCAAACAGGTAAAGACTCTTGATTTCCAGGAACTCGATGCGGACCAGAAGATCATCGGTGGACGCGCTGCGGAGGCGAGCCAGGGTTTTCAGGCACTCCTCCTCGCGGCCAGTGTTCATCAAATGGCGCGGAGATTGAGGCATAAAGAGTACAATGCCCACCGCCAGCACGATAGCAGGCAAGAGTTGAATGCAGACAGGAATGAGCCACGCAGCGTTTGACTGGGTGGCGCCCGTGCCGCCGATGTAGTTTGTTCCATAACCAATCTAACACAGACCGTTAGATGAAGCTTGAGATTAAGCGTCGGGATTGCCAATTCTTACCCAGAAGCTGATCATGATTCCAAAAGTGATAGCAAGCTGTTGCACAGCGACCAGCGAGCCACGGATCTCTGGAGGTGCCTTATAAACCAATCAGTTGTAGCTCTATACATTTCTCGAGTACAACTCACCAGCTCGGCATTATACAGTGGAACGACCATACTCAAACTTCCAACCCCCAGACCGGTGACGAATCGACCTGCGAAGACGTAATTGGCATTCTGGGTGCAAGCCTGGACAATGACACCAATGCAGAAAACCACCGACGCAACCACGACCGTCAGCCGACGACCCAGCGCATCAGCCAAGTATCCGTTGAACAGCGTTCCCACCCAGGCGCCCAGTTCGAGGATAGAAGTCAAAAGACCCTGCTTAACGCCCGTTTCCGCGGCGAATTGTTGGGTCTGCGTCACGCACGATTGTCAGCATTGAAGCCCCAGGTCTTTCCAAACGGTCTGGTACTCACAGCATCGCTAAAAGAGTGCATCGTCAAGATCTGGGAGAACATTCCCTGGTTATCTGCCAGTTGTTGTCAGCGCATGTAGTGGATTTTCTTTTATTTGCTCACTTACATCCGTACACCAGACCACCCAGCGAGGCGAACAATCCGATGGCAGAGGTCTTCTTGTTACTGAGCAGACCCTGGATACCACCCTTGCCGGCCAACTCAGCACGCTTGGCCGAGATGGCCGTCTCTCCGCCAACATGAGGCCCCATGATTGATCACGGGCGGCACACACACGAGGAGAGAATGAAGACCCACGACGGAGATAGTGTGGGGAGAATAATAAGATGGAGATTGAATGGGTAAGGGAAAGATGAATGAGACGGGATTTAAATAAAGCTACCAACCGGTCTCGATCTCAACCGGGATCGGCAGGTCTATTTATTTACCTGGGCTGCCATGGAGAACGGGGTCACTGGATAAAGTCTTCCGGGGACTTTATCCCTCCCCGTGGGGGGCCTGTTGATGGCATCCCCCCGGTTTCCCGTGCGTACCAAGTTTCGTCCTTTGAACCACCAAGCTTCAACAAAGCGTGTCGCTTGTGTCCGCTTATCCACCGTAGACAAAACCCCACCACGTTCGGTGATACATCGGGTTCGGGCGCTAGACCATGGCCGGACTCTATAGCGTCACCGGTACGGGTGTATCACTGGCTGTTGGACATTTGGAGGACCGTGGTTTGTGGGTCGTGCATGGATGTGGACGCGTTTGAAGTTGAGCAGAATTTATCCGCGTTGGTTATTCAGATGCAAAACCATGGATAGCTTAACTCGGATGGTGCCAACGAGCTTTGGACGTGCCTGCCATCTTCCTACCCAGGACTCGAATCAAGCCTCTTCCTGGTGCTTGTCATCCATGGATCCCGAAGTGGCTTAAGTCGTGGTCGGTCTCAGCCGCAGGCCGAAGGCGAATTTCTTGAAATGGGGCAGAAAGATGACTCGACTCCTTCATCATTGGTTGTACACGGCGACTCGGATCCACTCGGCCTCCGGATGGAGAAAATGGGATAGACAAACCTGGTTCTCCATACTTGGAGCTGCCTTGCAACGCCGGATGAATTGGCCCTGATTTAGCCTGTTCACATTCACTCCCTCTGCATACGCCACCCAACGCCCCTCCCGTGCACCAGTCCAGCCTAACAAACCTACGCATCGGCATCGGTCGGAACACCGGGCTTGCCGGCAACGCTACATTTCCGGGCTAAGTACAGCTGGCAAATGAAAACCAAACTACGTATGTGCGATGGTTCCGGGTAAAGCAGATACTGTGCAACCAACCTATTTTCCCGAAATACGGGGTTTTATCCTATTATGTAATGTTATCCCATCCCCTGAAAATAACCCTCCCCCCCGGTGTTTTCCGGGGATGTCTCGGCGTCTGGCCAGTCATTCATTGGGAGCACCTGGAGACATGTTGTAGCAGCGTTGGGGACTCCCTGCCGCTTTTGGACTTCAGTTGGCCGAGGCCGATAACTGGCCGCCAAGCCCGTTCCTTTTACCGTGCAAGGATATGCCGGCCTCATCCCGAGTTGATCGGGATACTTGTGAAAAATTTATCGGTTTCAATGATTCCATGGGTAGCGCGATTAAAAGTGAACCAGGTGTTGTCCATAGATCAAATTACGACGTTTCTCTTCTGTGAACAACCCCTACTTCTAGACATCGAGTCGCACCCCTTACTAGATAATTACTATGTAAAAGTGAGCCGAGTCGCTGATGTGAGTGGCGCGCTAACAGTCCGCCACACAAAGCCTAAATTAATCCCGGCAAAATATTCTTCAACACCAGACCATTATTTCCAAGAATTAGAAAACTCTGGAAGAATTAGAAAACTTTGGAAGAAATTGAACACTTGTGTACTTCCGCACAGGAAACCGAGGATAGTCGATGACGAGGAGTATCCAGGTAAAAGCGACATTCGGCGTGGCCACTTCCAACCCTAATCAAATTCCAGCAGCAATGCCTCAAATGCGCCTCTCTTCACTGCGTCGCCAAGATCTACAGATAGTGTGGTAGCGATGCAGATACCAGATTGAACAGAAGCAGAAGTTCGTCACAGCTCCAGAATGATGGGCTTCTTGGTGTCAGCGGTACAACCTGAGAATATCCCGACATCTACATCAGACACAGGTAGCCGTCTTCTACAAACTACAATAGGAGCAACTTAGCAAAGCTAGATCTATTGTAGCAATTCCAAAACCCCTTCTCATAGAACACAGTACAGGCAAAAGAAAATCCGAGCCGCATGAAATAATGCCACCACGCCTCCGTGACAGTTCGATAGAAATAAAGAAAGAAGCAAAAAGACCTGCATGTCGACACGACCTCATCACACTTTCAGCTAGACAGAAGACGGTCAGCGGTAGTCTTCACACCTTGGGAGTCACCAGGTTTGGATTCGTCCTGAGCAACCCCGTTGTAAGGGCTCTGGAGAGATTCGCCAGCGAGAGTTTCAAGAGTCTGACGCTTCGTTTCAGGAACCAGGAGCGAAGTGAAGCAACCACAGAGCATGAAGAGGGCAAATATCTGCATCACATGGTTCAGCCAGGGAGTGTCGCCCGCGTGCTTGGCTCCGCGAGTCACCAAAGGACCGAAGACACACTGCGCAATGATGGCACCGATCTTGCCCAATGCCGCGCTAATGCCATGTGAGGTGGAGCGGTAACGAGTCGGGAAGCACTCGCCAGGGACAATGAACGTAGTGGCGTTGGGACCGAAGTTGAAGAAAAACTGGGCAAGGACGTAGAGTGCCAGCAGACCATTGTTCGAGTGCTTAAGAGGCTCGTAGGCAAAGCCGATGATCACAAAGAGGATGGTCAGAATGATGAACCCAACCAGCTGAATAGGCTTGCGGCCCAGATGGTCAACGGTAGCAACGGTCATCCAGTATCCAGGAATGGCCCCAGCACAGATAAGAATGAGATTGCCGACAGCGTTCTTGTAGAAAACCTCGTAGATATTTTTGCCTCCAGTCCAACCAATGCTGCTCAGGATGATCGAGTTGTTTAGACCGAGACCGTAGAAAGCTAGGAGAAAGCCAGTAGGTGTTCGGATTGGTGAAGTAAAGAAGCAGTTGTTGCCTACCAACATCAAGGAAGAACCACGAGCCGGCAGTGCCCAGCAGAACCTTGCCATTCTTCCACTGACCGTAGTGATTCCAGAAGTCGGACCAGCTGGCATTCGGGGGGATGAACTCAATGCTGTCGTTGTGGAGGATAGTGACTCGCTGAGTTTCATGAGGATGTCCCTCAGCCTTGCCCATGATGTAGGCACGGATGTCCTTGTCAGCGTTGACAATATCACGCTCGACATCGAAGGTGTACCGGGGAGTCTCAGGGATAGTCAGGCGATAGTAGAGTGCAAGACAAGCTGGAACTGCACCAAAGCCGATGATCACTCGCCACATCTTGTCCACAGCTAGCTGACAAGCACCAGTGCAATGATCAACATCCTTGGCTGTCTCAAGAGACTCTTTGAAGCCAGCAGTGACAATCAAAAGCGATAATGGCAGCAGCAAACTGACCAAAGCCCTGCATTGCGAAGACAGCTCCCATCATGGCACCACGCCATTTAGTGGTAGCAAACCTAACCTGTTTAGTAGGGATTGTATCTTTTGATTCAGGTACTTACTCCGAGGTAATGATTGATGAAAGAGGATAGTCACCACCGATGCCAATGCCCATGATAATGCGCCAGAAGACGAGCAGGCCAGTGATCGACACAGCGCGGGAGCTCGAAGAAAGGGCCTGGGCGAGGGTAGCGAGGATAATGATCATAAGCTCGATGCCATACATGCGCTTCCGACCGATTCGATCCGCCATCCAGCCAAAGAAGAGCTGGCCGATGACCGTGCCGCCCGAAGTAGCAACCTTGATGGCAGTGTCCGAGCTGGAGGGGATCTTGCCAGGGCCCGATGCAGCGCCCTGCCAGAAGACAACACCCAGCATGTTCACAGCCAGGTTGATGGCAAAGATGTCGTACGAATCGGTGAAAAAACCAACACCAGCAACAACCACGGCCCGGACGTGACGCCAGCCAAAGCTGGCATTGTCGATCTGGGCCAGAGCCTGGCGGCGGCGCTCGTACGGGTCAGTGATGGCCGATATATCGTCACTGTTGCCCGCAAACAAACCGCCATTGCTGACCATCTTGAGTTGTTTGATTGTTCAGTGGAGTTGATGTGAACGTGGGTGATGGGAGTGTATGGGGAAGTGCAAGGAGGACGGTCAGGTGGTGAGCGGTAGAAGAGAGAAGAGGTGGGAAGAAGAAAGAAGAGGAGGAGGACAAGACAGGGAGAAGCTCTAGTCATCTGGAGAGTATTCGGGTTCCTGCCTGCCGGAAATACACTGGATGAAGGTTACACAGACTCTAGTCTTGCAAAGGTACATGATGTATCTGCAGCTATAGTATGATTGATGATGTACCTGTCAAGCTATCATTCTGCAATAACCTTAAAAACATCTACATCTGGAACTAACCAATCAAAGGGTCAGAATAGGGGCACGCCCCCCTGCTTGCCCCAGCTGTGCCTGTGATATAAGCCATGGGACTGCCTGCCTGATTGGGAAGCATGACAGATCCAGGCACGTGCGAGGCTACGGGATTTACGTCCGCCGTGGAGAAAGCAGACCTCGAGACTGCCAGCCACAGTGTCATGGAGATATCATTAGGCAAATTCGGAGGAGAGATCCGGTGGAGGCAAGGATGGTTTGCAGACAGTCCACTACTATGAAAATAATATACTCCTAGGTAGTAAAAGGACGATGTTAGAGTCATTAGATTCAGTCCTAGTCTCGTGTAAAGTTGTAACTCAATACTGACTCCATTCAATTTGAATAGCAAAGTGCCAATTCAACTAACACGTTACATATGTAGTCTATGAGTGTTCTACTCAATTGCGGCAGTATACTGGTCGATGTCATGGAGACATCACGACGCCACGCCTTGGCCACAAGTGGCGCGCCAGAAACCTACTTATAGATCATGTAAACTTCGCTCAACGGCACCGAACAACGATATTATTGTTACACATCGCTTGTGAATACTACCCAGTCTTTCCACGAAAGTCCAATCCAAAATATCCGCCATGGGTCGTGCGAACGGAAACGCTGACAACAAGCTCCGCGGCTACAAGGCGTATGTTTTGTCTCGACCTACTCCACAAATCCGGATTTCTAACCATGTCCTTCCAGCGCTATCTCCAACCCAAGAGTCTCGGAACCGGCTAAGTCTCACGCAAGAGAGGAACTCGATCGGTACCAGGGTACCCAGAGTGATGATGATCGACTTGAGGGCAACGTCAAGCGCGGTCTGAAGGCGTAAGTTCTGTCGATATGATACAACATTCAAGGCTGACTGGCATAGTGCCATGCACAACCCCAACAACACTGATGTGGGTAGGCAGCAGGCGCGCGACAAGCTGGAGGCAATGGGTGAACACCCGGAACAGCCAGCGGATTAAGGAAGAGTTTTGTATGTATTATGTGATTAGGTTTGAACACATGTACATGTGGATCGTTCTGTGCTTTTGTAGATCAGGTATATGTATCTATGTTGAAGTAAGGTCAATAGGTGGTGGTTTGGCAGGTGCTAATAATCGCAGCCGTCTATAGTTATATACTGTACAAGGTAGAACAAACGGAGCCCTGGTTCATATTTACAGCCCCCGCTTCATCTTCCAACGCATGATGAAGGTCGCAAAGGGGAAAAAGGCGAGCGAGACGCCGATCCACACAAACAGGACCCCAAAGTCGAGTCCAATACGGGAGTGCGTGTCGAACAGGATCGTACGAATAGCCTCAATAACTGGATATAGTTAGATTTGATTACCAGGTAAACGGAAAAGAAAACTTACTCCGATGCAATGGCCATGCGTAGCCCCACCGAAAGAATCCAGCTGACAGTTCAATGGGATAAAATCCAGTGGCCACATTGGTGATGACCCAGAAAATCAAGAAGAAGGAGCTCCATGGGGAACCCATGATCATGGCCATATTCTCACAGGGGAAGCCCAAAGCGGCCATTCCGACCCAGTTCAACATCCAATACACAACGAAAGATCCGCGGCCATAGGCATTGGGGTTGGTGGCCGACTGGGTATCCGGAGCCGACGGGTTGTTGAAGGGGATCTGGAAGCCCAATGAGACGAAGGAGTAGAACAATGACAGGAAGAAGTATGCGAGGATCGCAGAGCAAATGCGCCAGATGATCCAATGTGTCACCTTCAGTGGTGGATGGCCCTCGGGTTTCATGAAAAGCGTGTGGATGGGCATCAAGAACGGAAAATTGAAGAATGAGATAATGATCAGGTAGATCAGGCCAATGGTCACAGACGGCACCGCGACGAACGGCACAAAAGGGCGCAGATCGATGTTCGTGAACCCGATTCCCGGGTTGACGGCCTGTGGAGGTACCTTGGATAGGCTCGTGGACGACTGTTGTGATACTAGCTCTCGGGCCCACCGCGGGCCGAACTCTTGCAGAATTGCACTTTGCAGAGTGGAGATTTGCGGCTGGATATAGGTCGGATAGGAGTTTTGGTCGCGTGCCGAGAGGATCACGATTTGGATCGCGCCCGTTGGATCATAGGTGGCGTTGCCGCTAGCCACCGCAGCGCGCAGCAGACTGGTAGCATTGGGGTTGACGATGATGGCTGCGTAGGCGTGTTCGTCATAGACGCTCTGGCGCACGGCCCAAGGGTCATGGCCGAAGTCGGCGGGCGATTTAATGATGTACCCGAGAGAACGAATATTCGATTGCAGAGTTTGCCGGGTCACATCGGTGACGACAGGGCCGACGATGGCGTCGTTGGTGACATAGGGGTCTATCTGGCCGTCGAAGTCGACAACCCAGACCTTGAGCGCCCTAAATCTGTCTTCGACGCGATATTGCGATCCCCAGAACAGGGAGAGGACAGTGAGGACGAAGACACAAAGAATCAAAACTAGGACGTCATTTTTTCTTTTCAGCTAGCCCCTTGCTTCATCCCTAGGTACTTCCTCACTCACCGGTACGGCTCCATTGCACAAACACACGCCGCCGGACCTCCTTCAGCGCCGGATCAAAGAATGAGACGGGCGCGGGAGGCTGGGGGCTTCCTTCAAGCTTTTCAACTTTCTGAGCCTGCATGGTGGCGGACTGATAATATAATATGCCAAGATCATGTGAAGCGCGCAAGTCATTTATAGTGGTACCGCATTGCTTGGATGCATCCGGGCGAAGGCCGGTCTATTCCCAATGGGGAAAAGAGAAGGTTGGCATTTTGCTGCTTCCGGAATCTCGATACCAGCAAAAATTTGGTCCAAGCAAAGAAGCAAAGGCTAGTGACTTCCAGGTCAACTGATTGCCGGTATTTCCGACCGATCAAATAAGATCGGTCGTGGCGTGTCGTGTAAATCCGGATGTGAAATATATACTCGTCATCACTATGCACAAGGCCCTGACTGATCAAGGTAAGCAGATTGTCCTATCTGGAAATATCCCCCATTGGCCTGCTTGAGGATAAGATCATATGTACTTCTAATATGCAAGATATATCGCAGGACTGTATATCTATTTTCCTTGTAAGTCTTGTAGTAGGGCTTCGTGTTCTGAGCCCCCGCGTCAACCCCTTGCCTTACTCTTAAACCATGTTTCTGGTTGCAGGAGTCTATTTTCACCTGCCAGGGACACATCAAACCGGGAGACAACCACGCGTAATGATAAGCCCAATATTATTGCGCAATCTGCACCATGACGGACTGGATACGCGTTGAATAATTCAAAATGGGGATGGTTGCCATGATATCTGCCAGGCGGTATTTTGCACCGGGCAACGCACAGACGATGTCAAACGAAGTACTGACTCCTACTTGTAGCATATCCAGGTCATCCAAAAACCAAAAGCATCAATTCATTTCGCGAACTCTAGGGGTATCAGTTTCTAACATCGTATAATGGTCCGTCGAAGGATCACAGTCACCTAGCGAGCGGAATCGAACCAGCTGTGACTATAACGCTTGAACTTAAAACAACCAAACTCGTAAACGCCGCCATGTCGTAACTGGGAGCCGGCCCAGGATCGTGGTAATGTAAAAAGCTTTTAATAATCACAGGAGACCTGGTACGAACCCACATGGCGACCAGGCGCCTTGCAATCGTCGGTAGGGCTCAATGGCCCCGCGATGTCCGTGATTTCGAAGTTGTCACACATAGTGTTGTCGAAGAATTCAATCCGGCAACCGTCCCCGACTTGGGTGTGCAGCATATAGGCCGGAGCGACGTCAATGAGGTCAGCGCGGCAGCCAGTGCCGCCAGTGCCCTGGTAGAGGCTGGAGTTCCCACTGCAGTCTGTGCCTTGATACAAAGTGAAAGACCATGGCGGATTGCGAGGTAGCAGAGGGAACGCAGACGCGCCGATGAAGTACAAGGCTGCCACAAGGCAAACTCGAAGAGAGAAGGAAGACATGGTAGTATTGAACTGATGCTACGGCCAAAGCCGGGCACAATGGTATAGATTGCAAATAGCAGGTCTGATCTTGCGATAGAAATCGTCAGTTACTACCCCGGATCACGCCATTGCAGGGCATCATTATTAGGCGAGAAGGTGTACATACCCTGTGATTTGCGCTCGTGGCGAGGTATTCAGGCTTTTGTCAGACCGGTCTTGGAAGTCCAACTGCCCTATATACTTGGTCTTTCGATTGATCTTGGCCCGAGATCCGCCACAAGGATGGGGGCTTATGACCTCTTAAATGGCCACCTTGTTTCATGCTGAGGGATCGACCAAGCAAATGCCAAGCCCCCGTTACGTTCCTGCAGACAAAAGAAGGGCCAACGTACGTATACATCGCGCTTGGTTGCTGTGACCCGCTCTCCCCACCGGGCGTCACATTTAGTTAGTGCGACTCAACCCTAGCAACGACAGACGGTACTACTATCACCGGGGAGCACCGACGGCCAACGGGTATTAGGTGGCCATTAGGTGGCCATTCTTCGGCTGATTCCATGCCGGGGGCCAGGGCGATCATCTATTCTCCTTGAGGAAATGTTGTGGGGCGAATGAAACACGCTCCGCCGTCTTACGTAGCAGTCCACGTAAAGCATTCACCCTGCTTAGGAAGTATCCGGAGCCTATCAGACAGGCTTCAGTCTACACATGGATTTTTTTGTTGGGGGGGATTGATAGTGCATTTGGTGTATTGCAACGAAGATCGATGGATGTCCCGACCGATGCGACACATCCTTTGACCGCTCAAGATATCTTTTCCGAGCCCTAAGAGAACAATTTTAGAAGCCATGAGGGGCACTCTATGCCGATCGGTGGTCAAATAATAGATACATATTGTCCTTCCCTTAGGGTGCTGCTAGTCTATGTTCCAGGTATAATGAATAGTTTGAGATTAAAAAACCCTTCTTAGACACCTTCATTCCCACAGCCACAGCTTTCCTTTCTGTTCTTCACAGCAACCGGGCCTCCTAGATGGGCTATAGAAAGTTTCAATTTAATCACCTTGTTGGCGTTGCAACCTGAATCGGAGTTCCCCTCCATTGACCCGTGCCTGCAGATCTCCTTATCGCACCGAGCATAGATCAACTCGGTGATCTATGCCCACTTCGAGAAGACTCTGCTGGTTCTATCTGCGACGTAGCTTGACTATGGTCATGCAGTACCCCGCTTATTTAGTGCCGTTTGAGAAATATAAGCCATTGCAAGATACTCCGATGGATAGACCCGGCGGGGGGATGGACCCGGCGGGGGTAGTCTCGATAGATGTCTCCCAATCCGGGATATCGTACCAGGATCGATATGCCTTGACCTCCTCTCACTATCCTGGGTAGTATCCTGCATAGTCCTAGTCCAGGATCTCAGGGATGCATCCCTCATTGTCGACCATGATATTGCGAGGCGCGATGTCACCGTGTGTGAGATCAATTTTGTGATCTGCACCCGACGTCGCTCTGGTCCTTGTTCGAAATGTATGTGGCAGTTTTGGTGGCATTCTCGAGATGATGTATTCGTTGAACTGCTCCTCGTTGTCAAATGGGCCCTCCATATGACTATACTCGCCACCGGCGGCCATCACAACATCGCGGTGCGGGTCCGGGGTCGAGTACTGAGGCCTATGGAGGTTAGTAGAAAGAAAATTACTGGATTAAAGGAATGGGACTGGATGCCAAAGAACGTTAGGTATGTAAATTCATCTTCTCTATAACATGCATAACAGATCATCAGATCTAGTAGAAACTAAAGTAGAAAGACATCTAAGCAAAGACCTTGATCTCGCTATCCTTAATCTTGCCAGCACCGACAAGTCTCTTGGCCTCCTCAGTGTAGACAGACTTGACAGCTGCACCGTTCTTGCCAGCGCTAGTCAGACGCTCAGCCAGTCCAGCCAGCTCCTCGGTGTCGATCTTGCCCATGATGAGCTCAACATCGGCCAGGACGGCATCCACATCCGCGGCAGAAGGCTCACCGGACTCGGCGAAGTAGTTGACGTCCTTGACGGAGCCCTTGAGAACACGCTTGTTCTTCTTCGCGGCGTTCTTCGCAGCCTCCTTCGCCTTCTTGTTCTTCTCGCGATCGGCCTTGGCGCTCTCCTCCGCCTCCTTCTTGCGCTGCTCTTCATCCAGACGAGCCTTCTCCTTCTCCTCCTGGAGACGCTTGGCTTCGTCCTCCTTCGCCTTACGCTTGGCGTCCTTGCCCGCGCGAGCCTGCTGGCGGAACTTCTTGATCCGCTCGTCCATGGCTAGACACTCGTCGACCATCTCACGGAGACGGACGGTGTCCTCAGTCTTGCGCTTGCGGCGAGCGTTGGCGTTCTTTTTCTCAACGTGACGCTTCTGGTCACGGTTCTCGTTGTCATCGGGAACATCCTCGTCCAGGTACTCGAAGGTCCTCCAGCTGTCGAAGTTGTACCAGAAGTTGTAGAAGGCCTCGACATGTTCCTGAGTGCTGTTCTCATCGCCCAGCTGCGGGACAGGCTGCTTGTTCGAGAATCGAGACTCGGCCTTGAAGACGGGTCCCCACAGCTTGTAGAAGTTGCCCTTTTGGACGTCCTTCTTCGAGGGCGCGTCGACCTCAGCAGCTTCATCGACAGAGTCAAACTGGCGACGGCGGACGGGGTCCAGGAGCAGTTCGGTCGCCTTCTGGATGCACTTGAAGAAGTTGTCGTTCTCGTCGGTCTGGCCCAGGGCGGCCTTCTTGTCCGGGTGGTGACGCAGGACCTTCTTGCGGTGGGCCTTCTTGATCTGCTCGGGGGTTGCACGCCAGCGGTACTTGGTAATTCCCAGCACAGCGTAGTGGTCTTGGGCCTAGAAAGGGTCAGAAAGGGAAATATATGAAGCAGGAGAACAATGAGACCAACCTTCCAGTCCTTGGCCTCGCGGGTGAGCATCATAGGGTCCTCCGGCTCAGAGATCTCCCCATCATCCTCATCCTCAGTCTTCTTAACATTCTGCTGGGCCTGGATACGCTCATCCTCGGAGAAGGTGCGGTGGTGACGCTTGCGACGAGCGTGAGCCAGGAAGTGCGGGCCAACAGGCTCTAGGTTCCGCTGGGTGGCAGCGGACAGAGCACCAACAGGCTTGAAGTCCTTGTCGGCACTCCAGCCTTGAGGCAGGGAGGGCAGGGTCACTTTGACAGTCTGCACAGCGGCCATTGTGGAATTGGATGGTTGTGTTTTGTGTAGTTTTTGGCGGAGAAAACGATGAATTTTTTTGCAGTACACTTTTCTGCCATAAATTCCCGCCTTGACTACCGCCAATCAACACTCGTCCGATCCGAGATGCTTCAACTCTTTCTCTTTCTCCTGTCGAGGAGTCTCGCTTTGTTCGTCTTTTGACCTCCCCCGGAATCGCTACAGTGGGTTCTACGGAATCATCATGACAGGCGCAACAGCTCTCTCCGCAAGGAGTGCCTACCGGCAACTCCTCCGCGCCACCCGAATCGCCTTTCACAGTTCGTCCCTCCTTCGCCTTCTACCTAAAAACCGCGACGCATGCTCATACCATTCTATCTAGATGACTCCCGAGTCCTGCTGGCCGCACGTCAGGAAGCTCGTCAGAATTTCGATCAAAATCGCCGCGTCGGCGTTGATACTGGCATGCAAATAAACCACGCGATTGAGGTGGCCAACATCCTGCGCCATAACCTTGTGCAGGGTGCGAGGGCAGCGGAAGATGAGTCTGGGAAGTGGGGTATGTTCTCAACCACTCTCTTATGTGAATTAGGGATTTTTGTGCTATTCCTGAATTGGACCGGACTAATGGACAACTTCATACTAGAACTTCGGATTCACGACGAAATCGAGCGAGGAGACAACGACTCGATCAAGGTTGATGGAAAATCTGTCAAAATCCACAAGGCCTGTTCGTCATGATCCGCCCTATCATCAATACCTATCCCGTCACTGCACGTCTTCACGATGCGATGCCCCCACGCAGAGCACATGGATCGAATTTGTTCAGTGGACTTGTATTATAATATACCCGACTCTTGTGTACTTTTTGGCGTCCCCGGGGTATTTTTCTGGAAATACATCGAGTTGCATAGAAAAAAAAGACCAAACCATGCGAACGCCCGCTCCATAACGTAAGTTACATGCAACCACATCAATATCTTTTTACTCGCCCGTCATGCTTGCGTACTGGACTTGACCAGATCCCGGAGGCGGGGCCACGGTGTAGTTGCGAGCATTCTCCTCCTGGTCCACGTTCGCCCCGGCGGCCGTGATGGCCTTTTGTCTGGATTGCGGACCCTTGGAAGCCGGACCCGCGGCTTGGCGACCTTCCCGTGCGTTCTTCATTCTCTCCTCGTCATTCATGTTATCGAGAGGCTTCGGCTTGCCCCAGCGCACTCGGAGAGGACATCCTTGGATAACCGCTTTGCCCTGGCATTGGTGGGCCGCACCTTCCGCGTCCGCTCGGTTGACGTAGTTGATAAAGGCGCAGTGAGAACGGTGGGAGCAAATTAGCGAGCGCAGCTGGCCAAACTGTGTGAAAAATGTCCGTAACGCATGCTCGGGCAGATCATCCTCCACGCCCGTCACAAACAGCGAGGTGATGTTAGGGTCTGCCGGAGGAAGAATGTCCTCTTGCGATGGCGGTAGTTGAGCAGTACCAGGGAAACGACCACCCCGGCCACCGCCTCGTCCTCCACGTCCTGGTAGCCGGTTTCCAAGGCGGCCCTCACTGGTGCGAACGGGACCAGGCGCGTTTCCATAGCGGCTGTGTGTTCGCGGTTGGTCGGCTTTCGTAGATCCTTCACCGTCGTCCCCTTCGGCCGGGGGCCCTTCGATGCGTCGTGGCTTGCGATAGTAAGGCTCGCTGTTGGCCAAGCGCCGCAACAGCTCCCGCGCCTTGTCGTCCGTCTTTTCGTACTCTTCGACTCCGCCACGGCCCTCCTCAATCTCTTTCTCGTGCTCCTGCGCATAGTATTCACGGTTGATCGAGCTCTGCGGTCCCGGCGCAACCATCTTCAGGGCGGCGTCGCGGACGACGATCGGCAAGCCGAACGAGAGATCCAGCATGCAGCATTGACAGCAGTTTTTGAGGCGGGCGCAGGTCAGGCAAATATTGGTTCGCTTTTGGCGGGATGTACGGTCGGCCTTCCAGCGGAAGATGGTAAATGGACGAGTACACTAGCGAGGGGATCAGTATTCGATCCGCAAGTAGGGTGACAGCAGAGACTTACGATCTTGCACTCGGCGCCGTAGTCCTCCTTGAGCATCTGCACGTAAGGATTTTCGGGCAAGCAGGTCTCGCAGACCGAGGGAAAGTCCGTAGACTCCCAGCCGGAACGGTTAAGGTCTTTCTTCACCTGGGGTGGCATGATGAGAGAGGGTGAGATGGGTGTTGCAAGAGAGAGTTGGTTGATGATTAACTATCGATAGAAGACTGACTGACTGTGGCGCACGGTGTGTGGCTGACCGCGCAAACCCCATCACATGACCCATCAGGCCATTCCTTCCCTCGCCCGGATCGGCCAGACTCCGGCACCGCCACAGCCCGGGAAGGAGGAATCCCGCGAGATTCAGGGGCGTGTGATTGGCCTGGGCTGACCAAAAAAGTTGGTCGCCATATGATTTTATTCTCCTTTCTTCTCCCCTCCACATTCTTCAATTGTTCCCCCATTCTACTTTCTCGACTTTTTCCCTTTCCCATCTCTCCATCTTCCTCCCCGCGACCCTTTTCCCTTCTTTCGCCATGGCCCCCTCTGCTCTCGAACGTGAGGACGTCGCGCGTGATGCGGCCTTCAACAAGGCCCTGCACGGCAAGTCGGCCAAGGCCCAGGGTGGCTTTGCTGCCATGCGCGGCAAGGACGCTGCCGCTCAGAAGGCTGCCGTTGACGAGTACTTCAAGCACTGGGACAACAAGGCTTCTGCCGATGAGACCGACGCCATTCGTGAGGTGAGCTGGATCTGGGATGCTGCTAGCCAGTACGATTATATTAATGCTTGCGCACGATAGGCTCGGAGAACGGAATATGCTACCCTTACTCGGCAGTATGTCTTGCCGCTATCCCTCCTTGCGCCTCGGAGCATCTCTAACCCTCATTCTCTTCCAGTTACTATAACCTGGCGACCGACTTCTACGAGTACGGATGGGGCTCCTCGTTCCACTTCTGCCGCTTCGCCCAGGGTGAGGCCTTCCGCCAGGCCATTGCCCGCCATGAGCACTACCTCGCCCTCCAGACGGGTATCAAGGAGGGCATGAAGGTTTTGGATGTCGGTTGTGGTGTCGGTGGTCCTGCGCGCGAGATGGTCAAGTTCACCGGCGCGCATGTGACAGGCCTGAACAACAATGACTACCAGATCGACCGGGCGACCCACTATGCGGAGCAGCAGGGTCTGTCCGACAAGATGGCCTTCGTCAAGGGCGACTTCATGCAGATGAAGTTCCCCGACAACTCCTTCGACGCCGTCTACGCCATTGAGGCTACCGTCCACGCCCCCGAGCTGGTGGGTGTGTACTCGGAGATCTTCCGCGTCCTGAAACCCGGTGGTACCTTTGGTGTCTACGAGTGGCTCATGACTGACGAGTACGACAACGACAACGCCGACCACCGCCGCATCCGTCTTGGTATCGAGCAGGGTGACGGCATCTCGAACATGGTCCGGATCTCGGAGGGCCTCGAGGCCTTCAAGAATGCCGGCTTCGAGATTCTCCACCACGAGGACCTGGCTGCCCGCCCGGATCCTGTGCCCTGGTACTACCCGCTGGCGGGTTCCTTCAAGCACATGGGCTCCATCTGGGATTTCTTCACCATCGTCCGTATGACCTGGTGGGGCCGTGGTATCGTTCACCGCGTCGTCGGCGCCGGTGAGACCATCGGTCTTGTCCCCAAGGGCTCCCAGAAGACCGCCGACAGCCTGGCCCTGGCTGCTGACTGCCTCGTTGAGGGTGCCCAGAAGAATCTGTTCACCCCCATGTACCTCATGGTCGGCCGCAAGCCCGAGTAAAATTTGTCACGAGCATGGATGCGGTACTGATTTGTACAAATACCCCTCTGGTCTCGCGGCTTTTTCTGATTTCCCTCCGTTCTCTCTTCCCTTCTGGATGTCATTTTTAATTACCCTTGCCGCCGAGGAGATGTTTCTTGTCGTCCCTGTTAGACACCCATTGTCTGTCGGACAGGGGGGCTGGTGCCGTTTTCTGTTGACGACCCGTCTCTTTTTCTTCTTTCTTATGTCTCTTGTTTCCATCTTGTTTTTTGTCGAGATAGATATGTAATAGCCATTGAGTCAAGACTCACGAGCAAAGGATTCGATTATTCTGTCAATTCCCTCCCTCCCCCATTCCCCGCCCTGACAGCCAAAGTGACGAATCATGTTCACTGGTGATAATGCCAGCATCTGTAATGTTGCTGCTCATCGGGTAGAATCTTCACCCGGCCACCCAATAGGGCGCATAATGATCCGTAGCAATGCTTGGTAAAAGCTTGTGCCTCTGATGGGTGGCTGATTGTCATTTCGGTTAAACTGGCAGGTTGTGGTGCCGGTATTCAAGCATCGGGCCTGCCGGGGCGGGCGATTCACCCACGTGCGGTCTACATGCCAGGCACCATCGGCAGGACCCACCACTACCATTCCCCAGCGCGGGTCTTGTTTACTCAATCCTCAGCCAGTCAACCCGGGGAGATAGCAACGTGCTCCTGCTTCAGACCACTCATGCACTGGCCCTCTCCGAAAGTCGCGGAAAATTCCTTCGCTGCTTAGCCTCTGTTCGAGGGCTATAAAACCCCGCGTTCGCCGTCCTGATCGCCCTTCTGTTTCCTCTTTTCATCCAGTGTCAATCGCAATAGTCGCGAGCAATCATGTTCACGAAGCAATTCCTCACCCTGGCCGGGGCTCTCTCCCTCGCCGCCGCCAAGACTAACCCCCAGCAGACCTACTCCCCTGCTGAGATTGCGGCTGCCCGTGCTACGGTGCTGCCCTACTCCCCGGTGTCCAATGTGAGGGGCCTGGCCTTTGACCGTTTCGTGGATATCTGGATTGAGAACACCGTAAGTATAAATTCGTATTTTAGTAGGGTACATTTACTGACAGCCATGATAGGACTTTGACACGACTGCTGCGGACCCGAACTTCGCCAAGCTGGCCAAGGAGGGTATCACTCTGACCAACTACTTTGCCACCACCCACCCATCGGAGCCCAACTACTGCGCTTCGGCCGGTGGTGACAACTTCGGCATGGACAATGATGACTTCCACCAGCTGCCCGCAAACATCTCGACCATTGCGGATCTTTTCGATACGAAGAGGATCGCCTGGGGCGAGTACCAGGAGGATATGCCCTACGCTGGCTATCAGGGCTACAGCTATTCCAACAACGACGCTAACCAATACGTGCGGAAGCACAACCCGCTGATCCTGTTCGACTCTGTCACCAATGACAACACCCGTCTGCGCCAGATCAAGAACTTCACCAGCTTCTACGAGGATCTGAAGCACGAGAAACTCCCCCAGTACATGTTCATTACCCCGAACATGACGAACGATGCCCACGATAGCAACATTACCGTTGCCGGTGACTGGGCTAGCCGGTTTATCTCTCCGCTGCTCAAGAACGAGTATTTCAGCAAGGACACTCTGGTCCTGCTGACCTTCGACGAGACTGCCACCTACCCGAAGCCCAACCGTGTGTTCAGCATCCTGCTCGGCGGTGCTGTTCCCGAACACCTGAAGGGTACGACCGACGACACCTTCTACACCCACTACTCCGTCATTGCCTCTTTGTCCGCCAACTGGGGCCTTCCCTCTCTCGGACGCTGGGACTGCGGTGCCAACATTCTCAAGCAGGTTGCCGAGAAGACCGGCTACGTCAACTGGGAGGTTGATTACGAGAACGTCTACCTCAATCAGACTTACCCGGGCCCCGT